TCCAGGTGGGGAAGAGAGGAGCCATCTTACCCTGTGCCCATAAAGATGCTAACTGATCACAATAGCCCCTGTTACTACCCCTAAAAGATTCATCTCTAAAACAAATAGACTTTGAGCCATTGTTTCTGTCTTCCCCCCAGATTGTCCTATTTAACTGAGACATCAGGGTTTGTATGTGGAATCCTGGAAATTCTGCACACTTGCTGTCAGTCCCACCTTTTCTCATTCTGCCGCTCACTTTTTAGACCAGGATTCCTGACTTTCACTGGTGCACCCTATGGATTTATTCAAAAGTTTATTTGGAGCTCTTGGGATCCCTGAGTCCTGATATAAAGAGAAAGTTGGCTTCTTTCTTTCTTTCTTTCTTCTTTCTTTCTTTCTTTCTTCTTTCTTTCTGTCTTTCTGTCTTTTTCTTTCTGTCTTTTTCAGAGTCTCGCTTTGTTGTCCAGGCTACAGTGAGTGCCATGGCGTCAGCCTAGCTCACAGCAACCTCAAACTCCTGGGCTCAAGCAATCCTCCTGCCTCAGCCTCCCAAGTAGCTGGGACTACAGGCATGTACCACCATGCCTGGCTGATTTTTTCTATATTATTTTGGCCAATTGAATTTCTTCTATTTATTTTAGAGAGAGGACAGGTCTCGCTCTTTGCTCAGGCTGGTTCGAACTCCTGACCTCGGGCAATCTGCCTGCCTCGGCCTTCCAGAGTGCTAGGATTACAGGCGTGAGCCACCTCGCCCGGCCAAGTTGGCCCATTTCTATGCAGCTACCTCATCCTTCTTCTCCTAAAGTGACCCCATCTCTCTAGCCAGATGCTAGTTGCTGATCTCTGAGCATACCATGGCATTCCATGGCTCTATGCCTTTGCTTCCGTGGTGCCTTTCCAGAAATGCCCTGCCCACCCCACTGTCCCAACAGGCCAGACAGACTTTTATTTATCCCTGAGGATTCAAGTCAAATTTGCTTTTCTGTAATTTTGTGTATTGCTTCTTCATATGTAAATCCATAGGTTTTCTATAAATCTTTGCTATCACTGTTTTTGTGACTAATCACCTATTTGTACTCCTTTTAAAGATTTGAGCACAGAAGTGCTGTTTTGTGTTCATCTGTGTATCTGTAGCACATTACTGGACAGGGAATAACTTAATAGATCTTTGTTGAACTGAAGATTATGGAGGTTATGGAGACATTGAAGCCCTACAATTACCAGAAGAGACAAGTAAATTCATATTTGTCAGTTACAATAGGTCCTCCTAAAAAAAATACATCTCCTTTCAACAAAATCATATTTAGCCATTAAAGATTGACCCTTTTGTTTTATGTAATAAATGGCCCAACATACTTAATTTAACAAAAGAATTTTAACAATGATTTCACCTGTGCTTAAGTGTCAGCAGTTGGTTTTCTGCAGAATTTGTGTATTTATGCAGCATATAGACAGCATACAGACAGTCCTATAGCCTAGACTGGCTGGTGTTGGATACAGGGGATTGGATGGGTTTAGGAGCTGGATGATATCCTCCTCCTGAGGGCTGTGGAGCTGCAGTGGGGCAATGCTAGACACTTTCTCTGAAGATGGAGAAAAGCTCTGAGATAAAAAAAAAACCCCTTCCCAGCCGGGCGCGGTGGCTCACACCTGTAATCCTAGCTCTTGGAGAGCCGAGGCGGCGAATTGCTCGAGAGTCAGGATTCAAAACCAGCCTGAGCAAGAGCGAGACCCCGTCTCTTACTATAAATAGAAAAAATTAATTGGCCAACGATAATATATAAAAAATTACCCGGCATGGTGGCACATGCCTGTAGTCCAGCTACTCGGAGGCTGAGACAGAAGGATCGCTCAAGCCCAGGAGTTTGAGGTTGCTGTGAGCTAGCTGACGCCACGGCACTCACCCTAGCCTGGGCAACAAAGCGAGACTCTGGCTCCAAAAAAAAAAAAAAAAAAAAACCCTTCCCCAGCCCACGACTCTTTTGTTTTTTCCTTTAACCTCTAAGGGAAAAAAATTGCACAACATTTTCTTCAGGTACATTTTCTAAGATGTCATGTCCCATTCAAAGCTTCCTTTGATATATGTGGGATGTGGAATGAAAGAAAGGAATAATGGAAAGGGAGAAAAAGTAAAAAATATATTTTGAATAAACCTATTCCAAGTTACCCACTTTCTAAATTCTTAGCACCAGTGTCTTGGTGTGTTTAGGTACTGAGGCTCTGTACTGGTGGCTTTCCAAGAGAATCAACAGTAGATTGCTGGTTTGGAAAGCGGGGTAGGATTTAGAGATCTCCAAGAGGGCTGCTTCCTGACTTAGCAGATTGCTAAATGAAGCTTCAAAAAAAATTATTAAGTTTTAGACAGGGGGCCAGACATCTCAGTTTGCCAGGACCAATCCCAGTTTGCACTTGGTGTTCCAGCATAATTAATAACAGTGCTCTCTTTGATTTTCAGAGCCATAGTCTGGAATGATGGTCCTTGTTTTGGGGTCATGCAGAGTGAAGGATATTGGTGCGATGAATGGGAAGGAAAATGACTCCAGAATGAAGATGGCTGAAGGGAGAATTATCTTATGAGAGTACTTTCTGTTCAGAGTTTTCCTTAAAAGGTTTCTTGTAGTTCTTTCTGAAATGCCTTGCAGACTTTCGTCTGACGCACTTCTTGACATCAGTTTATTTTTCTTTGGTGCAGCTTTTATGGGGCCAGTGTGTCTTGATGTAGCCTGAATTTCTCTAAAATTTGTGGGCAGCCATGCTGCATGTGCGTGTGATTCAAGCTTGGACAGATTGGCTGTGAATGGGGTGATAAGAATAGAGAGAAACACATACCAGTAGACCAAACTTCCTGTGCACAAGCCTTTGAATACTGTGTTTCACTCTCTGAAATAGCATTCATCTTAAGGATGGGATCATTTATTCCCTCTGGAATTAAGCAATACCATTGGCAGCAAAAGAAACTATTTTAAGAAGGAGATGTGGGAGGAATTTTGCTATGTATTCCAGGCTAGGCAGAAGTACCTTTTATGCTTTTGAAGACTGCACTTTTCATTAGAGCCCTGGTATTTGGAAGCTGACAACTTTTAGATATTCTCAAATATAATTACTGCCAAAGCTAATGTATACAGAGTATAATCTACAAATATTAGTAAAGACTGGGTTCAGATACTTCAATTTAACTAGATGGCAGACAAGGAAGTTTTCTTTGATGATTAGCCTCTGATATAGATGCTGTTGAGAAGAAGTAAATTTGCCATCTTGACCCTGGCCCTCTTTTCACATATGCTTTTTCACATATGTTTTTGCAGAGTCCCATGTAGACTTTTCCAAATTGTTAGAGAAGTCTAAAATAATGCAAGGAAGGCTGTGTCCCCCATTCCCTCCCCATAAAGCTGAGGTGGGTAGGGCTTGGCAGTTGGTGGCAGCTGCAGAGATAAATAAGCAGCAGGGCTCCTGGATGGACAGGGTGCAGAAGAGTCTGGGGATGAGGGTGTGTAGTCAGGAGTGCCTGCCCTGGGGAGAGGCCATGAGGACGGAGCTGCAGCTGGAGTCCAGAAGTTCAGGAAGTGAAAGGGAGGTGCGTGCGAGCTTATAGCAACTAGTTTAAAAGTCCTTTTGATCAAGCTATTGCTCTTTTATTTTGGGGGAGTGGGGATGCCTACTTTAGAGGGCAGATATAAGTCATATACACCTTAAATGACTCCTATTTTGTCATTTAAATAATGTATTTAATGGAACCCAAGGAGTTAGGTCAGTCTGTTCCTACTTGACTTTTCTACTTGTTACAACTTCAACTAATAAACAACTAATTGTCTTCTGAATTTTGTCTTTACAAATTAACTCCAATTGCAATGAAAACAGCAGCCTGGTGCTGCTTAATATTTTCCTATTTTGTTACTGATAAGCAGTGTGGAAAGTCTTTTTCTATGGAGGGCTTCTGATGTCTCCTCTCAATATGCTAAATGTAATCACAGCAGATGGTTTTTGTTCTTAATTCTTTTTCACTTTGGCATTGGAATTAATGTGAAGGGTAAAGATGTTGAGGTTCCCTACCTCAAACAATGCTGTCTAGGCTTATGAGAAGCATTTTGTAAATTATATAACATTGCTCAAAAATATGTAATTAATTTACTTAAAGTTAAAAATCATGAATGTCTACCTGTTCTGCATGGGGAGTCTGGTGCGATGTCTGTTAGTGGCACTATTATAGACATCAATGGCCTGTATATTGATTTTTTTCAAAAAACAAACAAACTATTATTTTATTTCCTAGCTAAATGAATCAAAGGTTTAGTGATCTCAGAATTTGAGCTACATTGATGGCTATCTGGACTTGATGTGAAATGTTCTTCATTGGAGTACAACATTCCTACATTTTTATGATCTTAATTATTGATGGAAGAAATTAGTGAAATAGACCCTCCATGATGAACAGGCATAAAAACGCTTTGAAAATTTTGAAACATGTCAAGAAAAAATAGTTGAAGACATAGATAGGCCTTTTAAATGAAAAGATTCTTTCAGTAGCTTTTTTCTCTTTGTGTGTCTAACAGTAGAATAATGTTTCATAGGAGATTAGAGAATTAATTTTAAGCATAAGTGTTAAGTCTATAATGATGAAAGAGCAAGATATTGTTGAAGATAGATAAGTAGAGGATGGGAAGGAGGATAGATAGGAAATGGAGGTTAAAAAAAATACTTTAAGTGTCTGGAGAATTGATGAATCAAGAAAAAGCTTACTGAGTGCTGACATGTGCTAGGGCCAGCCCTGGGATGTACAGATAAAAGGGACAGAAGAAGCCAGAATTGAGTTTGGGAGGAAAATCGGGCATTGTTAACCCCTGTTTCATCTGTATTCTTAAATGCATCCGTAAAAGATGATGGAAAACTATCCACAGCCAAGTGTCTATGGGTTTATGCATGGAATGAAATTGCCAGTGGTCCCAGCCTTCTTGGGCTTTTCGTTTGGAGTTGTGCATTTTCCTAAACTCACTGGCTTTCCCCTCCTCTCTGTGTTCTAGGAGAGACAGCGTCTGGAGACCATCCTCAGTCTCTGTGCCGAATACACAAAGCCTGACAGCCGCTTGTCCACTGGCACCACTGTGGCAGATGTGCAGAAAATCAACAAGGAGCTTGAGAAGCTGCAGCTCTCTGACGAGGAGTCTGTGTTTGAAGAAGCCCTGGTGAACCTCGATACAAGATACAGATGCCACCAAAAGGGCTCCCTCCACGATGCAGACTCTGCAGGCTTCGGGAGTCTCAGTCAAAGCAGTGCCAGCTTACTTGCCCCCAGGAGCATCAGAAATGAAGAACTGCTCAGTGAGCTCATCAGGACTCCCCCCCAGTCATCCTCTGCCTTTCTGAAAGCTTCCAGCGAGTCCTCTTATCTAAGCATCCTACCAAAGGTAATGCTGACTCAAAGACACCAGGATTTAGGGCCTAGGGCTATGCATATACTTTGACCCAGAAACTAAAGATTTTATCATGCTAATTTTCCAGAATGTTTTCAGTCAAGCTTCAATTTAAAGGCCATTAACTGAACAAGGTGCAGCAAATTAGGGTGTCTACTGTAAAGTAACAAATTTGCACAATGGAAAATGTAGCACCACAGAAGAGTAGAAAAGAAAGAAAGAAAACTTTCTCTTCTCCTTTCCCTCTTCCAGTTGTGTACTTGAGAGATGAACAGGTGTGAAACAGGTGTTAAAATTGCCTTACCGGCCTTCTTAGTATTTTCTGTGCATATGTGGCCATTTATTGTAGACATAGGTACACTTATACACCCATATTGTGTTCTGCACTTGTTTTTTCCTCACTCGATGTCTTGTGTATCTTTGCATATTAGTACACTAACTCTATCTCAGTCTTTTTAATGGCTAAGTGGTATTCTTTTGTTTGACAGCACCATTTAAATTGTTTCCCATTTTTTGCTAATAAACTCCATATGCAGCAAATGGAGCAAATATCTAGGATATTTATATTTGCACAATTCTACACTTGGATCTGTGGGATCACTTACTAAAAGTGGAATTGCTCAGTCAAAGGGTTTGTATTTATTTTAATCAATATTTCCACATTACACTCCTAAAGGACCATATTTTCAGGCAACAGTTTCAGTAACAGTTTATGCACATACCTTGTTTTCCATGCCCTTGCCAAAGTTTTGTATTATTGGAATTTTTCATTTGGCTAAATTGATGGGTCTTTTATTTGCTTTCCTTTAATTATGCAAGAAGTTGGGCACTTTTTCATATTTTTAATTATTATTTGTATTTTTGACCCACTTATTAATGTTCTTCATTTTTTTTATTGTTTTATTTGTCTTGTTTTTTACTGAGTAGTACAAGCTGTCTGTGGTAAGCAAATTAGCCAATTAGCTTTTTATCATGAGTGGTCTTCCCTTTGACTTTATTTATGATATTTTTTGAATATATGGGAATTTAAGATTTATTTATAGTCATAATTATTAGTCTTCAGGTTGTACATTGGTTTAAAAATATCTTTTGAATGTGAAGATTTCTTAAATGGAGTCCAAGCTCTTAGTATTATTTTTTTCACTCATGTTAAGAATTTTTTCTACAAAAATGAAAAGAAAAACTCCCACCTCTTTTCTAAAAAGGATTTAAGGGAGCTTATAATAAAAGATATAAATTTTATTGGACCAGAATTAGAACACCAAAAATAGTAAATAGGAGGAAAAATCAGATTCCATAATCACAAGGTAGCTTTATTTATTTAGAAATAAGTAGGATTAATTTATTATTTCATTTAATTAACTCTTACCGTTATGTTCATCTGTGAGATTTTTTAGTTAATCTTTGGTTATAAGAAAAGGACACGTATTGATGCTTTAAGAGAGAGACATTATTATGGTGTTAAATTCTGGCAGAAATTTTTCATATGGAGCATTTTTCAGGGGAGTTTGTGTATTTTTTTATTTTTGCTTATTTGGCTTCAACAAGACTTTTACACTGAATGTTTCTGGTCAGAAGTCCTTACATACCTGTTGAATTCTTCCATCATACATTAGGACTCTAAACTATTAAACACATGTTAGGCATCAATCCTTTCTTTTTCCTAATGACCATGCTTACCTGACTAATTCTCAATGGGGAATAATTCTGTATAGGACATCTGTCTCTGTGGCCAGAGAGTTCCACTTATTAGAAACCAGGATGGGGAGGAGGATGAAGGCCAGGAGGAATCAAACATTGTAGTTTAGGCAAAGCAAAGGGCCCATCATATTAAAATTTTACCTGTTGTCATCAGCCATTGGGCTTCCTTAGAAGTCCTTGGCTTCCTTTTGCTCTTAAACCTTTTCACATTTCGTCCTTTATGAAATCTGCCAATTTTTTGTTAAAAACTTTGAGCCATGTACTCTCTCTAAAGACTGTCTTTTGCGAGGCAGGCTTTCTCCTGGAAAGGGCTGTCATAAGAAAGCTGTTGGTGTGTAAATAAGCAGATTGTGGCAGACCATGTTTTTAATTGCTCAGATATGTTCTTAGGGGATAGGAGGACTCTGAAGCTTAGAGCAGCACCCATTGTTGCAAGAGATATGACTGCGCACCCTTTAGAGGCAGGAAACATCAGGAAATGTGGTAACATCAAACACCTGGGCACACAGCAGCTTAGACACAGCACAGGTGAGAGGATGATGGGTTCCAAGGAACGAGTTTTTCATTTATTACTTTTGGAAGATAGACATATATTACCATCTCTCCCCTCTGTGTGTATCAAAGATGATATATGTACCTCAAAGATGACATATTAGAGGATGCACACATGTGTGTGTTTATTAAAACATGTCACTATGTAAATGGATTCCTATGCATTACTATTAAAAAAGTCCCAGAGAAATTAAAATGAAAAAGGGCATATGTTTCAAATTTCACCTTTCTCTGTCACTGTAAAACTGAAGCTATTTAGTGGTCACCACATTGTGGCTATCTATTGGTTTTCTTTATTTGGTTAATAAATGAGATTATGATATCCTCACTCCATTCTGTCAAAAAGCATTCAGTTTTAGAATGCCTCTTGAAGATTTTGCTTCTTATAGATAACTTTAAAAAAGAAACCACAAACATTTCCTAGATGGCATTTATTGCTATAAATAGCCCCTTAAGGTGTCTATTATTAAATATGCCTATCATGATAAACTTTCTAAAAACTTGAATAATGCAAATATTTATAATTCCCACTATTAATTATCTTCACTCCCTACTTGCTTATAGTTTTGCAGATTATTCAGATATTTTGTTTTTTCTTAATGCTTTGCTTCCACCTGTGAGAGAGATATTTTTAAATCATGTAGAAACCTAATATGTAATCTTGACCCAACAGGATACTGGCTTTCGTGAGGCTTTCCTGCTAGGATTACTCCTGAGTGATTTTGGAATGCCATTCACCGTTACAGGCATTCCTCACAGCCTAAAACAGGCACCTAAGTATTAAGACAATGAGCTTTATTGTCTGTGATAGAAAGGTCAGCAGTTGTTTTATTAGTTGATAAAATATTGGATTTAAGATGACAATTTAAAAGCTAAATGTCAGAGCTTGGAAGACCTGTATACCTTTCTTCTCACCAACCTGAGATACTAAATTCTCAATTGTTTAATCTCCTTAAGCAGCTGCAAAGTAGGGTAAAGAATAAAGAATATGTTATATGTCATGAGTTGTTCTAAAAAATAAAGAATATGAATATGAATAAAGAATACAGAATATGACATAACAGATATCTTCTTAAAGTTATTATCAGGATTGTTAAATAATTAAATGAACCTAATGAGGTATACTAAATTTTAAATTTTGGAGGGATTAGTTTGAATATTCTTTTCAACAATAAATGAGTAATCTTCAATAATTTACTCAACTAGTCTGCTGTTTTTAATTTCAATTGTGAAATTGTATAATTATTGACTTACTGGTCCAAATAATTACTACTTTTTCAAAGAGAGATAAAAATTAAATAAATAATATATCCATACTGGCTTCCCTTACCTTAAAGAAAGATTGGGTTTCTACCAGGTGATATCCAAGATAACTAACCTGAAATTCTAGAAAGAAGAGACTATTTTCAAGTTATTATATTCTCTTCTTAAACAATAGACAGTCACATTTTGACTGTGTGTATATGAGCCACAATATTCCTTTCTTCCCTGGACATGTGTCATTAACTCTGTTCAGGAGTGTAAGTACACCCTCTCTGACTTAATTTGTTTCTTGACTTTCTCAATCCTTGCCAAGGAATTCAGTTTTTCCATGAAATAATTTTACGGATGGTGGCCAGTGTCCTATTTTACATACTGTCTTAAACATTATATCGGAAGAAAGTCCATAGAACAGAGACAGTAAATAGTGCACCAGCACAAAAAGTGAAATACACAATTAACTTAATATTGAGTGTGTAGTTTTAAGTCATTTTGTGAGTCCCCAAAGTGATGTACCCTTGCTTTTCCACCTTGTGTTGGGAAGGAAACAAATAAGCATGAATTCTTACTTGCAGGTGGTCCTAACAGTGGGACCTGGTAGTAAGGCTGAGACTCAAGAGGGTTTTATAGGAGATGTATTCATTTGGGAGATGGGAGATAATGTGGAGCTGGTAATGAAGGTAGCAGTACCCCCAAGAGATCCCTGAGGAAGATGTCAAAAGTCCATCTCAGTTCTAGTTCTTTGCTGTGCTGAACTTTCTCTATAACCGTGGAGAAGTTACTTCAATTTGCATATGACAACTTCCTCATCTGTACAGGCTCCTTAGTTCTTTTAGCTTTCAAAGAATATGAATTTGTGAATTGAAGTTGTATGAGCTTACCAAAGAACCTAACTCCTGAGGATGGCACGGTCTCTATGGGAGCAAGCATCAGAGTCCCACAGTCATAGGATGCTTTTGGAATCCACGTAGGCTTGGAGACAAACACTAGATCTGAGGCTGGTTTATAAGTCAAGAAATTCTAGAATTGAAGTGTGAATAACCCATTTCTGTGCTGGTTAATCGCAGACCCCAGAGGGTATAAGTGAAGAACAGCGGACTCAGGAGTTGGCTGCAATGGAAGACACCCGGATAGTAATTCTGAACAACCTCGAGGAACTTGAACAAAAAATCAAAGATTTAAATGACCAGATGGATGAATCTTCCAGAGAGGTACAAAGGACAAGTTCACTTTTTATCCTCTCCCTCTTTTTCTTTCTTTCCTTTAACTTGAAAATAATGCCCATTTTTAGGGCACAGGCCTTCGAGGTCACATACATAGAAATCAGCATGAGCAGACATTTGTTTGATGGATCCCATGTGTCAGTAAAAATCACCTCTTTTACATTCCTTTTTCTTTCCCTTTTTTAAATTAGATAGGATAAACATATTAAGCCATCTTTAACGTACTTTATGTATAGCCTGACATTGTCTTAACTAGTATGTGCTTTCTCACCTGCCACAGGAATGTCAGCCTAGGCACTTTGTTTTAGGTGTTCAAGTCCAAATCCAATAAACGTTTTCTGAGTGTGTTACTGAGAGTTGCACTATGTTGGCACTATGGGGGAATTCACACATGAATCAAACATACACCCAGCTTTCTACAGGTTTGCAAACCAGACAGAGACACACATTCTGTAATTACAATAGAATACAGTGGCAAGGTTTATGTTACCTCCATGGAGTGAGAAGGGGCCCATAATTCTGCCTAGGGGAGGTCTGCATTTCTGTCCTCACAGATGGTGCCAATAGCCCCATAGTGGTTAGGGGCTCACCTGTTGTTTTGCGCACATGGACCCTGGAAGCCCCTCCTGCTGGCATTGCTAGGAATGCAGAACTCACATGTGGGGCTGGAGTAACTTTCACTTCTCATGCTCTAGGGACAAAGAAAGAAAGAGGTGGCTGCTCCTGAGGTGGTTTGTGCTTGAGCCTGAACCTAAACAAATAGGCAGAGTATTTCTTGAAAAGTAAGCAGAAAAGGGATTACAATAGAAAGTTAAGTGATAACTAGTTTTTTAGGGTTTTTTTGTTTGTTTTCTTTTTTTTCTTTTTTTTTTTTAGCAAATATATTCCAGCTTTCTTGTATAGGAAATCTGACTTTCTGGAGTGTCCCCCAGGCCCCATCATCTGGCTGATACAGTAGTACTTTTGGAAATTTGTAGCTGTGACAAATGCATCTCTAAAGTGGGCAGTTGAGAATGTCTCTGAAGGTGAAACACTTCTGAGCTTTGTTTTGTGTCCTTAGTTGGATATGGAATGTGCTCTTTTGGATGGAGAACAGAAATCTGAAACAACTGAACTTATGAAGGAGAAGGAGATTTTGGATCATCTAAACCGGAAAATAGCAGAACTGGAAAAGAACATTGTTGGTGAAAAGACCAAGGTAAAAAAAAATTATATTTGAATGCAATTTTTAGGAGCAAAGTGGTGGTCCCAGTCGATTGAATTTCAATGTTAAATGGAATTACCATGGTTTTAGATTTGTATGTCACATTCCTGGAAACAGGGGCACTAGAAAAAAAGTCCTAAGATCATGCATTGTCACCAACTAAGAACTAGCAGCTACTGGGCAGCTGATGGTAAGAGAGCAGAGCCCGTTTGGCTTGCAAGCTGGTGTTCATAGCGGCTTATCCTACCAGAGATGAGTGAGTTGTTTTGTTCTGTTTTGTTTTTCCATCAGCCTCTCTGCTCTTCTGATTCCACTGTTTTTAAAGGAATTTTTTTAGTATACTGAACTCCTTTCCTGCTGGTGCCCTGTAGGGATGGCTTAAGTGTATTTAAATATGCTTGCCTTGTTTCTTTTCATTTTTCTGTTTATTAAAAAGATGAATGGAATCCATTCATCTCACCTGCCTTGCCTTGCTATTATCTTCAATGCAAGTGCACTGCTCTTTGAAAAATGTGTTCACGTTTTTGAAGGGTCCTCACACACTGCCAAATGAAAGCTATCTGTGAAATGTAGTTGACGCTTAGCTTGGAAAAGGTTTTGCTTATACATTTGAGGCCACAATCTGAATGCTAGCTGATATCTACTAGGGAAAGTCTGAAAAATTACTCACAGATTTTAGAATTCAGGGTGGTAGTTGGGTTTTTGGTTTGTCTGTTTATGAGCTTTTTCCCCTCTGGGAAATATTACACATTCCTCTCCTATTCTAAGTTAGTTACAGCTGAACTAGGCCTAAAACTAAAAATAAAATTTTGATTTGGGAAAGAAAAAAGTGGACGAGTTTTAACACTTTCTCCCCCACTCACCATGTTCTCCACTAAGCTGAGAAAAAGAAAAAAATTTAGTTTGAGTAAGTTCTAGTGGTAATATGTGGAAAGAATTTCTGCTGAATGTGCCTTCCTTTTTAGGATCTTATTTGTTTGAGACTTATAAGTAAGGGCATTTGATCTTGGTGGCAGCGAATGTGGTCAAAATGATACTATTAGAAATGGAAGTCAGATTAAAAGCTACACATCAATTTTTTGGTTGCCTGCATGTTAAAATTAAGCTGTACAGCTTTTTCATATTAAATTTTATGTGCATTCATTCTACCTCCAAACTTTTAAATAATAAAAAATCTATTTGGGTAATGGGTGTATTTTTCTTCAGAAAGTCAAAAACAAGCCCAAGAATTGATGGTTTAAAGCTACAGTTGAGCATAATTCAGTTAATGGTGTATGCTTTTCAAAGATTCCGCATTGACACAGCAAAAAGCTTTAGTTTTGGGAGGCGTCAGATATCTTGTTTTGGTATGTATTAGTATTTTACTATTAAGTAAATACTAATTAAATTAAGTAATGCTATATTAATTTTATTACTATTTATGTCATATTGGAAAACTTGTGAGATATAGGAATGGGGTATCATGTTCCCTATGAACCCTTGTGCTTTCCTCATCCTTGAAGTTATTTATTTTTGTGTAGCTCACATATGGCATGGGCTGAAAATTCTATTTGTCTATCTCTCATTAGCATCTCATCAGATTTTACATGAAAGTGAAGCAGGTTGAGCCAGTGCTAAATCTCACTCCCCAGGGAAAGCTGTATTATATTCTCTGGACTGAAGCTAGAGGGGGAACTTCAGGAACATGAACAGAAACAAGAAAAGAGGCCATCTCCATCCTTCCTGTTATTGTTTCAGTGGCGTGACAGAGGCTATGCACAGGAGAGGGGACTAAAGGGACTTGCAGCATAGGACCGGCTCGTGCAGCTGTTAGGGGATCAGTTGGTCTTGGAAGGTAGAATTACTGTCTGTCATCACATTGTATATAAAATGGCAGAAACTGGCTTTGGGTGAGGGACTCGAGGACAGGGTGAGGGAAGTGGAAACAAACGCTGGGCAAGATAATGCAACTACATATTTTTGACAACCAAACTCAAATAGAGGCTTGACTTTGCTTGGCATCATTCTTGTATTTCTCAAATAAACTTATTCTACCGTTTTGTGACACAGCTATTTTATACCTTCACTCTATTCAAACCTCTGGCTCAGAGATGCTCACTGTCTGCTCCACTGAGAAATTAGAAGCATTCTGTCTTTTCACAACTAAAGAAGCTACTCTCCCCCCCTCAAAGACCAGTCTTTTTGAGTGTGCTCAGGATGTCATCCCATCTCACTTTCTGAAAGTCTTCAGTCTTTCTGCATGCACTGTCCTCGCCCCACCAATCTCTCCCTCTTTCCTGGGCCTATACTGCCAGCATGCCAACATTATTATTTTAAAAATAAACTACTACCTTATTATTTAAAAATAAGCTATTATCTCTTCTCTTTATCACAGCTAAACTTTTCAAACAATTTTCTAGGTACACTGTCTCCTCTCCCTCATTTCCCAGTTAACCGTTCTTCCCATTCCAGAGGCCTTAGACCTCCACTACTCATCAGATTTGCTCCTGTTAAGACTGCTAAAGGCCCTGGTGCCCCCCAGCTCACTGGGTGCTTTTCCACCCTCTTGTGATCAAACTCCTGAGCAGCATTCCGTATAGGAGACAACTTGTCTCTTTGACACTTGCTCCCTTCTCCCCTCCTTGCTGCCTCTGTGCACCACACTCCTCTGGTTTTCCTTCTATTTCTCATGTCTCTTTGATTCTCTAATCATCCCTCAGATCATCTCTGATCTGAACCCAGTTCTCTCGTATCCTCATATTATTTTGTAGCTGTGGCTTCAAGCTATGACTTGTACATGCTGATGACTGTCATAGGTGTGCCTTTAGCCCACAGCTGTTTTTGAACTCTGACTCATATCCTGTAGCCTACCTGACATCTCCACTCAGATATTTCTCAGGTATTTCCAATGGAACACACCCATAGCTGAACACTAGATCTTATCCTTCCCTTGCCTTCCACCCCACCCCGAATCCTCCAGCTTCCCCCACTCCAAGAAATTGCATCTCTGTTCACCTATATATTTAAACAGAAACCTGGACATTGATCTTGACACTTCTTTCTCCATCATCCTCACATCCAATTGATTATCAAAGTATTAAATATTTCTCAATTACTCAACATTTCTACTACTCTACATTTCTACATCTCCACTATCAGCATTCTCTTCTAAATCACCAAAATCTCTTCTTTAGTCCTATTTCCACTTGCTTCCCTTCAATTCATTCTCTTCACAGAAACCAATGTGATTTTCAAAAAATAAAAATAAAAATTATATCACTCTCCTTGTGTCCCACTGCACTTTCCCTAAGTATAAATTCTTTACCATGATCCATCCCCACCCTCCCATTCTTCACAGCACTCTCATGGTGGCCTTCCTTTCTATTGTTAAAAGATCACTGCCCCCATGCAGTCCTTTGCAGATACTGCTTCCCCTGCCTAGAATTCCCTTCCCCATATTCCATGCCTTGTTGGTCCTGTCTTTCAGGGCTCAGGTTCAGTGCCCGCTTTTCAGAAAAGCCCTCCCAGACCTTTCTAGGTCAGATTAGATTTTCCCTATTATTCTTTCAGTCCTTTTACATATCACATTTATAATTTACATTTGTTTTGGGCTTACTGGATGTTTATTTTCCTCTCTAGTGTGTGAACTAGAGGAGGGCACTGTGATCCATTGTCTATCCAGCCCATAGTAAGTGCCAGAATACTGCCAGTGTGCTTTGGGAATATTGTCCTTGGATTCTCCTGCTAACAGCTAGCCCAGGCTGGGCCTGGGCAGAAACACTGAGCCAAACACCTGCCAAACAGCTACATGCAGCCAAGTTTCAGGACAGCTGGGCTGGACTGCCCAAGTGCACATGCCACTGGGCCTGTAATCACATTGCCAGGGAAGCCAGAGCGTAAGACAGAAGGAGGAAGTGGCCTTTGCACTTTTGGATCGCGTTTCCTTTTCCAAACACCTGTTGCTGTGGTCAGATATAAACTGTGGAATGAGAAAGGCAAAACCTGAAACGATACCCCTGTTGGGCAAGCTCCGATTCAGATGTCGAGATGGTACATCCTGTAAGTCTGGCCCTAGACTTCTGGAGACAAGGCAGAGCCATAGGAAAAAGGTGTAATAGCACCTCGAAGTTCAAATATTGCTGTGAAATCATTGACATTGTTTTCTGGGCTCTGGAGTATTAGTGTCTGGTGTTTACTATTATGTCTTTTAGCTGATTTTGGAGCTATCATTTTATTTTACATACTTAGTATAAATTAACATATATTTATTCATGATTACAATCCATACTATGTTACCATATAAAATGTAAACTATAGACATAACTACATATACAGCAGAACATGTGGACGATTTGTTTTATTATAATTTATTGAACATTTTTGTAGCGGTTCCCTGGGCTGGCCTTTCACTACCCTCAGAGGTACCACTGTTGAGAGCCTCAGGAAGCCTGTTTCCATGTTACCATGAGCTAGATGCCACCTGTCCATTGTGTTCTCAGTCAGTGGCCACATCACAGCTGGAGCCACTGTGAACATTGATAAATCCTGAACAAATGTAAGAATCTAATTTGAAAGGAAACCCAGAGGGTATGTTTATTTGGCCAAGCAGTAAGCAAAGACACCATTGTGTTTTCTTGCAGCAAGTGAAAGAAAGGACTGTTACCTCTGGCCTAGGGAACTGTTTTAGTTTAACGGGCTTGGTGGCTGAGTAGGGAAGCCGCTCGCACCATGAAGGCCAGTTTGAGCAAAGGTCTGGCTGTGCCACTGGCATCCCTTTGCTCTCACTCCCTGTCTCCACTCCAAGAGCGAGGCTGATTGAAAAAATACACATGTGTTCATGCAGATTTTCTTTTTGTCTTTATCTATTTCTAACCACATTTGAAATTCAAAATTAAATATAGTTTTTCAACTGTCTCTATTTTTGGATTATCTACATTTCATCTGTGCTTCTCAGCATCCTTTTGTTTAAGGACAATTGTTTTGTGTATTCACACAGATACGGTGTGACATTTTGTAGCCATCCTAACCCACATACTTAAACACACTAACCGTGCTTAAAGATTTGAACTGAAGCCTAAATCACTCTGTGCCATACCACGTGTTCTCGAGTGAAATCTTAGATTATTTGACTTTCTAATTTTCCTACAGTAAGCTTATGCCATTGCATATTAAATGGTTAACTCTTTTCCCCCATTATTATCTGGACAAGTACCTGTTACTTCCTCCTAGTTCTTCCTTCAGAGCCAGGGGAAGGCAGTGAGCCTGGCCCAAAATTCTTCAGCAAAGTGTTAATGCCTCTTGAGTGCAGAGTATTTGCCAAGTCACAGCCAGTGCTCAGAAGGGACCCAGCCCTTCCCGTGCCTCTTTCTTACATTTCAAAGTTAGCTCCCTAGTTAGAGGAAGTGGAACTATATCGTGGGATTTGGGGATTAAATCAATATCATATCATATCATGGATGTATTCACATGTCCAGATTCATCAAAATGAATATTTAAACATGTGTAGTTTTTTAAATTTAGCAATTATAGTTCAGTAAAGCTGTTTTTTTAAAAAAGCATTTCACATAAATGTTTATGGTCCTAAAATGGTTGCCTAATCTATGAACCCATAAAAATGCCTGCCTACAAAACAACCCCACAGGGTTTGGGAACTGGAAGGAAGGGAGATTCTTAGGGTGTATGGAGAGGACTTTGTATAGACATACCTTAAAAATGATGGCTTAGGGACTGTGCATTTCAACACATCACTGAATCGATTCCAAACCTGACTCGCTATTTCATGAAATGTGGCCCAAGTTCCTAGAGTGTGCTGCGTTCTGTGCTAAACAGTTTGGAAATTACAAAAGTGGATCTTAACTTTTAAGAAAGTCTTCATCAAGCTAATAGGGTTGCTAGATTGAGCAAATAAAAATCCAGGAAGCTCAGTTACATTTGAACTTCAGATAAACAGAGAATGATTTTTTTAGTATAATTATGTCCCATGCAGTATTTGGGACATACTTAAATATTAAAAAATAATTTATTGTTTATATGAAATTCAAATTTAACTGGTATCCTTTATTTTATCTGGCAGCCCAATAAACCAATAAATTAAGCATATTTTCAGGGTAACCTTGAAATATCTGTGTATTTGGTATTGCACACTTAGATATGGTAAAATGATTTTTCATTAGTATTGAAGAATACTATTCCATATAACAATGACATTCAAATATAGCCAGCAAGTTAAATTTCAGTTTTTTCCTTCAAGATCACAACTTGTACTAGAAGAGAGAAAACTTGTATTACTGTGTTCTGACCACCAGAGCTAGCAAAATAAGTAGTATTATGATGAGCCTTGAATTTTTAAAATCATCCAAGATTATTGGCAACTCATGTACAAGTTCAAATCATTTAGAGTAAATTTACAAACATTCCTGGTCATTTGTGTGATTAGAAAATAAGCATTTTGCATTATCCCTTTCTGAATGAAAGTTGGATATTGGAATCTATCATAGTTTTTGTTTGCTTTACTTGAGGCATTTAATTTGAAATGTAAATATTTTACAATCCAGATATTACTTGCAAGAGAGGCCTTTTTTACTATGAAGTATTTTAAGAACATTCTTTGATGGATCCTGTATTAATATCTTGTGTCTTCATTAGAAAAATCAATAGTAGTTAACTGCCTTTTCCTCTCACATAATCCTGGGTGGCTGAATCAATGGCTCTTAACCTGGCTGCATATCAAAAAACCTGGAAAGGCTTTTAAAATGCTTATTACCAGGCCTTATGGCCCTGGATTTGTGACTAAATTGGGGCCTGGGAAATAGTATATTTAAAAACTCACCCAGGTTATTCTAATGTGCTACATGAAGACAGTGATCAGGTTTCCTCTTTTTCTCTAGACCTCTTTAAATCTTTACTGAGTGAGTAACAAACAACTCACCATGGGAGCAAATAGATGCCCAACTTGATACACTGACTTCTACCTTAATTTATCCACGAATAATTTACCATAAGCCATATATAAGCGTGGAGCTTTAGGAATATCGGTATTAAATATATAAAATAGACATTATCTGGCAATATTTGTGACCCAGCTGTATTTTGCTAACACATCCAGAGAAGACGAGTCAAAGCGAGACCAGCACTAGCAGAAGCAGTTGTCTCTGTGGAAGTCTCACTCTGCTTTTAGTTTTATAAATGTCCCCTGGTGTATCTGGATTTTTCTAGAGTGTTCCAGTTCCTTGTACTCTTATTTTTTCAACAAAATGAAATTTGTTAAATTTATTAAAAATGCATTTTGATTTATTTCCTGAAAATAGATTTATGAATCTTAAAAAAAAATTCTTGCACTCTCTGCTAACTCAGTATTTGGAAAATACTACTGTGCCTATTGTAGTTAGACTAGGTGAGTTTTCCAATTTAAATCTGGAAGAAGGATAACACTCCATTTTAATATTGTGTAAAAAGCAAGAATCCCTGAAATTCTGGAACCCTCAACTGCCATCGAATTTGTCTATTTTACCATCACTGTAGAAGGTGATACTTTCAGCTTTAATTAACTGCTTGCCCAGAGCTAATTTTCCCTTGAAAACTTCCTGAGCAATAAATAGAAGAAAGGAATATTAATTTCCTTCTGGTTCAAAGTTGGTCTACCTCTGGCTCTGGTAGGAGTGATATCACCTCCAACGTCCTCTGTGATTTACGGCCAGGCCCACCTGCCACTAGTCCATCTTTCATCTTTTCCCTTTACTTCCTTTGCCCTAACTTTGGCCCCATTGAGCGTTTGCTCTGAGAGCCAGGGAGTGGTCACAACATTGTACAGAGAAGCTGTAGAAGGTTCTAATGGTGCCTGCTTGCATAATTCTGCTAACTGCCCCCTTGTATGGAATTGCAAAACGTTTTGAGCACTTCAGAAGGAAGGCGCTATGTAAACATAAGGTATTTTTTATTAGTTGTCTATTTGAGTTTATTATTAACAATAAACAAATGGAGATTGACAGCGGAATAGCTTGGTTTTTTCTTCAGACCTGCGACCTATGTTTTAGGACGGTGGCTTTCTATATTATCAAATATGTATCAATGTTTTCTATTGAACAGATCATTACATTCAAGAGCTCTGTACATGTGGTATTTAATTATAATAAATAGTCTTCTTTTTTTTAACTTTCTGTTTGGAACTAAAGTTGCTACAAAGTCTAGTGATACAGTATCTAAAAATAGAACTCTTTGGATAAAATTCTTTTGCTGTGTAAATAGGGCAGTCTTTGATCCACAAACACAGGAAAGAACATATTTCTTAGCCAAAAAATAACAAGTATTGCTGATTTTATTAAAGAAAAAAATTATTAATTCTGAAAACTATTCCTAAAGACTAAATCTAAACCTATATGAGTATATTCAGTTTTATTATGGTGTGGGAGTCCTTTTTTCTGTTAATGATACCATTGCTTTCTCCAACTCTTGCATAATAGGTGTGCCCAGTGTGCAAACATACTATTAAAGGTTGAAGAAGCTTTCTTTGTAGTTTGTTAAAGTTTAAGTTGTTGTAGCATCATTTTAGATTGATATATGAAGTGGGAGTAGCAGGTTTATGTCTTTTGAATTTATTTTAAGAAGAATACATTTGTAAAGCTAAATATGCATTACTGAAATGCTCTTGAAATTTTAAAATTTAGGTAAAAAATGGAGACTCAAGTGAACTGGTACAGGTGTTGATGTCATAAAGTTTTAGGTTGAAACCGTAACATCTTTTATACATACATATTATATGTTTATGCAGGAAATCATGGCCATTTGAATAAAAAAATTATAGTAAGGATAATTTCATAGGACTATTTCAGAGCTTTATCTTTTAAAAACTCCTTCTGTGATATGCTTAGAAGGTAGTTTTATTTCTACCAGTTTACATAGAATGAAAATAAGGAAAAGAAGGTGGTGGTCATTTCACTTACTAGGGGTCAAACTGTTGAAGTGCTTCATAAAGTGCTTTTATTTAGGCTGAGGGTGTTAGACAAGGAGAGAATCATGTCTAAGATGTGTTTCAAGGGTTCAGAGCATCATAAAGGGAACACAAGTTGGGAAGACTGATGCCAGATGAATTGATGTTTTGTTTCTCTATTTAAGAGGTGGCATTGTAAGGCCATGCAATCACTGTATTAGGTAACATCTAGGGTCACTTTGGCATGTGTGAGTTGCAAGGGATCTAGCATTATCTTCTTTGTCTTCTCTTCTATGACTCCAGAGAATTCTTTTATTTTTTTTTTCACAGTCTATGTTTCAATTTATTTGTTATATCAGTCATTGCAGGGATGTCTGTATTTCCAGTCCCTGTCACATGTTGTTGTGTTGGAGGTGCCTGATCCAGCTCCCCTTACTGCTTTGTCAGTGGTGCACTTTTCCTAGCTCTCTCAGCCCCTGCATTTGTTGTTCTCCCTGAAGTAAGATTGTCTAATTGCTTAAGCTCTGAAGTTTTCCAAATAGCTTAGAACTATTTGAACTGACCAGGCTATCAACCAGTGCCCCTGAGAGTTCTCTGACCTGAGAACAAAATTTCCATAGTTCCCAAAACTTGCTTAGCAAATGCCTTGAGCGAATTGGACCATGACAATACTTGAAGTCAATGCATTTGTCTGGTTCTCTTGGCAAGACTAGCTTATGAATTTAGTTGGCATTTCTTTTGTTCTTTTTTGGCCATTGACCAACACTCGACATTGCCATGGCTTCCCCTGCTTTTGTAACATGGTGGCAGGAAGGAGGGAGGGTTGGCGTGGTTATTTCAATGCCCAGTGAAGTGGACTGTGTTTTGAGAATGCACAAACCAGCCTCCCTTATCTTAACTTCTACTTATACTCCTTTATCCTAGTGACTAACCAGATATGTTTCTACATTCATAGAATGTCTAGAGTTTGTGTATGTTTGTTTGTGTTATCCTTAGGAAATGTTCACTAGCACCTGCTTAGGTATGAAGGTAATTTCTATTCTTCTATTTTCTGATTTCTGAACTTCAGGAGAAGGTAAAGCTTGATGCTGAAAGGGAAAAACTAGAGAGGCTTCAGGAGCTTTACTCCGAGCAGAAGACCCAGCTGGACAATTGTCCTGAGTCCATGAGGGAACAGTTACAACAACAACTGAAGAGGGTCAGTAGCAAACAGGAATGCACCAGTTATTTTGCTTTTTGTTTTTATCAATTAAGTTCCACTTACCTATGACTTACTACTTCACAGTATAAATTCATATAAGTTCTAATCATTAGATACATTTTAAATACAAATATGCATGCTGAAAGTATATATTATTCCATGCTAATCAGTTAAAAAATTCCTTCTTAGAATCCTTCACTAATTTATAATGCAAAATCATTTCTGGAGTCATTTTTTATAACCAAAGAGAGCTATTTCTGACTTGTAACTGACACCAAGATTGTAGCATTGAAGTCAACTGACATCTTCCTCTGCATTTTTGCTGCTTCATAAGTCCTGTTTGCCTTTACATGTCTTTTTTTTCCTTTAGCTTTATTTTATACTCTTGTCCAAAAATTATCCTATTCTCTGATTTGTTCTCCATCACTAGCCCTTGTTTAGTTTTCCTTTCTCTTCCTGCTTTTAGTGACATTGAACTCATTAGCATGATCACAACAATTAAACACCAAGACTGAAATGCAGGGCATTGCTAGTGCCTTCAACATCTTCTCATACGAGCTTCATAATTTTTAAGAACTTAATGCAGCATAGACCTTCCAATTAAACTGTATTCTCCAATCCTTAATGTTTATAGTGTTTAGCCTAACTGCACTGGTTATCTTCCTATGTGGATAGTTTCACAAACACTGGCATAGCCATTTAATATTTTATAGTCTCTTGACAACTGGGTTGTTTCCTCTAAACAGCAGCCCAACTAAACTGTGATCCTGGAGAAGCAGACACTAACAGTCTTGGACCTCTAAAGAGTCACGTAGTAGTAATTTGTCCTAAGTGAGTTATAATTTATGATTCTATGTGAATAGAAAAGGCTAGTTCCATTCATGTTATTCTATCTGTACCTTCTTGGAATGGGAAAGTCAAAAACTCAGTTAAGATAGCACACCCTTGACATTTTTTAAAGATACCCTTTAATATAAAAATATTTGATACCTCTGAGAACAGAGGTATCAGATAATGAAAAATAACAATTGAAATTGTTCAATGTATTGCAGAGGTTAAGAGCATCTTAATAAAGAGTATCCAACATAGACAGATTAAACTGTAGTATAACAGTTTTAGTATTTATTTCTTATAGTGTTGGATCAAAGAAAGTTGTAACAATATTTCTTCCCCTTTTTTCCACTTTACTGTATAAAACTTAATTTGCTGTAAGAAGAAAAATCTTCACATGTCTCTGTGACAATTCTCTGGACATTTTGTGATAAAAATGATTGGAAAAAAACTAGTATTTGTAAAATTTTTTCAGTTTGTGTTTTATGTTTGTGCCAGTTCACAAGAGAGATGGGAGAACTGATCTTTATATTTGTTCACTGTTTTTTTTTTAATTATCCTTATTGCTAAAGATTTTACATGGTTGTCATAATTCTTTATTTACAGTCAGCAGCATGTATATATTTTGTTCTTCCTTTCTTCTAGTTATCCATTTATTGTTTGTGTTCTTTACAAACATTATGTCAAACAAAAATTGGTAGAGTCTATTAATAATCAATGGAATCTATTGGTTAACCTGGACTCAAATGAATATAATTACTGTTTGCTTAATCTAGATTCTGTAGGATATCTCATAAATTTGTATGTGTTCCAAGGATTTTTGACTACAAAAGAAGAAAGGAAATGCTGCAGACAGTCTGTGCCATTAAATAAAGGCAGAGACTCCTTCCCTTTCCTCTTCAAGCAGAGTGTAAAATTCTTATCATAAAACCGCTTTCCATGGGAGAGATAACTGGCTTGTGGTAGCTGCTGTTCACCTGATTATTAAGAGCTCTGCTAATTCCATTTTCCAGGGCTGAGGACCAGTGTGATTCTTCACTGGGGCCTTGGGTTAATCAGTAAAAAGTTCACTTATTTCATGAGAAGTCCCTTCATTCTAGGAACTTCCTGTGTTATCATAAGTTATTTCTCTTTGGACTTCAAACACTGCAAAATAGCAGTTCATTACAAAGCTTTCCCTGAGGTGTTTAAACTGGACTCAATAATGTTGATTTTATGACAACTAACTTGATTAGTTGTCATAAAACTGGCAAGTCACACAAAACAAAAAATAAATAAATAGGAAGAAAATTATTTCCTTAAACTGCATGTTGTCTCAAATACTTAAGGTGAAATTGTAGAATGATTTTGTGCATACAACCTTATGAACTTATGGCTGGGCTTCTTACCTCTAAATCATTACATTAGTGTCAGAATATAGTTTTTGTCTGATGTTGGGCTCACGGCCTGTGGATGGTATGTTGTTGATTGAAATAGGCTCACCAATCCCTCAGATACTAGCACTGTAGGAAAGAAAGCTGAATTTAAATGAGTTTTTAATTTGCCAGGTTAGGGTCCACTACTAACAGGGGAAGACAGACACCTGGTTCGGACAGTTTTCTTGTACTTTTGATATTTACTGAACTGAATGGTTGATTCTGGTCTCTTGATTTTTTAAAAATCTTTTGTCCATTTCTACAATTAAAAGACCTTTTTTTCTATCACTGATCTAAAATTAGTTTACCTACTACTCTTAGACAAGTCGTTCAACCTCTATGGACTTCAGAATACTCATCATACATGAAATAAGGAGGTTGGGCTAAATGATTTCTACTGTTTTTTTCCATGTTCCAGAAGTATGCATTAAAGTGTTTGATTATAGAGCGTAAAATGGTGAAAAGTTAACAAACCCTGAACCCTATTTAAATTTGTTCCAGAGTTGGTTTTGAACTGTTATTACTACAATTGCTCCTGGCCATACTACATCCATTCTCTTCTTTCTGTCCCTCCATTAGCAAAGAAAACATAAAGAACTGCACATAAACTTCTGCTATATAAATTCTCAAAAGCGTTATTAGAAAGAAAATAGAAATTACATAGAATTTTATTTAGTACAGCTGTTTTATTTCCTTTCATGCCTCTCCTTTGAGCTTGCTAGCCAGTAAATATTTGTAATGTTCTTTTAGTGAGTGAAGTGTAGTTAAAATTTTCATTCAACTAGTCATGAACTTGACTGTGGGGCTTCCTGTATATATTATTCAGGGCTCAATTAAACTACTTCTGCCCCCAAATTCAATCCTCTGAATTCTTATTCTTATCTAAAATCTTTTAAAAGTTTTTATTTCCTCCCAATAGTTTTTCTTTCAGAGCATAAGTTTATATACATATACATTTTAATGATTTGGATAACTTGATCAGATGATTGTATCTGCAGAATCTGAGTGCTCAGCTTAGCTTAATTTTCAGCTTTCCTACCTAGTGTGCTATTATTTTCTTGCAGTGGTTTAAATATTTACTACAGATAAATCAGTGACTCTGTGACTTTCGTGCAGGGTTAAAATAGCACATGTTGCATATTAACCAGATGAAGAGTAAGCAGCTGACTGCGTAGTGTATATATTATGAGCTATATGCCACTTTGAATGAAGATCATTTACATGCCGAAAAAGGGCTTACTAAACATTTTATCTCAGTAATCTTTGGCCACAAACCAAGCTTAATTGGAAAGCCTTAAAAACTTGAGTGTGTGTGCCTGTATGAGTAAATATCTCAGTTAATATATTATTTTAAAACTGCAAATATTGCTTCAAGACATAGGACTTGAGTTATTAATATCTCTTAATTCCTTTAATTCATTAATTCATTTAGAAGTTATGAACATGAAATGTCTGAGAAATGTCAACCAAAAACTTGAAATTGAGACTACATTCCTTTTTGGCTAAATAAAATGAAATGCTGAATGTATTTTTCAAATTGTGCTTTTTCCTGCTCTTAAACTGTGAGACGCCACAGTCTGTGTTGACATGATGGTTTTGTTGCTATAGTGTTGGTTATAATAACATGGTAGCTAATGGCCCTTCTGTGAATCATCACTAGAACAAAATGTATTGCAGAGGATAGAAATATATTCCATTTTATCAAAAGGCTTACTTTATCATTTATGTAAAAACCAGACTGGGGTGGGGTTAAATAGTGATATAGAGATGATTTATCATATAATTATTTATTCAACTCTCTTTGATGATTTGATTGAACAATAAAAAAAAATACTCTGGCTATTTTAGCTACGTAGAGCTATGAGCCACATTGTTCAGCTGACTCCTACTTTGGCCATAGATTATTTATTATAAGTTATATTTTTATGTAAGTTAACTTATATAACTTATAAGTTATATTTTTTTTTTTTTTTTTTGAGACAGAGTCTCGCTTTGTTATCCAGGCTAGAGTGAGTGCCGTGGCGTCAGCCTGGCTCACAGCAACCTCAAACTCCTGGGCTCAAGCAATCCTCCTGCCTCAGCCTCCCACGTAGCTGGGACTACAGGCATGTGCCACCATGCCCGGCTAATTTTTTATATATATATCAGTTGGCCAATTAATTTCTTTCTATTTATAGTAGAGACGGGGTCTCGCTCTTGCTCAGGCTGGTTTTGAACTCCTGACCTTGAGCAATCCGCCCGCCTCGGCCTCCCAAGAGCTAGGATTACAGGCGTGAGCCACAGCGCCCGGCCTATAAGTTATATTTTTAAAAAATGTTTTGCACATACCACATTTATAATTGTGTCAGAGTCTCCAAAAAGAAGGAGGTGTTTTCTAAAAAGTAGATTGGAGAATTATCTATATACTGTGCATGTAGTTGCATGAATACATCCCTGTCTTCAAGTATCTCATGGGTTGGAGGATGCCTTCACCAGGCCATCTGATTTTCATGATTCTGCTCTTCCTTAAATGTCCTCAAAATTATTCTCAGAGCAATGGTGCTTAACCTTTTGAGACACCCTTTGTGTCTCATGAAAACTTTGGTTCTCCTCTTTCCAGTAAAAATATGTGTAAATAATTTTAATGGGTTCGTAGAAGCCTGGTTTAAGAACCTCAATCTCTGAATTTTTTAAATAGACTTTATTGTTTAGAGTGGTTTTAGATTCCTAGCAAAATTGAGCAGAAAATACTGATTCCCCATGTTCCTTCTGCCCCTACACATGCACATCTTCCCCCCATTATCAACATCCCCCACCAGCTTGGTCCATTTATTAAAATTGTCAAACCTACACTGACACATCATCATCACCCATAAGCCATGCCCAAATGGTTTTGATTGCTTATCTCTTCAATAAAATTATTTGAGCATGCATGCCCTATGTATATTACATATGTCATATTATTATAAATATATAAATTGCATAAATGCTCAAACAATGTACATATTTAAAAGTATGTACATATTCTATCCTACTTGTATATATGTTAGAAAACATTTATTGAGAAACTTACAAAGAAAAGAAAAAAACTGAAAACAAGTAAAAAGAAGGTCTAATGTTTTCCCCTCACATCCCAGTGGATGGTGTTGTGTGCCATCTGGGGTACATGTATCCCTCTTAGAGACCTCTAATCTGTGTGTAGGCCAGTTTTGACTCCTTTAGTCTCTATATTAAAATCTCATTTCATATGAAATGTTGTGGAAAAGAAGAATTTTCTCAAGAGACTATGTTACACTCTGGGCTGTAGATTGTGTTGAGATTATTTACAGAATTCTTTTTGTACTTCACTATCCATTTTTAAACCCCCTAGTGGGTTTAAAGCAAGAATTCTTACATCCACAGAGCAATCTAAAACTGATGGTGAAATAAATGCTGCCCACCCCCACTATGCCCCTTTCAATTCTGCTCTTACATTCACTGTTATGGGGTTTAACTCCAGAGAGAGGATTATCATGTTCTAACCCTGGTCATAGCTGTAACTGGAAAGACAGTCTGCTTTGCTCTGACTGTTTTTAATAATTGTTTCTTCACATGAAGAAGGTTATAGCCATCCTGGTGTGTCTTGTGTTCATTCCCCTTTCTCCAAAGGATGCTGACCTGTTGGATGTTGAAAGCAAACACTTTGAAGACCTGGAGTTCCAGCAGCTTGAACATGAGAGCCGTCTGGATGAGGAAAAGGAGAATTTGACCCAACAGCTCCTACGTGAAGTGGCTGAGTATCAACGGAACATTGTTACTAGAAAGGTACTTTTGTCATCAGTGTGAAAAATCAAAATATGATTCTCTCTACATGACAGTATTGATCATTCATCTAGGGATGGTATGTGTCTGCTACATATCTTTATATTTGCATATCACATTTGTCAGATTATGGATCCTGTCCTGTATGTGCTAAATGGCGTTCTGAACTAGATAGAGACATTATAGTCATGGTTACATAATGCTGTAGATGCATTTATGAATAATATCCATTTTTTTCATTTATATGAAAACTAAGGCAGAGAAAATCAGGAATTCAGATATTTATGTTAAATTACTTCCTTTTGCAATTATAGTAACTAATTCAGAATAATTCTATGAACTAAGTCTATTTTGGAATTTTCTGTTTTCATCACTCAATGGTCCTCAAAGCTGACTGACAGCTTATCACTATTAGACGTAGCCCAGTGAAATGCCACAAGGATTATTACTGACTCCACTCAACCCCTAGCACCTAGATGTCCTGCTCAGAATTCAGCTTTTGTTCTAGAATGTAGAATCAAATCCCAGGGCTCTGTATTAAACCGATAAAATTGAGGGAAGGAAAGAAAGAGAAGGCGACTTCTTAAATTCTCAGCCTAAATAAGACATTCCATTGTTTTTTCCCATGAGGCGTTTCCCAAGATGATGTAAAAAAGTCATTGATAGTCTAAAACAAGATTTCCTGTTGACTTCTGGGTGCTTCAAAATAGATTTTAAATCACTTGAACTATATTGGCCTTAAGTAAAGAAAGTATTGAGCTTGGCAGGTCAAAGAAAATGCCTCATAATCTCTAGCTGATAATTATTGCCTACCATCAACTAAAATGTGGTCACTAGTATTCAAGTTATAAAAACCTTTGCTTCTTTTTCCGGACAGACTAGCAAACCTTTGAATGTGTAATGTACGTCTTCCTATGATTATCTCTTTTCCTTCAGGAAAAAATTTCTGCATTGAAAAAGCAAGCCAATCACATTGTTCAGCAGGCTCAGAGAGAACAAGATCATTTTGTGAAAGAAAAGAATAATTTAATAATGATGTTACAAAGAGTAAGTATTCTCTTTTCAGCACTGGCAGCAATAAAACATAAGTTCCCACTTCAGGGAAGTCGCCTCCTTCAAAGTAAATGCCTTTTAATAGTGAATGCTTTTATAATTTAAGGAAGACTTTTACATACCTTTTTATTTAATCCTCCACATTAATAAGCTGATGACTCTGAAAAATTAACTACAATTCAGAAAATAGCAAAGATATTTTCTTCATGCTTTTTCCACATCATACAAGTCTAAACTTTGGAAAATCTGTATTTTTTTTCTCTTTCTGATTTTCTTCTTTTTAAAAAAAATCTTATTTTTTATCAAATAATTAAAATACATTTTATTACCCATTTAAGGTTGGCTTAAGGAAAAAACGCTCTTTTTGCTATTGTCAAATATTTTAGCTCAGCTGCTCTGATGTTTTGAACTCCAGTTATTTGTGGGTGGGTCTTCTTAGTAAATGTCGTACTGGATTTAGTTTGATTTAATTGGGTAGGTAGACACTGCATATGGTATGGTTAGATGGTTGACAAGATTATCCTCACCAAAGGGACTATGTCCTCATTTGTCCTAGCACTTAAAGTAACTCCATGTAAAGGGATTCCTTTGCCCAAAGAGATGCCATAGCCTAACTTTCTGACCTGGGACCTGGTGTGATTTCAGGGATAAGACACCAGACATTAAAGTTGATGGGGCTAGTCTCAGATCTGAGCCCTGCATTTGAGCCACTACCTTATAAATGTGACACTTGGGGTCACAAAAATATGTGCTAGACCCAGAATGGGGTGCAGAGAAAGACCAAATTCAGAGGGAAGGATTAAAGTTTGAGGCAGTACCATGGTCCCACTCGGAAGAAATGAGTATCCCCTTCTTAGATATTTTTAGGTTAAGAAGAGAGATGAAATGTTCCTTCACATGGAATTATGAGTCCACTTTGGATGCCTCTGCAGCCCGCACAGATCCCTGACAGCTTCCTTCTTCCTGCTTTTTTAGCTCCTAGAAATCTCTGAATGGAGTTATAGTTCCCTTCCCTGTCCCCTTCTGGGGATGACCTTTGTTGCCATTAGCCTCCCTATTGCCATTTTACCCTTTGCACACATATTCAAAAGCACAGCTTAATTAGATATTGTAGTATTTAAGTACTTTTTCAAATTTTAGCAAAAACATTTAGCAGTAGATTTCTTAAAATAGGTGAGTGTAATCACAGTATAACATTTCCTCATTAATATATATATATATATAAAATACAGTTTGATTGTAAAAATAGTGGCCCATAAGTATTACTTTTTTTATTTTCCTAAATTGAGCTATAGATACATTTTAATCCCAAACAAAATCCCAACAGATTTTTTTTTGTAGGAATTGATAAATTGGTACTAAAATTTACAGTTGATCCTCATTATTGAAGAATCCCACATTTGTGATTTTGCCTACTTGCTAAAACATATTGTTACCCCAGAATCAATATGCATGAATTTTTGCAGTCTGTGCATTCACAGAAATGCAGAGTGGTAAGAGATGAAACAAGAAGACAAACTTGTTCAACTCAAAATTGAGTTGTCCAGCATACATGTTCTCACCTAAAGTTGAACAAGGTTGTCTTTATGTTTCATCTCTCATACTGTAAAAATGTGTCCTTTTTGTGAACTGTTTAGTGCCATGTTTTCACATTTTTGTGTGCCTTTGGGGGTGGGATAGATTTTGCTGTTCAAAATGCCTCTGAAACATAGTGCTAAAGTGCTGTTAAATGTTCCTAAACGCAGGAAGGCTGTGACGTCCCTTATGGAGAAACCCTGTTGCTCTTGGGCAACAAGAGCCCAACCTTGTATTTCTTTTAGGAGGCATGCTTCAGTACTCACAAATTCAGTGTTTGTGGCAACATTATAGAACACAACTGCCACAAATAATACAAATCAACTGTATATGAATATGTAGAGGGCCTCGAGTAGCCAAAACAACTTTGAACAAGAAGAATAAAATTGGAGGATTTGTACTGTGTGATTTCAAGGTTTACTGTAAAGCTATAATATTTAAGGCAGTGTGGTGTTGGCAAACAATAGACATATAGATCAATAGAATTGAACTGAGGGTCTAGAAATAGACCCATACATATACCGTCCATTAATTTTTGACAAAGGCACTAAAAAATTCAGTTGGGAAAGAAAAGTCTTTCCAACAAATGGTGCTGGATGAATTGGGTAAATGTGGAAAAAAATAAACCTCAACATCCTCACATCATATGCATAAATTAATTCAAGACAGATCATAGACCTAAACATAAAAATTAAAATTCTAAAACTTCCAAAAGAAAACATAAGAATGCAAGTACACCTTCATGGCCTTGGGAAACAAAGATTTCTTAAAGGAACTGACAAAAGGCTTGTATCCAGAACATGTTAAAAAACTATTACAACTCAATAATAATAGCTAAATATTAATAAATGTTTTAAAAAGAAGATATATGAAGGACCAATAAGTCACATGGAAAAATACTTACCATTAGTCATCCAGGAAATATAAAAACAACAATGTGATCCCACCTCATACCAACTAAAATGACTAAAGTTAAAAAGTAAAATTTCAGATGTTGAGAATATGAAGCAGCTAGGTCGTTCATGCACTGTTGATGTGAGTGTAACATGTATAACCCCTTCAGAGAACTCCTTGGAAGCTTTTTTATATTGTTAAATATACATCCACCCTTATGACCCAGCAACTCCACTTCTAGATATTTACACAATAAAAATGGAAACACTTCTTCATAAAAAACTGATATGAGACTGTTTAAAGTACTGTTTTGCTAATAGCCAACAAAACTAGAAATAACCTAAATATCCATCAGTAGGAGCATGGATAAGCAAATGCTAGGGTACATTTATGTAATATAGTATTCCTCAAAAATGAACTACTTACACATGTATCACCACAAAGTGAAAGAAGGCAGCACGAAAGAGCGCATATTGTATGATTCCATTTATATAAAGCTCAAGAACAGGCAAAACTAGTGTAAGGCCATAGAAACCAGAATAGTGCCTGGCCAGGGGGTGGAGATTGACTGGTAGGGGACATGAGAAATGCTTGGGGTGAAGAAATGCTCTTTATCTTGCTTGGGATATTGTTCCACTTATTAAAATTCATCAGATTATATATTTAAGATCTATGCATTCCACTGTATGTAAATTATATCTCAATAAATAAAGCACGTGACCCATTAAATTTTTTTCCTAAAGGTTGTTTAGGAATTAATTAATGAATTAATTAACTGAATCAATACAAGATGAATCTTGGACCCAAACATAAAAGCTTATACCATCAAGTTTCCAAAAGAAAATATATCACTGGATTGTGATGCTATGTCACAAGAAGTCACATGATTGTGTGCTTAGGTGGATTTAAAAAATGACTTTAGAGAATATGCAAAAGATAAGGGCTGAGAGGGACCCTGAGAACTTCTCCTTCCATTCAGGCTACCACTAGAGCAGCCCACTCCTTTTTTTAAAACATGCTCTCACTCTACAGAATTTACTATGAATTAAATGTTTTATAGCTAAGGATGTTTGAAAACAACTCATGCATCATATTGGCTAGTAGAAGGTGAGATTTTTAGTATATAATTTGAAGTTTTGACTAAGTATGAGGAAGAGGAACTAGAAATGGGGGAAGTAGGTGAGATTCTGATGTTTGTCTCTATTGTAAAGTCGCTGTGTTCCTCAGTTGATCCAAGGTTGACTGTAAGCTTAATAGATTTTGTATTCCTTCAGGAAAAGGAGAATCTTTGTAATTTGGAAAAGAAATACTCGAGCCTCTCTGGGGGTAAAGGGTTTCCTGTTAACCCCAATACTCTGAAAGAGGTAAGCTATGATTTTACATGTCCACTCATATCACCTTAGAAATGAGGAGATGTACCTCAGTTTTATGGGATTAGCTGAAGAGTAAAAACATTAACTCAAATGACTTATGAAAGCACCTGATGCTTTGATGGTTTTCCTGCCTTTTACTATTGATGCTTTGAGGAATTCATGGATTACCTTTGTGCCTAATGCAGGTGCACATTGTGTGTGTGTGTGTGTGTGTGTGTGTGTGTGTGTGTGTGTTTGTGTGTGTGTCTGTCTTCTTTGCTGAAGAGTGACATTGTGGGTTAACTTGAAGTTTCAAAAAATTCAGGATCCGGACCAAGCTGAGACTTAAATTTTCCCCTCTCCTTCCTATAGTATCCTTTCTTACTCTCTCCCCTCTCTTATTTTACTTTTCTTTCTCCTGAGTCTTATAGAACATGAACATGCCCTTAAACATTTGAAAAGATAGTCTGGTTTCTTTCTTTTCTCTATCTTCTCCCTTCACTGTTGCTTCTGCTATTGTTTTCCCTAAATTAGAAACTCCCATTTATATTAGACTGTATATACTTTTTATCCCAAATATCCACCTTTCCATGTCCCCATCACCACTCTTTCCCAAGTATCTTACGGAGCTACACTGCCACGCTGGTAGATTATTTTAACTTTAATTTGAAAAATTGTAACCCTGACTGAAAAGATAAATAATTTTCTTTATATTTAACTTTTTTCTAAGAAGCTAAGGAAAAAACTTGCTTCTACATAAATATTTGCATAACCAAAAAAAAAATCCCTTTTATTTATAAGTTGCTAATAAAAAGAGCAGAGTTGGGAATTCCTACATAGAAAATATTTTGTGTGTGTATAGGTATTTGAAATAAAAAGCTCATCACAATAATAAGGGTGACTAAATGTGTACCTCAGGAGTATTTTGTGAAATATTTCTACAAAAGCTTTATTAGATCATTCGGTTTCATAGTTTCTCTCCATTATTCAGAACATGGAACTTGGAGGTTCAATAAATGGTTGTAAATGGAGTGTAGAGGCATAAGATAATGTAAGCGATGTGGGGAGGGGACAACAAGTCTTGTGAGTCATGTTAAAGAAATGCCTATTTTAATGTGATGGGAAGCTGTTAATTGGTTTTAACCAGGGAGATGACATTATTTGATATTGATTTGTTAAAGATCACTCTGGGCTACTGGGTGAATGCTGGATTGTAAGGAGTAAGCGGAGGAGATTTGGGGAAACTAATATGGAGATGATTGCAATAGTGTAGGCTGGAGATCCTGGTGGCTTCAATTAGAGCAATGGCAGAGAGGTGGAGAGAATTAGCTGGATTAGGATATATTTGGGGAGGTAGAGTTGACAGTTCTTGTTAATAGATTGGATGTGAGGATACAATAAATAAAGGAAGGTGTCAGGAACCATACCATTATTACAGTTGGAATAATGAGGTGGCTGGTGAGTATCCTTACTGAGGTAGGGCAGACTGGGGAAAGAATAGGTAAGAGGGAAGATTTGGAGTTTGACTCTGGACATGCTAAGTTTGAAGGTCTTGTGGCATCCAAATGAATTAGATGGGCTCCAAGGGCTCTTATCTCCTAATAGAAGAATAAAATCTTTCTTTCCTATTAATGAGTTGGTCTTTTTTTTTCCCCTACAGAATTCCTGGTGTCAAAAGCACATTTGGCTTTTTGACTATTTTGTGTATCTGCAACTCTTGAGCTTGTTGAGTAGCTATGTGTTTTCTTTCATGTACCAAGCAGACTTGGCTCCCAGGTGTTTTTTACTTTTTCTGTCTTTCTGCTCTCTCTGTTCTCTTTTTTTCTTTTTTAAAGGAGTGTTGAATTGATAACCTAACTATTGTAAAGAGCTCCCACTTTGGACAAACAGCATACATTTTTGAAGAAATTAATTAAGTTATATGGTCTATGACACATAAGGACTCAAACCTTGGCTTTGAAGCGTCCTACTCTCAACTGAGCAAAAGAATAACTCAAATTTGTTAATTTTCTTTCTGATTCATTATCATAGATAAAATGAAATGTAACAACCTAATTGACTACTTCCTTTCTTTAGTTTTTAACCTTATAAAACTTTACAAAGTGTCTACGCTCCTTTATGAAGTGCAAGACTTCATAAAGTCAATTTATAAGCAGTCAACTCTAGCTTTCTCCACTTTGTTATAATTATAGGTCATCAGTAAAAACTTTGATTTTCGCCTGTAATCCTAGCACTCTGGGAGGCTGAGGCAGGAGGATCGCTCAAGGTCAGGAGTTCGAAACCAGCCTGAGCAAGAGCGAGACCCCGTCTCTACTATAAATAGAAAGAAATGAATTGGCCAACTAATATATATAGAAAAAATTAGCCGGGCATGGTGGTGCATGCCTGTAGTCCCAGCTGCTTGGGAGGCTGAGGCAGCAGGATCGCTTGAGTCCAGGAGTTTGAGGTTGCTGTGAGCTAGGCTGAAGCCACGGTACTCACTCTAGCCTGGGCAACAAGGTGAGACTCTGTCTCAAAAAAAAAAAAAAAAAAAAAAAAAACTTTGATTTTCAGTCTGAAAATTTTGCTTCACCAGCATAACAATATCTTGCCCTTCCCGCAGTCACTTTTTGGAAGGACCAATGGGCTAATAGAAGAATCTACATGTCAAATTTAACTCAATTTCACTTTTAAAAGAGAGGTGTTATTTTTTTTTTTATTGGTGTGGTGAAAATCATGATGGGTATGTATAATTACTTTCCATGATAATTTACAAGTGCCTTTTCCACAAATATAAATTTAGAACATTTGATTCTTGAAGATTTTGATTCATGGGTATTTTCTCTAAGATGAAGCCAGAACTGAATAATTGAGTTCAAAAATAACTGGAAATTGGGTAGAGTTGGCAGTTGGAGAAACAGTCTTGAATTAAAGCACACTCCAGCCACAACTGCACCTTAGGACTGTGTATGTGTGTGGGGGGGCACACAGATTTATTTTGCTAGGGAAGACTCCCCTGGATGAGGGGAAGGTATCCTTTTTATTTTCATGTGATTGCGACCAAAAGCTAGATTTCATTACAAATAAATTACTGTTTTATAGATGTTTTCTTAGTGCAAAACCCAGTTGCCCTCAGCCCACTTTTATTCACACTTTAATTCATCAGGAAACAGAAGAAGAGGGGAAAAATGTAAGAATGAAGATTTGTGGAAAAAGCTCTTGAATTAGGGAGTGAGTGATTGCATTGCCAATTTTACATCTCAGATTTTTTTGGTGGACAATTATTTCAAATGTATGTGGAGTGACAACCTCAATCCGTCACCAGAATGAATGCTGGATACTTCTGGATATTTTAAAACAGAAGGTGCTGGGTTATTTATAATATATAGTTATCTTAATTTCCATCAGAAAAATTATGTTTAATGTTCGTAATACCAATTTTCAAGATTAAGCAACATAAATCCATTTTAATTGCTGATTATTCCCTTAATGAAACATTTGATAATACCACAGATATCTGGCTGTGCCGCTCTAAGCTAACTCCATTGTACTGGGAACATTAATACTCTCGCATGCCTCAGCTTTTGCTTTCTTTGTGTATAACTTCTGAATTCCTCCTTTTAGGGCTATCTCAGTGTAAATGAAATTAATGAGCCATGTGGCACTTCCACGAATCTATCCCCTTCCACTCAGTTTCCTGCTGATGCTGACGCTGTTGCCACTGAGCCTGCCACAGCTGTGCTGGTGAGCCAGCCACAAAGTACAGAGGTGTGTAGGCATGCCATTCCATTCATTCACTGCTTTTCCTCAGGTCAGAAATTAACTCGCCGTCAACTGAAAATGAGAAACGTCAGCGTGTGTGTGACAAATATAATACATCTGTTTGGCCAGAGGGCCAGAGTGATGCTGAGTCTATAGAACATACCAATTTGGTACTGGTATGTTTGGGGGGTATTTCTCTACCAATTAAAATTCTGGAAAACATGAAATCTATGGTACATAGTGGAGTATTAGAAGTAAGTTTAAAGAAATAAGCTTTAAGTCTTAGCACTCTAACCTAGATTTATTAGAAATTAAAAAGCCTTTCTAAAGTTGTTGGTTTGAATCACCTTTCCAGTTTGATTCTGTTTTTATTCTGTTTTGCATTGTGAACATTTTTAAGTGACATGCCTTTTTAAATCATTCTGAGGTGGGGTCAGCAATAGTAAATTAAAACATCTTTTAATGATCCAACTTGCTTGCAGTGTGGGGTTTTAACGAGAGACTAAATTGAAAGATACTGCCCATATTTGTGACTTCTTAATTAAAATGTAACAAAACAGAACAATCAAACTATCAATTTCACTTCTTTATCTTATTCTTTCATTTCATATGGACATGGGACATGTATGTACCTTTTCTTTCTCCTATAAAGCAAAGATCACCTGTCTGTTCTGGATTTATGTTTCCTTCCACCCTTTCTCCTCATCCTATCATTCAAACTACGTCAGCCCCATGGCCCGAAGTCATGGCTACATCTGTCGATCCTTTACCTTTAAATGATACACCTCCTCCTCTACCAGCTAAGAAACACAGAAGGCAGCAGCAGTCACAGGACCAACAGGTAATTAGGAACTAGTGTTTAGAGTTTGGGAATTTTACCTCAACAACAAAGTTACTCATGTGGAATCTTTTCTTTAAGTTTTCCAAAAGTATTTTTTTTAAAAAAGCAAGTTGTATACCCCTTTGCTTTTTTTTTTTTTTTTTTAAGGGCATTTAGTATATTCTAAGGGTGTCAGGATTATTATAAAATTTTGAGGCTGGGCGCAGTGGCTCACACCTGTAATCCTAGCACTCTAGGAGGCTGAGGCAGGAGGATTGCTTCAGCTCAGGAGTTTGAGACCAGCCTGAGCAAGAGTGAGAACCCATCTCTACTAAACAAAGAAAAAATTAGTCAGGCATGGTGGTGTGCACCTGTAATCCCAGCTACTCAGGAGGCTGAGGCAGGAGGATCGCTTGAGCCCAGGAGTTTGAGGTTGCTGTGAGCTAGGCTGATGCCACAGACACTACCTTGGGTGAGAGAGGGAAACTCTATCTCAAAAAAAAAAAAAAAAAATTGAGACCTTCATTGTCCTCTCCTGGCTTTTGATATGTTTGAGTGAATATCACATCCTCATGTCCCATTCAACCAAAATATTGCAACGTATCTCAGCTGTTTATACTGAGAAATACTAATAAGTATTTCCATAAAATCTACACTATAAAAAGTTATGTTGTCAACACAAAACTATTTTTATTATACATTATTAAAACCATGATAATAGTCAACATTCCCTGTGTGTCAAAATTTGCTAAATATTTAACAGATATCTCTTTTCACCCTTCTAACAATCCTGTGAAATAAGAATTACTTCCATCTTGAAGTGTAGAGAACTGAGGCTTGGTGTAGTTAAGTAGCTTGTCCAAGGTCAACCACAAGTAGTACATTTGGTCCAGTGTTTATTGGCCAGATTTTTAAATAATTTATTATTCTAAATGTCACTCTACTTTTAGATACTCAATGTCTGTAATTGCTAAGGTAGTCAAAAAATCTGTTTCAAGACTCCCTTTCAACTATAATCAAATTTCTATTGAAATCTGGCCCCCAAAGATCCTAAAAGAGTCATGGGTGCTAGATCCCCAGTGTTGGCTAGCCGTGGTGTGCTATACTCAGCCTTCATGTGGCTTGAAGGCACCTTTACTATCTATCCTTTTGTTAAAGGACTGTATCTCCCCATGATTTTGGTGAGAAGTAGATCAAATAGTGTTGTTCTGTTTATCCCTTTAATAGCTTCAGTCATGGTAAAAGACATTTCTAGCAGCAAAACAATCACAGTTCTTAAACCTGCTATTTTATGCCAAATATCAGTAAGACTATGTTTTCTACTGATATTGACTATGGGGTTTCTTTCCTATTTTGTTAAACTGCTGTTAGGGAATATTGTCAAGTTTTGAATTTCAGAATTTGTGACATTTGGTCATAGTGGGAGAAAGATTGAGTGTTCTGATATCATTTTTCTATCTAAAATGAGCATTAATCAGCCAAACTGCAAAGTATTGTTACTATAGTGTGTGACACTGTACTAATGGCTGGCTGTGAATTCCAGCTCTGCCTCTTTCTAGTGGCATGACCTTCAGTGAGTTTACTTAACCTCTCTGCACCCTAGATTCTCCACCTGTAATATAGGGATAATAGTAGAGCCTACCTCACAGTATTATCATAAGGATAATAAGACAATCATAAGATAATGTATATAAAGCATTGCACATGGCATATAGTAAGCTCTTAATAAATATTAGCTAGTATAAACAGATAATTGTAAAGTTAAAGTACAGATATTTTTCATGGCATGTTCAAAGACTGTTTGTAAATTTGGTAACTCGAATTTTCAATAATTTTTATGTATTTCAAAAACCTCAGCTTAGTATTAAAATGGTCAAACCTAAAGAAACTTTAATTAAGAAATCACTTTACTAGTAAAGACATTTTAGGGAGAAGGCCAAGAAAAATTTGAATACATTTCAAGTTGGCAAAAATCTTGCCTTAGAAATTTGACAAAAAAAAATAAAATAGTCAACCAGAGGATTTTTAAATATGAGAGATTACTGTAAGGGCTCCTTGGCCAAGATCTTTTTAAATAAAGTAACCTAGAAAGATGCCTTATATGGAAACTTTATGTGGACTTGGAGTGTACTTATGTGGCTGAAAAATTACTACCACTTTCCAACGACTTCCCTGTTCCTCGTTCTTTCTCTTCATCTTCTCCCTTCTCCCCTTTCTTGTCCTCCTCACACTGGGATCTGTGCCATCACCCAGAACTGTCCAGACAGACCAGAAGACACTGCTTACTTGCTTTGTCCCTGGCTGTTCTACCATCCACATGGCGCCCATCCTAATAAGTTGTATGTTCTGAGGCCTCAAGGCAGCAGGCACTAAAAAAATGAGAGGTGGATTTAAAAAAATGTTTTTAGGTTCAATGACAAATTTTTCCAGTATCTGAGATCTAACCAAATGTCAGCTCAAATCTATTAGTAAACACAGCATAAGTTGAATAACTTCTTAAAAATTTTGTGTTAAAATCCCAAAACTTCTTTGTAAATGCATAATTCTTCATTTCTTCAGTGACCTGTTTCAGTTAGTCAAGTTTTGCTATTTTGCTTTACATTTGCATTTAAAGCACTTTAGAAGTCTGGAAGAAAGGAAAAAACAACACAAAGAAGGCCTCTATCTGAGTGACACTTTGCCTCGAAAGAAAACCACACCTTCCATCTCCCCACATTTCAGCAGTGCCACTATGGGGAGAAGCACCGCCCCAAAGGTAGGACACAGGAAGAACCATGGGCTTCATGTTCCCTGAGTCTTCTTGTCATTAAATTGACCAACATGCAAAGGCCTTTAAGAAAAAAAAATGCTAATTAAATTTGCTTATTAGGTGGACATCATAACTAAATTGCATTTTCTATCCTATTCAGAGGTTACTTGGAATTGTATGCATTGCAGCACAGGTGAGGGGTGGCATTCGCTTACAGGATAGACTCCCATGGCTGCATCCCAGATCTGGAACTAAGACAGGATACAGGCTCTGGGTTTTAGGAATAACAGCAACAAATAGTAATTTCTATGTGCCTCACACTGGGTTTTGCCTTTTATGTGGATTGTCTCATTTAAAAACCCAGCAACACTATGCAGTAGAGGTACTAATTATTATCCCACTTGTATGTATGGATAAACTGAGGTGTAATGAAGCCGGGTGACTAACCCAAGAGCCCTCAGCTGGTACGTAGGAGAGCTGGAATGTGAACCTTGGTGGTCTGACATCTGAGCCCTCCCTCTCATTCTGCTGATGTGCCTGAAGGGTCATTGCAGAAACAAAAGAGGCAGGTGAGAAGGAGATTCTGAATGGGACAGACTTTTGAGCCCTTCCCCTGCCCTTAATCAGGATAACTTTGTTTTAATCTAGTTTATAAATTGGTGCTTCAAGTATATTTTATTCACATGAAAGACTTTGGTATATAAAAAGAATGCTAAACCACTGGGGTATGAATAGGTTTCTCCAGTTTTCGGCCTACTAGGGAACTGGGGGTACACAGAAATTAGTGCGTTTGTAACAAGTGTAGATGTTCCCTGTCCTTTTGCATGGTGTGCATGTATTCTTGACCCTGCATCTGCCCTCTGCTCCTTATGCATGAAGAACTTTCAGTCATTCTCTCAAGTGACTTTGGACAGTGTCTTCCACAGCTGTCTTCACTTTTAGAATCACTGCCATTGGAGGAAGCACTGTGATGTTGAAACCGCCATGGAGTTTCTTGGGAGGGACAGTGACTGGCCTTTATCATTTAGCATCAATAAACGGAGTGCAAAGACCTACTACCTTCCCTGCCCTCTACTTAGATAGGAGCTTTAGAAACAGGGATGTGGCCATTTCCTGAAGCGCCATTTGGCCTGCAGCTTGCCTGAAGTATTCCCTCCTGGTTCCCCAGGCTCACCTGCCCCTGGGACAGAGCAACAGCTGCGGAAGTGTGCTCCCTCACTCGCTGGCGACCATGACCAAAGACTCAGAATCTCGGAGGATGCTCAGAGGTATGTTCATTTTAAATCAAATCTCATGATCTTTTGTTAAACATTAGAATTCCTCAGGGGGAAGGAGTGACAACAGGATTGAGCGATTAGAGGGGGATCAACCAAAGTCCTAAATTTTACTCTTAACGTATCCCGTTGGGGAGGGATATGTGTGTGTGTGTGTGTGTGTATTTTATAACAATATACACACATGTGTATATTGTTATAAAAGTTACCAAGGTAACGTTTCCTATTTATGCATATAGCTGGTACTTTTTAAATATACACGTTGTATTTTAGAGATTCAGTAGAACCCTCAAACCAGAAAGGCCCCTAGAAAATTACTAACTTTTCCATTTGATTAATAGAAAAAAAAAAAAGAGAGACCAGCAATATCTAGAAAGATTACCAGGGCACTTAACCAAGATCACTCACTGGGGTTAATGGGCCACTAGGTTGAATGAACCTGTGCTAAAGAATCATTGAGCTGACATGGTAAATATAGCACTAGTGGCTCAGAACATAAGTCTCTTAGGCCTTTTAAGGTAGATTTGAGTTTTTATACTACATAGCTGTTAGGTTTCGGGTAGACTTTGACGCCCAGTGTGTTTTCTTTGTAATAATACATTGCATTTATAATGGTGTTCTCAAATAGTCTTTGTGAGGCCTAGAAGAAATTACTATAATGTAGTTCTAAAGGTGACCTTCTTGTTGAGAGGATTAGATTTCTTGTGTTAGCACAGCAGTTTAGATCAACAACTTATATTCGCCCTAACTTTTGAGCAGGCATGGTACTCGATACCAAGAATGCAAATCAATGACATGATCTTTACCTTTGAAGTGCCTATAGTCTAGTGAGGAAGAAATATGTTTAACAAATGATTTCAATGAAATGTAATAAATGCAATGATGGCAGTATTCCCAGGATATAAACAGGAATGCCTTTAGGATGGTAGACATTTGGCCTTCAAATACATTATTACATTGATGGGATTGAAACCTTTCCCGCTAAGCAGGCTGGAATTCAATTCTGACTGCTTGGTCTCTCTGCTAGTGGTGCCAGGGGATAATCACTGGTTTCTCATTAGGGAAAAAATATATATAATTATATATACTCACACATACCTATATAAATTTATACATATGTATACATATAATGTGTATAGTGTGTGTATATGTGATATGTATCACCTTAATGAGGTTTCCAAATCATTACTAAAAGTGATATAAGAGTTAATAGAGGCTATAATATTCATAAGAGATTATAATGTGTAAGATAGGCTTATGCTGAAAATATTTGAATCAAATACATTTGATGGAACTTCTCTATTTTATTTTATTTGCCATAATTCTTAATGAGCTCAAATATCTTTTAATATTTATGAATAATAAACAGAAAAGAGTCTTTATCTTGGCTCTCACTTATCACTATTATCATGTGAGTCAAGTCTATTTTTCATTTAAGTTTTTTTCTGTAATATTAATAGACTTCTTTTTAAACGTATTTTCCCATTGGCTGAAGACATCTAAGCTTGGCTTGGCCACACCACTAACAAAGACCATTCAGCACACTCATGTGCTTCATGAATTACAGTGGTTTAGGGGAAGAGTGAGCTTTTGGGAAAGAGGGTGAGATCACAAATTATTATACTCTAGGTTGAAAGTATTTTCTTAAAATAAAGAATACAAAAACTTTTATTATTATTATTTTTTTTTTGAGACAGAGTCTCACTCTGTTGCCCCGGCTAGAGTGTAGTGGCATCATCATAGCTCACAGCAACCTCAAACTCTTGGGCTCAAGCGATCCTCCTGCCTCAGCCTTCCGAGTAGCTGGGACTACAGGCATGTGCCACCATGCCCGGCTAATTTTTTCTATTTTTGGAAGAGATGGGATCTCGCTCTTGCTCAGGCTGGTCTCAAACTCCTGAGCTCAAGCGATCTGCCCGCCTCAGCCTCCCAGAGTGCTAGGATTACAGGCGTGAGCCACCGCACCGGGCCTAGGAATAAGAAAAACTTTGTACTAAAAGGATAGATCTGTAAAAAGCAAGAGCTGTTAACATCATGTAAGAGGATTCCCATGAGAATATGGTGACACTGAAGGAAGGTTTGATCTTTATTATTCTAATTCGTTTTCCTCCCAAGTAATGGGAATCCCTGTGTTATTTATAGTTTCAAAGAGAAAAGAAAACTGAGCCAGTTCCCTAGGCCACAGACAGATGTGCTCTCTGCAAAGTCTATTGCCTTTGATTTATCTTTCGTCTTCCTGTTCTTCATTGATATGTCTTTTATACATCAGGGAAGACTTTCAGCTTCAGTCTTTGTAACTCCAAAGTGGTGAACCTCTCAAAGAGTTTAAGGTGACACTGATGAGGCAGCTTCTGAGGAAACAGAGAACCATCCTGTGTGTGTTGATCCAAGTTGATGTGTCATGTGAGGGGACCGTGACAGGGATTTGGCTCTTTCACCCAGAGGAGAAGCAGTCAGGAACTGGAGTTCTTAGAGCCACAGCCTGGGAAGTTGGCAGGATTTTCTGCAGAGCCCATACAGGTTGCCCACGAAGGTCATGAGGGATGGATCATAATTTCACTTAAAACTGTTTCACTAGCATTTGTTGGCTTCATTAAATTAGCAAATGGAAGTAAATTTCTATGATTTTGAAAAAAGTATACCTAGCACAGTTTCATTAACTCAAACTTAGAAGACTTTATCATTTTTTAAAACTTACACAATTAATTTAAATACACCATTTTTTTGCTGCCATTCGTAATGGACATACATCAAGGATGATGGTGTAAGTAAGTATAAGCCTTACTCAATCAGCATTGTTTTAGTAGAACTGACAACGTGAGTTATGAAAAGAAAGAATGTTAAGAGCAGTTTAAAGGAGAGACCTGAGAAACTCAACCCCTGAAGTTGCAATGGTTATTGGCTTTTGAACAACTTGTGACCTATTCCTTTGTAAACTTTAGAATGAATGAAATCTTTGTCCTTTTGTTTTTCGTTAAATGCAGGAAAGTCCAAGAAAGGTATGACAACCTCCTTGTGTGTTTTTGTTTCCAGCAAATATCGAAAGGTCATTATCAAGTCATCTTTAAGAAATGAGCAGACTTAAAACTGTACAATGGTGGATTTTTAGTCTAATGATTATTCCTTTTCCACAATAGAGAAAAATTGTTACACATTTACAAGAAACACAATGCTGGGTGCAGCTGCTGTTCATTCACAGGCAGCAGCTGCATGACCCTCTTTGTTTTGGCTTTTTATTACAAAGTCAGACCATGCAGGAAACATGAGCACTGTGGAAGCATTGTTTTGTAAGACTCAGGATCTATATAAAGAGAAGAGTGGGCATTGTGATGTATATGAGCTAAGTGTAAAACATGGTATTTCTCCCTTATCAAGGCCAGCTATAAATATGGCAGGCTACAGTGGGAGGATGGAAGGATTTAGGAAGCTCCTACTTATTCCATTTAAGCCTATTTGATAAGAACAGTTTAAATGACTGCCTTGAATAAGTAAGATGGTTGTTACCGTGGCTAGGTGGTAGAGATGTAAGATGTTAGAGGACTTGTTATAAAGTTTGATGTACTGTGCTTCAAATAATTGAATGGCATTTTACAACCTGAGCTCTTAAAAACTATTTGCTACTGTCTGTTTGGAAAAAGAATTGTTTTATAGATACAATCTTATTTTTACTCTTCCTATTTTCTGGTTGACAAATATGTGTAAAAGATTCTTCTTTTTTTTCCTGTAACAGATTTTGACTTTTTTTTTTTTTACTAACTATGCATGTATCCTAAGGTTTTTTTGTTAACTTCTTGAGTTTTTCTCTGTAAACTTAGATTCAATCTGAAAACATGAACATCGTATCTTGTTAATCTGGTATTGTTACTAACACCATCAATGGTTGCATGTTGTAAGTGTTGTATATATTTTTTTTCCTGTCCCCTTGTCATCCTTTTTGATCTTGTATTTTTTCCTTTTCTCCATCGTTCTACTCCTTCATTCCTGACTTGTCCTGTACCACCTTCCTTGGGCTGTGGACTGTCATTAGGAAGAATGAATTCCTCAGCAGGTGAGCTATGATAGGCTGAATTCTCAGAATACTGGTTAGTTTTATCCTCTTAAATTTAGATTATAATTTTAAGTCATCTCATTTTCTACATTGAGGCCCAGATGATCATTTAAAAGTATATAACACACATTGGGAATGTATTGGCAAGACCAACGTATTGCACAATCATTAACTCATAAGGGACTTTTCAAGTCCATTAGCCAGAATTCATAGAGACCAGCCTAAAAATAATAATCAGTGGGCCTTGCACATCTGGTCTCTTGGCCCTTTTGGGCAATGAAGAGAGCTGAATTGGTTTTGGTTTCTTGGATGTGCAATGATGAGTGACAAGCCTTGGGTATTATAATGTCTTGCTTTATAAACCTTCTAAACTCCTTCAAACTACTCCTTTCTGTCTGGATAGGAAGGATTTAGAGCATTCTCAAGGTCCTTTTTCCTTTTTTAGTTGCTTTCCCACTGCTGGATGTTATTCTTGCTACATAATTAAAAAACAAAAACAAAACCTAAATAGTCTCAGGGTTGGGAAAGTTTCATTTTTCCTAATCCAGTTTCTTTGCTCCACCAAAAAAAAAAAAAACCAGATGCATTCCACTCCTCATGTAGCCACTAAAATAGTTGGAACTTACAGATGAAAGAATGAATTCATTTGATGACTCTTAATTTCATGACATCCACGTGCTAAATAAATGGGGATAAAGATAAACTGCGGAGGACAGGACGTCTGGGTCTCCTTCCCTGATAAAGTCACGTGTGAGTTGAGGCTGAGACCAGTTTACAGCTAGTCTGGCGCTCCTTCTCTGTGCAGGCAGTTTTTCTTGGGATTCCTACCAGGTCACCCTCATTCAGTCCCCTGATCTTCTATGGTGTTTCCTCTATCAAAACTCCCCATGCCCTTTGGATGGTCAGGCCAGAGCCTGAATCCCAGAAACGGCTCTTTGGAATCACACTGGCGCAATTCCATGGTCACAGGAGAGGGGCCCATGCCCTTATTTATAATTAGAGGGCTAACTTGTGTTCTTTGGATTTGTTCAGCAGGGAGGAGGCTAACCTAGGTGACGTTTGGGTTCACTGAGATCAGTGAAGTGTTGGCAGGTGACAGAAATGAGTAGCTCCACAAGGTGAACACTCCCACTCACACTGAGCCCACGGGAAGTGAGGATCCTGTGCTCAAGATTTTTCATTTAAGTTGCCATGAAAATGTGAAATGTTCATCCTACCACTGGAATGTTGGATGATTCTTTCAGGTGTAGAGTCAAACCTCAACAAACAGTGAGTTGGTCTGGGAAGTTTATGTTGACTATCCTTAGCACAGTACAAATTGTGAAATTGTGCATCTATCTGAAAACTTTGAGTCAGTTTATTGTCTCCCTCACTTGAAGGTCATGAGTTTGTTTTCTTATTCTTTGATACTTCTGAAAACAAAAACAAACAAAAACAACAACCCTAGAAGATTAGAGGAGCAGGGCATACAGTTGCTCTGAGAAGAAGAAATATGCTACCTTTTCTGCTATGCTGAGAGGCTGTTAGTTACCTCAGAGGGTTTGTTTTTTCCTCAATATGTAAAACTAAAGGAGAGGAAGAGGTTGTGGCACATGTCATAGCCAGGGAGCTAATTTTTGTATGTTTTAAATTACATTACTGTCTTTTAGGGATTTGTTTTTCATGCTAAAACAAGGAAATGTCTTCCATGTAATCTGTGCCAATGTGAAAATTTTCTGTTGCACAAGCATTTTTTGAAATCATAAGAAAATATGCATATGTGACCTTTGCAAATAATTTTTGGTGGGTTTTTTTTTGTCCTTTTCATAATGAATAATTGGAAACAACTTAAAAGGACCAACTGATAATTTCAAAAGTTCAGATCTCAAAGGTAAATATTTGAGTAATGAATTATTTTGCCTTTCTTAAAAAAAAAAGACACATGCTTTGTGTCTAGAATTCTAGAAGCTAGAATGCTCTAGCTTCATTTAATGCTTTATACATTAATCATTACAATTAATAATATTGTATCTAGTCATGGTGTGCCTTTATGTTTTGCATCTTCTTTTAGCTAAGTGATATGTGGCTTTAAAAATATATATATGTATTTATAATTTATAATGGCAGATTACATTAAGAAAACTTATTTTTCCAGAAATGCCTTAATCTGAAATAACATTTTCATTTAGAGATCTAAAACTGTTCCAAATACTTATGGCATGAAAATTCTGAATGAAACTAAAATGATTTCACAAAAATTTTTGGCATATAATGCTTTGTTAAAGCATATGGATGTGGCTTCTGTTTTTAAATGAAAATGTTTAATCAACAGCTGAGGAAGCTGCTTAGAATTACTTCTGTTCTTTGGCCCTCTTGCCTACTCTTTGGCCATTTCAGTACTAATTAAAAGCCTCATTGAAAAGTAGGTGGAGCACAAGAAAAGAGGAGAAATTCAAATCTTGTGAACTCTTAATAGCTCTGGTAATAGATCCCTGGGTAATGGAAACTATTCAAGTAGACATTTCTCTTATCAAGGAGAAAGAGATTACAAACTGCTATACTACTGGCTAGAGAAAAGTTTTTTTAATGAATTGTGGAATTTGTTTATCAGTATGATCCCTGCTTCCTGAGTATATGATAGAGAATTGAAAAAAAAAATTATTTGCAATGCTCCATATCAGCTATCAGAGAGCAAGCCACAGTAATAACACAAGGCACACGCCAACAACCTAGTGTGCCAGCTGACCTGGCACCAGAGTAAGAAAAAAACCTCTTATTTATGGTGCTACTGAGGCCTACATTTTCAAATGCCTGTTGTCACCAGCTAGCTGAAGCTTGATTGTTATGGTGGGAAAAGAAGGGAGCTATATATACATAATTAGGAGGAGCACAGTCACTGGCAGGATTGTTGACTCTGAATGTTTGAAATAAGTTTAGCAGATAAGGAAAACTGAAAAAAATAGATAATGAGAAAAAGTGCTTAATTTGGATCTTATGAAATATGAATTTTTCAATTCATACATGTAAAAGATTTCACCTACTGTTTTACGACCAGATTGAGTGCTCCTTAAACATGAATACCATTGAGAAGTGACTTTTCTCGAACCCCCGTGTTGCCTGTCCCTAGGATTCATCTTAACTTCACTTGGACTCAGCTATTTTCAAAGGATTCAGGGCCCTCAATTGTGTTTGTGTTTTGTTTATTTTGTGTTTATGTGTGTGTTGATGTATTATTCTCAGTTGTGCGGAGATGTAGGGATGGCATCGGAAGGCGCCAAGTGATCCCCCTGACAAATAAGATCACTCAGCAAACCACTTCTTTGAAACTCTTGCTTGGACTGAGCATGATGTTGTTTCTTTGATCTTCTTGGCTTTAAAACAAATTAGACCAAGGCCCAAGTTTCATATGCAGATGTTTCTGCTTGCTGGCTTGAGTCTGTAGACTTACAAGAATTTGAGACTGAAAAATGAGGCAAACTAACATATTTATGGCTCTTTCTTTAGGTTATAATCACCAACAGATGAGTGAAGGACAAAGGCAGAAATCTGAATTTTACAACCGCACAGCATCTGAATCAAATGTCTATTTGAATAGTTTTCATTACCCAGATCACAGCTACAAGGACCAGGCCTTTGATACTTTGAGCCTAGACAGCTCTGATAGCATGGAGACCAGCATCTCTGCTTGTTCACCTGACAATATCTCTAGGTAAGATTTATTTATGGGTAAGGTTTCCGGTTTGGAAAAGAGCCTACTAGTTTCAAAAAGTAAAGCCATCAATTTGGGATAGTGTATATGGATAAGCCCACATTTTTGAGACATAAATGGGTCTACAGTGCAGAAGAGGACTGTATATCATGGTGATCTCTGAAATTAGTTTCTGTGTACCTTGTATGACTTAGACAGTCAGATGTCATATAATCGATTTTTCCCCTTTGCCCTATCTCTGTCCCTTGAGCTCACATTTGCATTGTCTGTCAAAAATTGATTTGCCTCTGTTGGTTGACTCTAAGCTTCATTTGCACTGCTTCTGATTAAGTAAAGAAATAATTTGCAGTAAGAGTCAGAACTTTGAAGGAGTTCTTACCCATGTTTTATTAAAAGAAAAGCTTTTGCTAGTCGGTATATTAAAATTTTTGGAAGGGTTTAACCATTTGCGTTTGTATTCATACTTCGAGGCAAGCAAAGGTGGTCTTATGGAATCAGGGCCAAAGGCACATCTAAAATATAAATCTGGTCATGGGACTTCTCTTCCAAAGCTTTGATGATGCCCCCACTACTTGTGAATACAATCAGATATGAGAAGCTGGCATTCTAGATCCAGCCCAACTTCTGTTTGTTCTTTCTCCTGATACACCTCACAAAGCTTATTAATTAAGAGGATGATAAACTCTCAGATCTCTGTGCCTTCTCCAAGAACACAAAATCAGGGCTTAATAAGTTAATAATGGCAACAGTAATAGTAAACATCATTGCAGATGGTATTCAGGTAACTATTCTATAAGCCAATTCAACAATTTTAGCAGAATGGAGATTTTCTGCAGAATTGACTCTCAATTGCCTATTTCTAAGATCCCAATCCTAGTTTCTGAGCTTTATGTTTGTTTACAGTGTAAATAATGATGCTGAAAAAGCAAAAACTGTCTGACTCACATAACTTTCCAGCAGTCAAAAAAATGATGTCTCAACAAAAAGTGAAAGGCAAATGTACCCACAACTCTGAGTAATTCTATAATTCTACAAATGGCTTTTTTTTTTTGACATAATAAACCACAAGACCAAGTTCATGCCACTAGAGTTTCAGCATGGAATTACTGCTTTAATAGACTTATAATTTGGGGGTATTTGAATACATAATTTAAAGAAATCTTAAGCAGAGCAAATTTTTAGTCCTTTATTTTTTTTTCTACCAATCTTCAAGACATTGGCAATTAAAGATGCTTTGTCATAATACACATTCCGAACATTAGTTCCTTATTACCTGCTTTGCTGATATTTATCACATTATTTTCCTACACAATAATGAGTAAGAGCTTATCTTAGAGTCACATGAATTTTTTTAAAGTAGATGGTGGCACAGAAAAGAAATGCCTGTTTTACTCTCCACTTTACACTCAATCTTTAACAGGCATCTTCTACTTTGTCTTAAATTTTTGACATTCAGAGGAGCTGATAGCACAATGAAATAAACACTATTAGTAATTTCTGACCATGGGGATTGGTCATCCATGATAGCACCACAAGGTCAGTTCTATGTGGAGTAACTATGGAAAATGATCATGGCCACATGCAACTATTTGCTATACATTATCATTTTGTAATAATGCTGTTGTAGAAAGAATTAAGGGGCAAATTTGTCTCACCACACCTGCACATACACAAATGATAACTATGTGAGGTGATGGATGTGTTAATTAGCTTGATGATTATAATCATTTCACAACATATACATACATCAAAACATGTGCATGGTAAATGTATATAATTTGTATTTGTAGAGTATATGTATACTTAATAAAGCTATGGGGGGAGACGAGTAAGCTAAGAAAATGGTAAAGTGAAATTTAAATAAACATTGACTATATGCAAAAAGGGATAAATGGGGGTTATGCTATTGATAGGTGTTTTTTTTTTACCTTGATGAGTTTTTAAGATCTGAAACTCAGTGAAATTCAAATTACTTCCAAATTAATTGGAGACATAAGATATACACATCTGATGTCACAGACAACACTACAGAATATAATTTTGTGCCATTAATATTATATGGCCTACATGCTTATCTTTGGCTTTCTGAGTTGGGCCAGTGAAGTTTTTCCTTTTTTTTTCCATGAAGTCAGATATTCTCCATGAAGGGGAGTCAGAATTCCTGCACACAAATTAAAGACTTTTTGCTTCTTTAATTTTTGCTAGCTGAAAAGAACAGAACTTACCCTTTTGTACCTCCCCCAATAGCTAATGGGAATAATGAGGAGATATGGCCATATTCCTCTCTTTCACAGGAGAGAGCACCTCACTAAAAAGTGGCCCCAGGTAACCCTGAAAAGTACAGCCTAATTGTTAAGCTTGTAAGAATCCAGCATTCCTAAGACAGTGCCTCTCCTTGATGGATGTGTTTAGTAATGGGGCATGCAGGACTGACTTTAAGATAAACTGTATGTACACCCTGTGTTATTGTGCTCATTTATCTCTTTAGTAGAACTCTCAGCCCTACATTTGAACCATCCTAGGTTTGATTTTATCAAGAATATAATTTGAGGATACTATATTAATAATTAGGTATAATATAGCCAAAAGGGCTCTGCTTATTCATTTTTTTTTTTTGAGACAGAGTCTCACTTTGTTGCCCCAGGCTAGAGTGAGTGCCCTGGTGTCAGCCTAGCTCACAGCAACCTCAAACTCCTGGGCTCAAGTGATCCTCCTGCCTCAGCCTCCCGAGTAGCTGGGACTACAGGCATGCCCGGCTAATTTTTGTATATATTTTTAGCTGGCCAATTAATTTCTTTCCATTTACAGTAGAGACGGGGTCTTGCTCTTGCTCAGGCTGGTTTAGAACTCCTGACCTCGAGCAATCCACTGCCTCGGCCTCCCAGAGTGCTAGGATTACAGGCATGAGCCACCACGCCCGGCCTTGCTTATTCATTTTTAATGAATTTATTTTTATACGAGTGTGTCTAACAAATATGAATCCCATATATGTGCCAGGCTCTAAGCTATGAGGGGTGCAGGCACAAAGCCTGTCTGTCCTCAAGAGAGTCTAATAAAGAAGACAGGTCCTTAAATGACTATACAAACACACCTGCACAAGATACAACATTGGTTCTCCATGGCAGAAACATCAGAGTAAATAAGTTTTGACCTAGGCCACAGTCCTCTTTTTCCTGAACAGTCAAAACGTAAGCAAGTGAAAAATAAAATCTACTGTTTTGTGTTAATCATCTTCAAGTTCTTCTCTTTCTCTTTTAGTTATCCTGCCTGTTCTGGCAACATTCACTCGCTTTGGGTTTTTTTCCTTCACTTGTTTATGTGATGTCTTTCCCATCATTTCTTTTGAAGCTCTTGACCCCTTTTGTGCAGTTTCTTCCTTGGTATGCTGGGTGGGCATTATTTACAGAACTGGTCACCGTTGCACCTATAGAATTAATTTTTAAATAGGCATCATTTAGGAAATAAAATGCCCAAATGTATAAAGTTACAACAAAAAGCAGCTAGTGACACATATTCTCCAACTGAATAAAATGACTTCAAATGTTAGGTGTCATTTATATAGAACTTTGGTGATAGTCTTGTTAGTCTGATATTTCTAAATCATTAAATTAGCGGGAAGCGCTTACACAGGCCATTCTTTTTATAGTTTGGAGGAAGCATTAAGAAGTCACACTTTGTAAGATTTGGGTTTCGGTTTATTTATTTGTGGGTAAAGCAGTTTACATTGGCGTTATTTTGCTTGCCTATATTTTGTCTCCTAAACTGAGGTAAGTCAGTGTCACCTACAATTTTCAGAGTTGAATTGATTTGCCTCTTCAGACCCGTGACTCGTAAGTAACATCCTTTACATCGTATATGCCTGGATTTTGTCATGCAACTCCCTTGCCCTCTGTGTGCGTGTGTGGGTATTAGAGAGATTTATCAATCTGAGCCAATATTCTTAAAAGCCCTTTGTGTTTCATTCAGTGCCAGCACTTCAAATATTGCCAGAATAGAAGAAATGGAGAGACTATTGAAGCAGGCTCATGCAGAAAAGACCCGGCTGCTTGAATCCAGGGTAAGTTTACAATCTTTACACCGGAGGTCTGTAACATGCTGGTGGTGCTAGGAGCCCTGTACCTGATATCAGGCAGTGTTCCTTAGTAAGCAGGGTGATCTTGGAGTAGTCACTTAATGTTTCTCAGCCTCATTTTCTTATCTGAAAAGCAAAGGTGTTAAAGAGATGATTTCTCAAGCTCATTACTGTGCTACAATTTTCTATAACTTGAAAAAATATATATATATAGTGTTGACATAGACTGAAATGAATGCTTTGTATTGTATTTTTTATTTGATGGCCACTTTGTGTCCCTGCCAAGGAACAGGGAGGAATGTCATGTCTTTATGCATTTTTTTTCCCAGCTTGTGCTAACCGCGCTATTGAAATATTTACAATGCCACGTTATTGTGACTGTATTTCAAGCCAGAATCTGAACTTCCTTAGGAATCCCCCAAAATGCCTTTGCATCCTGCCCTAACTAAAGGGCACCTCCTTTCCTCTTCAACTTCCCCATGTGCTTCCTCTGCGACCTTCAGCCAGGAAGCTGCCCAGCAACAACAGGAATTGTAAGGACCAGCAGCCTGCAGTCAGAAGACAGCAGTCAAAAGAAAGAAAGGCTAAAGCTTGCCACTAGTGTTAGGTGATAGTTTGTAAGGTTTTTTATTAAAAATGGGAGAGTTGTGGTCATTGAAATGAAATGACTGAATATAGTCACAAGCTGGATTTTCACTTAAGACAAAAATTTAATTGTTAATTAAACTTAGTGGTTGCATTTCAGCATATGATGATTTTGAAAGCTATGCCAGCGATGATTATGAGTTGCTTTAATCTAGGTTATATATTGTAAGAGACTAGACTACAAACCAAGAATTGTCTAGTGAGAATTTTCTTTTTGGTATTAGTTAGAATCATTCACATATTACCAGTGTGTCTTAAAATAATCATCGTTATATGTAATATTTAGGAACGGGAAATGGAAGCCAAAAAACGAGCTCTAGAAGAAGAAAAACGACGCCGAGAAATCCTGGAAAAACGATTGCAGGAAGAAACGAGCCAGAGGCAGAAGCTAATAGAAAAGGAAGTAAAAATAAGGGAGAAACAAAGAGCTCAGGTTGGTCGGTCAGTCTGAATGGATAAGAGTAGGTTGCCCCCTGGTGGTCCTTCTGTAGAAGACAGCCATTCTGAGTCAGGATGCCCACTACATGTGAGGGTTAAGAGAAGGGTGTGCATTAGTGTGCAAAACATGTGAGTTTAATTTCAAAACTCTTAGGGAACTACCAACCAAATGACACTTTTCTCTAGTCATGCGTGGAACATTTTGCTGAGAGTGGCATTTGTTCTTTCACCCATTCTTTGGGGTACATTTTAAAAGGAGAATATTTTTTGAGCAGCTTTGAAAAATGCAACTGGATTTGCTGCTGAAAACACATACAACACCCAAACTAAGACCTTTGGTTGAGGAAGGGAAGAGGTTCTATTAAGCCATCTTTTAGGAACAAACATTCCAGAACAGGATAATGTTACCAGCCCAGTGTCTTGGTGATGGTGGTAGTATTTTGGGGTTTTTTCTAACCATTATATTGTCACATGTGTCCCCTTTGATACACGAGTCCCCAACACCTGTGCACAAGATTCCTGAATTCAAGCAAAATTAGGAGAAACAACTCATTTTGTTTAACTCCTTATCTTGGTCATCATAGAGTTTGGATCTCTGTTCATGTCATGATAACTGCTTATGTAATACATGTTTTCTGAGGAACTAAAATAAAGTCTTGTTAAACTAAAATTACCATGTAATTTAAAGATCAACTCAGTTTTATCAAGGCTTACTAGATCTAAAGGCAAAAGGCATCATTTCCCTTATTCTTTATGGTTGCTGGCAGTTTGATATTACAGCAGTCGGAGACCATCTTTAAGACTGTATGCTTTGAGGTATCTGTAAGTCTCTGTCTACGGTCAAAGTACCACAGAATCAAAGGTTAAATATTGAAGGAAAAATAGAAAATAAAACTTGTTTATTTTATTTCATTATGCCCAACCTCTACCAAATTCTGATTTGCAGTGGACATTATCCATGCCTGCTGAGTATCTGAAGCCAAACCGAAAGGCACAGTTCTATTTTAATCCTGATTATAAGTTTTGCCTCCAAGTATATGATTAAATCATTTCTCCAGGGCAAAGGGGTAGGGTTATTTAACAACATAAAATAAGACCCACCATTTTAGAAATATCACCCATGGTTATACATGCTTCCTAGATTAGATGTACCCTTCCCCTAGCCGTTAGTAGCATAAAAGATATCTAAATACATCCCTTTGGCATCTGGTTCTGAACAATTCATTACATTAGGTCCATCTTTGGTTCCACTTCTTACTTTATTTTAGCTTCACTTTTCAAAACATACATCTCTGCCTTCAGTTTCTACCAGAGTGTATGTAACCCTCAGCTTTGTGTGATCTTTCAGGGGCAGGGATATGTACTACTAAATAGTGTTCTAAAAATCATGTCATGTCTGAGATTACTTAAGAACAACTGTTGAGTGGTGGCGGGGACAACTTCTGGAAACTTTACAGTCGAGGAGGCCTCACCTGCAGGATGCAGCCCAGATAACTTCATGCTTCATTTCCCTGTATTTGCTAAGTGCCTCTTTTAAGCTAAGATAAATGACATGTTTCCATTTTTCTCATCCACTCATCTTAAGGAATTGAATATATTGGCCTGAGTTTATCCACTCCCCACTCACACACATATTATAGCGTCCTTCTCCAAATACTATCTAGTTTTAGACTCCATATGATAAGTGCTTTGTTTATCTTAGTCTTTTGTAGTTAGATGGGCATTTTAAACCTTAGGCTTTACAGTTAATGTCTGCTTCTAAACATCCGTGACCCGAAACAAAACAATTAATTAGCTGTCGATGGGATGGGGTTTGCACTTTTCCAGGCCCGTCCTTTGACACGATATCTGCCTATCCGGAAGGAAGACTTTGATCTGCGGAGCCATGTGGAGACTGCTGGCCACAATATCGATACCTGCTATCATGTCTCAATCACAGAGAAGACCTGCCGAGGATTCCTCATCAAAATGGGTGGAAAAATTAAAACTTGGAAAAAACGTTGGTTCGTTTTTGATAGGAACAAGCGAACATTCTCTTATTATGCAGGTGGGTGGATAAAAAATGTCAGTGATATACCCAAATCAGGAACCCTCTATTAAAGAGCAAAGGAAATTGAAATTCAGTATAAATAGGTAGATTGATAAATAATAGAAATATTGGCAAGATTAGCTTTGTAGTTATACATTATTATATATTTAGATTATATAGCCTAGACTATGTATGAATTCATATATATGAATTTTCTTTCTAGAAATAATAAATATTATATGTTACTTTTTAAAAGTGTTCATTAGTTTATTCTAGTTCTGAAATAAACTTGAGTCTCTATAAATATTAAATGGAATTTATTTTTTAGATCATAATATTGTTTTTTAAACCACAAGGCTCTGGCTTTTGTGATTGATTGATTGTCGTATGTCCTATTTAAGTCACACACAGTTAGGCAGCCTTAGCAGACAATCATTCAACTATAGTTTATAAGCTAGAATGGTCTGGTAAGCACAGAGACTAAAGCTCATCAGTAAACTAGTAAATCAGTATTAAATAAGTGAAATATTTTTGGATGCTTAAATGCTAGATTATAAGAAATATACTTTACTACTGAATCTTATAGAAATACAAGAATATTAGTGTAGCTGGCTTCTTGTTTACTCTTGGATTCCATATGAAGCGTGTGCATTATTAGCACAAGCATAGCTCTGCTCTCTTTGCAGCTGCTAGAAAAGAGTGGTATTGCCCCAGATGTTATGAGGAAATACTGCCTTGGGTGACTGTCAGTATTGATGAGCATCATTCAGGAATTGTTATAAAGTGTATCAGTATCCTAAATGTAAATAAGCCAGCCATTTAACCTATCCAGTGAGGTCAGGCTACATCTATGAGGAAGGTGTGAGAAACCAGGAAGCCCTTAGGAGAAAGGCAACATTGGCTCTGGGGCCCCAGGAGTGGGATGGGGTAGGTAGTGGGGTGTCTGTCCTTCCCTGAGGAGCTCCTCAATGCAGTGCCAGTGACTACGGATCTTAGTGGCCCAAAGCAAACAGCCTGTCCTCCCAGGTCCCCTGCTTTGCTTCTCTAGGGCTTTCAGACCTTGGGTTTTCTAAAAATCCACAGCAGCTTTTTTCAGTTAGTACAGTAGAAAAAAATTCAGTTAGTACAATAGAAAAAAATGTAATAAGAGGAAGTCCAATTTGGTGTCTGCAAAATGCATACACAAAACTTTGTGGTGTGCTAGTCTCTACAGAAAACCTCATCCAGAATTTCTCCAAAATAAATTTTTAAAAGAACTTTGAACAAAATAGCTTCCTTCTTCTTCTATGCTCCTCTTCTCTGTGAGCCCTATTTCATTGTCTCATGCATCGGCCAGGTGGGTGGCTGGGCGCCCTGGCCAGCTTCTTCAAACCTGCGTTCTGAGCTTCTGACCCACGTGAATACGTTTTTCCAAATGGAAACCTTTGGTGATTGGTTTTTAATTTTTTTAAATAGTAAAACCTTTTTCACATATGAATTTAAAAAATACAAAAAGTATTTCATTCAGCTTTTTAATATTCACATATATCTAACTGATTAGTGAGACCTAGTTGGCCAAACGCTGCCCATTTGGCTCTGTGAGCAGCCATCGCGCATCAGCTTTGCTCCACCCCGCCCTCCCTTGCCCACACACCAACAGGAATAGATCAACCCCAGGCAGTCGTCCAGATTGCACTTGAGGCTGGACTTGACCCCACAGGAACCCTGCCCCTTCAGCTTGTCAGTGAGGTAAATGGCCATGTGAAGGAGCAGCAATGTGAGCGCCAAAAGATAAAGTCCCTTGGCTCTGTGTTCAGGACCCTGGCTTCTGTCCGTGGCCTCTTGCATTTTAACTGGGAACTTCGGGAGAGTCTCTGAAGAAAACTGAGGCACAGAAAATATGTCTGTGAATTGATGAGATAATACCATTACAAGAGACAGAATGGATAGCATTATCTCATCAATTTACAATAGCATTATTGATTCTCTTAGTTCTCAATGTGGTTGTGAGGCTTATATTTTTCAGAGTTCTTTCTCATATATGAAGTGCCATTCAAACAAAAGTTTCATTCTGCCTGCTTGAAATACAAGATTTACTTTTATCTCCATATTTTATTTATTTTATTTTATTTTTTTTATTTCATCCAGATTTTATTTTCCATCTGTTTTCAGAAACCAAGGTATTATTGTATTCTCATGAATTATTGCAGTTCCTTCCCAGCAAACATTTGAAAAATAGATACATTTTCTCTTTCACAGAAACTGTTTGAAACCCTCTGAACATGGTATTAATCAAGGCAGTGTTTCCCAAGGAAGAGCAAAAACAAACACACAAAAATGTGATCCATGGTCAAATAAATTAGAGAAATGCTGGATTAAATGCAATTAAATAGGTTTATCTCCTGCTGAACTTTTTAGGGCAATTATTATTATTTTTTTTTTTTTTTTTTTTTTTTTTTTTTTTTTTTTTTTTTTATCCTACATTGGAAAAGCTGGGCAAATGAATAACCTTTCATTTTTTCAAACTCCTGGGCTCAAGCGATCCTCCTGCCTCAGCCTCCCGAGTAGCTGGGACTACAGGCACGAGCCACCATGCCCGGCTGATTTTTATATTATATATATTAGTTTGCCAATTAATTTCTTTCTATTTTATGGTAGAGACGGGGTCTCGCTCAGGCTGGTTTTGAACTCCTGACCTTGAGCAATCCGCCCGCCTCGGCCTCCCAGAGTGCTAGGATTACAGGCGTGAGCCACCGCGCCCGGCCTAGGGCAATTATTTTTCAGACTAGCTTTTGGAATTATTTTTCAGACTGCTATTGGAAAAAAAGAGACATTCACTTAGTAAAAAATTCAAAATGCAGCAAAGATCTGTATAATGAAAGTAAGTCTCTTCCCCATCACAGAAGTTCTGGCCTTCCATTGTTAAGCCTGAAATACCTTTTCAGATTTTCTCTGTTCATTTTTATATGCTTCGATATGTATATGTATTCTTTTTTTCTTTTATATAGTTGGAACCGAATTATTCACTCTATTCATATCCTATTTCATATAATAGTATTTTGTGATTTTTTTTTATTATGAGATATACCTCCATTATTTCAGTAGCTGTGTGTATTCCATTGTATCACTGATCTGTAATTGAGTCAGTGCCTTATTAAAGCTCAAGCAGATCTTTTGCAACCTTGAGCCACAACAAACACAAAAACCGTGTACATTTGCACAGGCATGAGTAGATATACAATAAAATTTTAGAGTGAAACTGCTGAGTAAGAGGATTTTTTACATTTTTAATTGTTTGTTTTACAAATTGCATTCCAGAAGGATGTATTATTTGCACTTCCAACAGGGTATTATAGAGCCTCTTTCCCTGCACCTTTATCCATACTTTTAAAATTCTGTAATGGGGCGGGTGAGGGAAAAAAAAAAATCTGTAATATACTCACATGCATTATGATCCTTGCAAGTTTAAATTACAAAATAATTGAAGAACTTAGATCACAGAGTGGTGCTATTTGATTAGTGTTTTGATTGTTTTTGTGTTTTATGTTTTGTTTTTATGGCAAATCTGAGGAAATCTGTGGGAACAGTTTAGAAAATATTGCATTGAAAAGACAGTAAATTATGGGCTACATGCAGCTCTGTTGAAAACAAGGGGAAAAAATCAAGCACAGTGAAAAAACATTTGATCAGAAAGAAATATAAGTAAAATATTATTTTAAATTATAATTCAAAAAACACATTGTAAAGATTTCATTTCAATGGAACTGCTTATTAATATTTCCATTACAAAGACAGTCTTGGAGGTGGGGAAATAATTTGTTTTGGTGGCATTAGTGTTTACACTTTGTATGCAAATGTGACAGTTGTTAGTTCTGGGTTATCTTTTGACTACTGATTTGCTGAAGAGCCTTGGGCAAAGTCATTCAGTCCCTTTGGTTTAAGGCTAGTAATTTCATGTTTATTTTTTTATTCTATATAGACCAGTGGTAATACACAAACCCAGATTATCTGAATTAATCTTAAATAATTTAAATACTATGCAAATATTTTAATGATAATTATAATGCAGTTACAGTTTTTTCTGTCCCTCAGTAAGGATGAAGTATTTAACACTAATCTGTCTTTACAGATAAGCATGAAGCTAAATTAAAAGGAGTAATATACTTTCAAGCCATTGAAGAAGTGTATTATGATCACCTCAAGAATGCTAATAAGGTAAACATCAGTTTTCTAGATTCCTGTAATTTGCATGCATAATGAAGTTGGGAAAAAATATTTATTATTTTTGGATTCTAAGTAATTCCAATTTGTTGTTCTGGCATAACAGATAGATATGATCAGAGTGGTATTGGAAAAGTAGGAAAAGTGGGATGGCTGATCTTTTCAAGGAAAAAAAATGTCATGGTAAAGTGAGGAAATATTCTGTATATGTTGGTGTGGGAGATGCAAAGTGACTCTGCTAGGGTTCCAGAAAGGAGTGATAATATAGTTAATGAGGGGAATATGAATAACAGCTACTACCTATTAAACACCTGCTATCAGCTAGCTGTCTTGGTAGGGCTTTACAAACTAGCTGCTAAGAGAATTGGTGAGATTTCTTGTGCAGAAAGGCCACAAAGATGGCCAATCCTGAGAAAGGTGTTGGGGGTGGCGGTGTGAGTTACAGTAGAGCAAAAGCAGTGGCTACATCAATTTTATATATTGGAACTTTTAATGAGGATGAAGCCTTCACATATGTCTGTGTTATTTAATGTTCTATTTCAAGATGTTTCTTTTATATACTTTTCCATTTTTGAATTTTAGAGTCCTAATCCCTTACTCACCTTTAGTGTCAAGACGCATGACAGAATCTATTATATGGTGGCCCCATCACCGGAAGCCATGCGGATCTGGATGGATGTTATAGTTACTGGAGCAGAAGGTTATACTCACTTCTTGTTGTAGTGAACTGGGGCAACAGTCCACTTCAGGGCAGACTGCAATAACCTCTTACAAGAATGAAGCCATATTCAGTCCCAGATGGGAAGACCCAACAGAACCATCCCCTGAACTGTATACACTCAGAACTCCTTTCATATTAATAAGAAGTCATTTGTAAAGAAGAATGAAAGAGTTTTAATTGAAAGCTTGATCATAAATAGCAAAAGAATTAAAGTTCTCATGAGAAAGAAAACACTATTTTAATAAATAGCATCACTAATAGAAACATTTCTTATAAACGATTTTTTGTCAATTGTTAGTTTTGGTGAAATAAACTAAACAGTTTACAAAATGTCTGTATATACTTAGAAATATGGAATTATTTTAGCACCCAATCATTGGCATTGACATTATTGATAATCAACTGGCTCCTTTTTTTAAAGTAGCATTTTGCTGATGGTTATTTTATAAATATAAACAAACAAGGGCTTGGAAGGGAATATGTTTTAGGAGGAGTTTGCCTTAATTTTTAAGTATTGTACCAAAGCCAAAGACTTGACATGATGACCTCTGTTTAATAGCAGTAATTGCAATTGATAAACTGTATTTAGTGTTACTCCATTTTTCAAAATGGAATTTAATGCCATCAAATGCCCAGGAAATTGACTTTGTAGTGTTACCACCGGCATAAGCGACTATACATATAAAGTAAACCACTTTTTCTATAAAAGAAGAAAATGCGAAAAAGCTGTGTGTTTTAGAAAAAAAGCTGTCTTAGACAACAGGTATTCTATCACATTGGGCAATTTTAAATAAAGAGAATGGTGTTAGGAGCTCATTTTGCTGAAGATTTCTCCATTCCTGGCACAGAATAAAGGCAGCCAGTAGCCCATTTCTTTATATTGTCTGATTTCTCTTTGTTGTAGAGCACACCTGCTAACTGAACCTTCATATGACATAACTATGAAACCATAGCTCTGTTTTCACCAAAGAACAGACCAGTTAAAATACTATTTACAGAAGTGGTATAGTTCTATAAAAAGGCAAATGAAGTTCAAATTAACATTCTCTGTAATGTACTATTTTATTATGTATTTTTTTTTTACAATTAGCCTTTGTTTTTCTGAGTTAAGTTAATTTTTGTTGAATGAAAGGACTTCAGGCAAGTCTCTTTTATTATGGTTTTTCAAGTGCCATTTATTTGAGTTTATCATGTTTTGCATGTTTGTAAGTATGAATGTACTCTTTCCTAAAATGTGGCAAATGAATAGAAGTAGAAAATGATGTGACTTACTAGTACCAGGTGAAATGATTAGATTAGAAGTGTCTCTCTATAAGATTTTGTCAGGCCTCACTGGGTACAATTTTTTTTTTAATTTGTAGTATATAGTTTGTATACATGTGTACATGTTGCCAATAATAAGATTTTGCAACTGGATGACACAAGATTTTACTTGAACAGTGAAGGAAAAAAATCATGAGTGTGGAAGACATTTTTAAAATCTGATTTTGCTGAGACTACCCTTAAACCCTGTAATGATCTAAGATAGTGAAATACAATTGCTAAAATTTTGTTGGTTAATATAAAGATATCTTTTCTATACTGTACTTTCTTTATAGTATTGTAAAGGTATTCTAATAACTTGCATGATGTAGTAAACCTTTTAAATATGTATGTTAAATATGTTGAGTTTGGATTAAAATGTTGACCTTCACATTTGAAAATAAACTTATCTTTCATTTGGAAGCCACCTATCAGTAACATGATGGGGGATGAATTAATTAGCAAAAGATAATTGTAGAATCTATATAAAAGTTGTTGTGTGTTAATATTATGATTTGTAGTCTATAAACTGAAGTAATTAGAAGTAGTAGACATACTCCTATTGCTTACAAAGTGAGATGAACCCTGAAAAAATCTGACATCTTGTTTTCTCTTTGCACAGATAGAGTTATTATTGGGGATTGCAAGGACTATATTTACTTATCTTTTTATCTTACAGGAGAAAAAATCATGAAAATGTAAAGTAAAGCTTTACTTGGTGGGGACCTCATTTGTCTCCTTAAGAGGGAGCCTTACTTCCCCTCTGAGCTAAGGCAGAAGATTTCTGAAAGAGAAATTACCCTCAACAATATTGTCCATTTACCCTTTTGTATGTTAATGAAGGCAGCATTGGCAGTTTCCAGAGTGGAAACAAATTTGTCTACTTAAGTTCATCACTGCCATAAAAACATCTACACTTGCCACTCACCACAATTTTCCTTATTTGTTAGACTGTTAGGGGTGGTTAGAGCAAACAACTCAGGGATTTCCCTGCTTTTTTGTTCAGTGCTTTTCCCACTATGAGGATGAGTCAGAGTTTGCATTTAGCTGCATATAAAATGCAAGAAGACTTGCAAAGATAAAGGAGGAGAAAAAGAAGAGAAATGATTGAGAATATCTGCAATTATCCAAAACCTATAGGGAGAAGGGTTTATTAAGATATAAGGGATGGTGAGATGATATGCATCACCTTAGTAATTTTAGTCCCTTGGAGTCTACAAGACCAACGGAGAACTAGCAACATAGCTCAGTATCTTTTGGAAGTATATCTTGAAATCAAGTGGCAGTCCTTACTATACACCCTCACTATATGAAAGGCATTACACCTCTCAAGAAAGAGATCGATTCAATCTTTATTCAACTTCTCTAGCGTGTTCCAACAGGACAGGTTTTCAAGACTCCAAAGACATGCTGTATTCACCATTTCCAAATTTCACCAACTCTGGCACCAATCACTGCTCCAAAATTTATAACCAGGATAGTAAAGTGATTTTACTCAGTTTTATACCAGCTATAGTAACTTTTCAGTAGGAAAAAAACTAGAGAAGTCCTTATGGGTTGATGCTGTATTCCCCCAGGAATTTAGTTTCAAAGGTGTCAGAGCTGAAATCCAGAAACCTTTCTTCTTACAATTTATTCAACTATTTTTCTGTTGGTGGCCATTCCAATTTTTTTCTTCTCTTTGCTTCTAAAAATGGTGCTGTACTGGATAATATGCATTCTTATGAATTAGTGATGTTTTCTATAGGATAGTCACAAACTGGGGCCACAGAGTCAAACAAAAGGCATTGGAAATGATGCATATTTTTCAATTGTAATAGCCATGGCCGTGTAACTTGATAACAGATTTTAACAATTCACCTTCCCAGCAATCATACATACATAAGTACCAGTTTCCAGCATTCTTGCCAATACTTGCTTTGTTTCATTTTTTGCCAATTTGATAAATGGAAAAAAGTGGCATATTATTTTTTTATTCCCATTTTTCAATTAGCGAGGTTGAATATCATGTTTACATATATGAGCTGCCTATTCACCGTCATTGGTCAATTTTATTGGAATTATACTTTTTTTATTTCTAGGAGCAGGCTGAATAGGAGTATTGATGTATCTATGCTGCAAAATCTCTTTCTAGGCTCTCATTCGACTTCAGGTGTTTTTTGCTATCCGTATTTAAAAAGTTTACATTCATACACAAATATATTTTTCTTTAGGATTTGTGGTTTGAAATCTTGATTAAGAAGTTCCTTCTATGCCTGGACTATAAAATATTCTCCTAAATTTTATTTAATCCTCTCTATTTTATTCTTCCGTTGAGGTCATTTATCTACCGGAATTTATTTTTGCATATAGCATGAGGCAGGGGTCAGGAGAATTCAATAATTCACTAGTCAGGCATGTAAAGAAATAGAACAAAAACAGGAATTGAAAAGGGATGAGGGAACGGCGAACGTCCGATTCCACGCCGGGTATTTATATAAGATTAAGGTCGGGTCTTAGAAGCATTTGCGGTACAGGTTAAAGCTGTCGCGAGCTGAGAGGGATTTGCGACGCAGCAAGCCTAGCATTTTATGTTTCCGCCTCCTGGTGTCCCCGGGTTGAGATTCCCTGGCTAGCAACGTAGGATACGGTTCCTCCCTGAGCTTCCAGGCCTGGAATATCTATCCGCCCGCTGAAAAGGCAGCCTCCGGACAACACTCAAAGTTAACATTCCAAACTGTCACAGGCAAAAACCGCCTAAGAAGAGAACCAGCGGCCAAACAGCGAGAACGCCAAGAGCGAAGACGCTCTGCGCATGTGCGCTGCCGGCGGGGTGAAAGTCCGGCCGGGAGCTGTTTAGCTAGTTCCGCCTTCCAGCCGGCAGCGCATGCGCAGCCTTGGCTCCTACGTGTCGTACGCGTCTGTGTAGGACAGTGCGGGGTGCGGGGACAGCTGGGAAGATGGCGGTTATGGGCATGGCCGCTGTGGCGGCTTGGGTGCCTTGTCGGAGCTGGGGCTGGGCAGCCGTCTCCTTCGGTCCCCACCGTGGCCTCAGCGCGTTCCTTGCACGGATGCCCCAGCGGGCGCCACGGTGGCTCCCAGGTCAGTGTCCGAAAGGCGGGAGTAGCCTGCGTTCTTTCGAACGCCTCGGGTTCCCTCGGTTCCTGTACCTGGACTGTGCGTTTTTGGCGCCCCATTCGAAACTGCCCCTTCCTTAGCACCCCAGTTCTAGGCGCTTTGTACAGTTTTAGTGCAGGCTATGAGGAGAGCTCTGCCGCGACCCTGGGGCGTTCCGGGCACCCCGGGCCCTTGCTGGCGTTTTACGCTCTGCAGTTTAAGGAGCTCCTGCTCTGTCTCCCCTGCATTAAACACCGACCCTGGGAAGAATTAAAATGTGTGTTCAGTGCATTTGATTATCAATTGCTTCTAGAGGTTTACAGATTGTGACTCCTAAAATACTTAGACCTACCCTCCCTTGACTTGAAGGGGCTAAAAAATACGAGGGATGTTCTTTTAAAGAGTGTAGACGCTCTCGTCAAGCCTAATTTCTAGTTTTGTCTTCTTAATGCTCCTACTCAGCGAAAGAACCATAGTCAATACTGTACAGAGGAAACTAGAATTTGGACCAGAAAAATCAGAGAACCTCACATATACACACTAGTTTGTCTTCGAATTATAGCCTTATATTTTTTAGCTTTGTGTGGTTCACACCCTTGCCCCGTGAAATGGTAATTAATGTCAAGGCCGATACACTTCGTTTTGAGTGAAAAACTTTAAACTTATATAATCAGCTTAACTTACATTTAATTGTACACAACCAAAAGGAGTATTATATATAAGTACTCCTAGCAAAGTACAACTATTTAGCAAACATTCATTGAATACTTCTGCACCAGACTTTGAGCTAATCCTTGTGATGCAAAGATGGTTTATGGATATATTATTAAGAATCTGTCCACTTATAACTCACCAACATCAAATAAATTGTAATTATCTCAGGGGAAAGTTACTGTGCTAGGAGGTAATATCTGGATGAAGACAGAAAAGATTTTTTGAGTGCTCAGCTAAGGAAGTTGGAAATGAACATTTTTTGTTGATTTGTGGACCAACATAACTGCCCCCTACCAAAAGTCTGAAGTTTGGTGTATTTCTCTATTCATCTAAACAAGCTTACATGTAAAAGGGATAGCTTTAAGGCCTTCAATTAAGTTTTTTAAAAAATCAACTTTTTAAATCCAAAATGGGGAAAACTTTAGCAGCACACAATGAAGAAAGAGACTGAGAAGTTTTCATCAGCCACAAGACAGTGGAGGAAGGCTTCAATTAATAACAAAGATATGTTAGTCCAGACAAAGATTAAGGAACTACATAAACCTAATGCCTTGGAGGGAGAAGGTGGGATTAAAAGTGACTTTGTTTTTTTAAAATATCTTTCTACTTTTTTTTAAGGGCAAGTATCATTTTTATAATAGGGAGAAAATTTGAAAAACAATGAAATGGAGTTCACCAATTATACTGTTACACTTAGTGGACTATTACACTAAGGTCTGCGTGTACAGAAATGCAAACTGACAAATAAAACACAAAGTGATTGTGGAGTCCTGTGAAAAATCCTTTTCCAAAAATGATACTATTATATGTTATTCAAGGTTATTGTAAAGAAACTGCTCTTTGAACCTACCTCAGCTGACAAAAAATTATGATGGGCTTTAACCATGGCCTATGATTTCATGGACGGAAGTCTGGGGGCACAACACCTCTTCCTTTGAAACAGTTTCTCAAGGGCATACCAAACCTGTTTCTCCCTCTCATCCCACTGAAAATAGAGGATGTGAAACTCTTCAAGCATTAAAAAAAATAAGAAAGACAAAAATCTCACGAGAAGGCTGAAACTAGGTAAAATCTGAATGTTGATTGATACTGTTTAGGATAGATGATACAGCAACAGCAGGAAAATGTTTTGATTTGAGTCTCATTTTTGTTGCCTTGGAATTTCTACCTCATTGTGTATTTTGGAAGAATCAAGATTGGACCTTGATCAAAGAAGGTACTGATTTTGACACGATTTTAAAACTAGAGATCTCAGGCACCGACTTGTTAATTTAGTACTTTGAGTCTATTTATGTTTTTCCTATTAAATGGAAATGGTATTTAACATCAATTCAAGGAGTTAAGAAAGTTAAGATTGAAAATATATGTGGTTTTCTAAAAACTGAATTTGCAAACCATAGTTTATGTTTTGTGTACTTTGTTCAGCTTGCAGACAAAAGGCATCATTCTCTTTGCTTAATCGACCAGACCTTCCAAACCTGGCTTATAAGAGGCTAAAAGGCAAAAGTCCAGGAATTATCTTCATCCCTGGCTATCTTTCTAATATGAATGGTACAAAAGCTTTGGCGATTGAGGAGTTTTGCAAATCTCTAGGTCACGCCTATATAAGGTAGGAATGACATGTTTCAGAGAAAATATTGCTACCATTTAGCATGGTTAATGTAGAATTCTCCCCTGACCAATCGAAGTAAATGCCAGCATTTTTATAGATTAGTTTATTTTGGTGGTCTGTAAACTTTCATCTTGTGATTTAGGGTCATTGTAAAAGCAACCTTTAAAAGACATTTTGTGAAGGTCTTTGTGCCACACTGACAATGCTGGCAGGAAAGGACATCTTAAGGAAACCAGTGGTAACTAAGCTCTTTAGATGCAATAATCTACATAACAACAAACATATACTAGTTGGCTTTCTTGTAATTGTATTATGGTTTTCTACTGGGGACTTAAGGCTTTATTTGACTACTGTTTATTACCTTCTAAAATATATATTTAAAAGTATTGTAAAATTAGTATTGTATAATTGGTTTCTGCTGAGTTTTCTCTTCCCTTTCCTATAATTTGAATGTGTATCAGCATAAATAGGGATAGGTGATGTTTAACTAAAACTTGATTTTATGATTCCTCATTTTTCATACTGGCAATTATTATAGTAAAATAATTTGTTTACATTGTGTTATTAGGTTTGTTTACCTGTGACAGTCATTTATTTAGTGTCTAATTTTCTAGAAGAGATAGTATGGTTTAGTGGAAAGAATATTGGCCTGGAATTCAAGAAACATGGGTTCTAGAATAAATTCTAGCAATGACTGGTAAGTTAGTTAATAAACACTGGACCTAATTTTGTCATCAAAAAAAAGGGAGGTTAGACTAAGTTCTTTTCTAGCACTAACAGCCTAAAAATCTATTCCTCTCACTTTTTAAGAGAGTAGTTTCACTAACATTCATTCAATAATTCTAGAAAATACAGCTGTATATAAAACTTTTAGACTGTTCAGTGTACTAACAAAAATTATGTCATATGGATTTAATATTATTTCTTTTATGAATTATTTCCTTTTTATTATTTTTATTTTATTATTTCTTTTATGAACTGAATTCAATTTTCATGCTCAGAATTTGTTCTGACTTAACTGTTATTCTGAAGATTATAGTGTTTTTTGGAAATAGACTCTAGCACTATACTGTGTGCTGCATAAAATACAAAGAATTATAAAGTCATTGTACTTACCCTTAAGGATCTTTCAATCAGGGTGGGAAAACACAAGATAAAATACAAAGGAGAAATTAAATGAAAATACTCATCAGAATTTGATTAAGTTTCAAAAGAGCAGTTTATGGCTAGGCTCACGCCTGTAATCCTAGCATTCTGGGAGGCCAAGGCAGGCAGATCGCTCAAGGTCAGGAGTTCGAAACCAGCCTGAGCAAGAGCAAGACCCTGTCTCTACTATAAATAGAAAGAAATTAATTTGCCAACTAATATATATAGAAAAAAATTAGATGGGCATGGTGGTACATGCCTGTAGTCCCAGCTACTCGGCAGGCTGAGGCAGTAGGATTGCTTGAGCCTAGGAGTTTGAGGTTGCTGTGAGCTGGGCTGACGCCACCGCACTTACTCTAGCCTGGGCAACGAAGTGAGACTCTGTCTCAAAAGAAAAAAAAAAAAAAAGAAACCAGTCTACTTAATTGCATATGGTGAGAGAAACAAAATAAGAGTGAAATGAATAGAAAAGACTTTATAAATGAACAATGGAGAATAGTTAGGATTTGGGTAGGAGAAAAGTGCTATCTAGGAAGGGGGACTACCCTTAGCAGAATATCATAATAACAGAAATTTTGTCATTTTTCTTTTTTGCCCCTGAAAGAATTTGAATCCAGAAATTACCATTTTGCTGGTTCTTGAATTTTAGTTGAGACTGCGAGAGCTATAACCAGTTTCTGTCTACCTATAAGACATAATGTGGGTTTTCTGCATTTTGGTTGCTATATAAGTATACCTCTGTAAAGTATATTTCTTCACTACAAATTTTTAATTTGATAAATAGCCTTTTATTTGTACTTACCAAAGTTCATTTCAATCTAATCATTGTTAACTATTGATTGCATTTTAGTTTATTATAGATTTTATCTTCTGTTTTCATATTCTCCAATTTCTCAATTTTTGTGATTTTCACTGTAAAATTTAGATCTTGAATGATGGTATGGTTTATTATATAAGAAATAATACATATGGCTATATGAAAATGGTTTATTAATGTCCTATCACCATGCCTAAAATAAGATTGAGTCAGGATCTCAGGACTATAACACAAGGTTATGAGGCTAGTATTCTCTCATAATTATTTCTAATAGAATTTTTATTTGGGACTATGACCCAGAACATTAAGGCTGCTTGGACAGAGATGTGTAATTGTTTATAAAAGTCTAAGATGCTGGATATGTTTAAATTATTTTTGTCCCTGGATTAAGGTTCAGCAAAAGTGAGCTATATTTTTTTACTTGTAATTTATTAGCATCCCTAATTGTTTATATCTTCCTTCATGAAGGGGCTTTACAAGTATTTTGTGTCCTACCATATATTTGGAAGGCAGCTCACTGTAAGAGATGCAACATGTAGCGATATCCAGTTATCTACCAAGGAGGGGGAAAAAGAAACAGCTGATGTTTTTCCCACCCACCCCTCATCGTTTGTCTTATGCATACCCTGGATTGACTGCTACCTTGCTCTATTTCCCAAGGATCCAAAATCATTTCACTTCAAACCTAAAGAAAAATTTAATTTCTTCTTCCTTCCATTACTTGTAAATCCCTTATCACTAAGGAAATATGAATATGCTATGTATTGTATATATATTCTTTCACATTCTCTAAGAAGGCAGGGATTTAATGGTTTTTACCTGATTTTAAGCATCAGAAAAACAAGAAATCTTTGATATTTGAATTAAGTAATTCTTTTTACTTTTACCCTCCAGTTGTGTTCAGTCAATGGATATTGTTATCCTTAGTGTGTAAGATTTCCATGCCTAGCCACTATGAAGAATATAGAGACAAAAATAAGATAATGGTATCCCCTGTACCTAGGAATGAATAGAGCCTATTTTAGAAACAGCAAATTCATCAATGTGGCTGAAGCAGTAGTTTCCTCTGATGAAGTAATAAAAGATTAATCTGAGATGACTAGAATATAATGGTCTAAAAAAACAAGCCAAAGCACTAAATTTTTCTGTTGTGTTACAGAGAACCATTGAAGGTAATGCCATGTCAATACAATGCTTAGGAAAAAACCTTATGGGTATAAAATGGATCCATTTGGAGACAGAGTCATAGAGACATAGGAGGCTACTGTGACAGCCTAGGTTTACAATGGCAAAGACCTGCACCAAGATACTGGCCTTTCCAGAGTACAAAAAGAGGGATGAACAGGAGAAGAAATGAGATCGAATGATGATGGTATAGGGCAGATAGTATTCTGTTCCTTGGAAAAATAAACTTGAATAAGAACAGTCTGCTCTTAAGGAACTGACATTCTGGTCAGAGGGAGACAAATACTTAAAACTTGATTACAGCGCATAATATGAAAAGTGTTGAGTATATACAAAAGAAAGTGACAGGTACTAAACTGGACACATATGTCAAGCATAGTTCCTCTGAAAGAGGTGCTGTACTTAAAGAATGACTAGTGGTTTGAGTGGTGCAGGAAGGCATTCTAGCCATTGGAACAGCATGCAGAAGCTCAAAATTATGAAAGAGCTTATCTGGGAATTGAGAGTAGTTCGATATGACACAAGTGTAGAGTAATCTATGGTCATGGTATGATACTTCATGATTTATTGAATTGGGACCTTTAAGGAGAGGTAAGATTCACAGATCAGACAGACTGTGAGCCTAGATAATTAGGAAGTTGGAAGGAAAAGTTGGAAGTTGGATGGGTTGGTGATGAATTTGATTCCGGTTTCTTTCCTTTCCATTAATTCACTGAAATATGCTAAGCACTTACCACTTACAAAGAACTGATCTAGGTACTGGGAAAGTACTGGTGAACAAAACAAAGTTAATGCCCCTGTGAAGCTTTCACTCTAATGTGGGAGACAGACCACAACAAATAATTGAATATTTTATATATCAAGTAGTAATAAGTGCTATGAAGAAAATAAAATAAGGAAGGAAATAGAGAATGATGAAAGAAGTACAATTTTAATGATTGAAAAGTCAGGGAAGGCTTTTCTGGGGACATATACATTTGAGCCAAAGGCCTAAATGAAGTGAGGGAGCAATGCCAATAGATATCTGGAGGTAGAGTATTCTGTAGAGGGAAAAGCTGATGAAGCAGGAATGTGGATGGTGTATTTCCTTTAACTTCAAGAAGAAAAGTGAGGGTACAGTTAGAAGGGAGGAAAGTAAAAAATGAGGTTAGAGAGGTAGGTACCAAAGTTTGGTAAGGACTTTGGATTTTATTAAAGATTATAAAAAGCCTGTGGAGGGTTTGTCCAAGACATGGTTTTTGTTTTACAACGTTCACTGTGGCTACTATGTGGGAAATAGACTATGAAGGTAGAAAATAGAGACAGAAAGACTTACTAGGAAAATATTGTATTAGTTCAGTTGAGAGATGACAGTGACTTGGATTAAGCTGGTAGCAGTGAAGAAAGTAAGAAAGTGATTGAATAGAGGAATTTGAATTTGAGGGTTAAGCCAATAGGATTTACTGAAATATATATTGACTGTGACATTTTACTGTATTTTAGGCATTGTAATAATGAAGAATGTGCTATCTTTCTTAAAAATAAAAAAGTAAATATATAGATATTTAGATTTTTTTTCCTTTTTCCAGATTTGATTACTCAGGTATTGGAAATTCAGATGGTAACTTAGAAGAAAGCACAGTGGGGAAATGGAGAAAAGATGTTCTTTCTATAATTGATGACTTAGCTGAGGGACCACAGGTAACTGTTTTGTTAAATATGATTATTGACTGTAACCTCATGATATTTAAGCTGTTTCTTTAGATATGAAAATTTATTTATTTGATATTTTAAATATTTAATAGTCAAGTTTGATATTCGATTTAAAATTGTTCTATTGGCCGAGTGTGGTGGCTCACGCCTGTAATCCTAGCACTCTGGGAGGCCGAGGCGGGTGGATTGCTCGAGGTCAAGAGTTCAAAACCAGCCTGAGCAAGAGCGAGACCCCATCTCTACTATAAATAGAAATTAATTGGCCAACTAATACATATAGAAAAAATCAGCTGGGCATGGTGGCGCATGCCTGTAGTCCCAGCTACTCGGGAGGCTGAGGCAGTAGGATCCCTTGAGCCCAGGAGTTTGAGGTTGCTGTGAGCTAGGCTGACGCCACGGCACTCACTCTAGCCTGGGAAACAAAGCGAGACTCTGTCTCAAAAAATAAATAAATAAAAATAAAATAATAAAATAAAATTGTTCTATTATTTTTACTTTCTAATAAAATATAAGTAGCATTTTACTTTTTATGTACAGATTTTGTTTTATGTTCATAACTTATTCTATAATTATAGACCTAATACTTTTAACAAAAAGTTAATCGTGATTGAATTCTACTTTGTGCCAAATACTAAAAGTCTAGGTACTGGGAAAGTACTGGTGAACAAAACAAAGTTAATGCCCCTGTGAAGCTTTCACTCTAATGTGGGAGACAGACCACAACAAATAATTGAATATTTTATATATCAAGTAGTAATAAGTGCTATGAAGAAAATAAAGTAAGGAAGGAAATAGAGAATGATGAAAGAAGTACAATTTTAATGATTGAAAAGTCAGGGAAGGCTTTTCTGGGGATATATACATTTGAGCCAAAGGCCTAAATGAAGTGAGGGAGCAATGCCAATAGATATCTGGAGGTAGAGTATTCTGTAGAGGGAAAAGCTGATGAAGCAGGAATGTGGATGGTGTATTTCCTTTAACTTCAAGAAGAAAAGTGGATATATGGATATATTAAATAAATATATGGATATATTAAATTAATAAAACTATATGGATATATTAAAAACAAAAGTACAGGGCCGGGCACGGTGGCTCACGCCTGTAATTCTAGCACTCTGGGAGGCCAAGGCGGGCGGATTGCCCGAGGTCAGGAGTTCGAAACCAGCCTGAGCAAGAGCCAGACCCCGTCTCTACTATAAATAGAAATTAATTGGCCAACTAATACATATAGAAAAAATCAGCTGGGCATGGTGGCGCATGCCTGTAGTCCCAGCTACTCGGGAGGTTGAGGCAGTAGGATCACTTGAGCCCAGGAGTTTGAGGTTGCTGTGAGCTAGGCTGACGCCATGGCACTCACTCTAGCCTGGGCAACAAAGTGAGACTCTGTCTCAAAAAAAAGTACATACATTTTTATTAAACTACTCACTCCCCTTATAGATAAGAAAAAGAAAATTCTCTTTGATTAAAACTAGACATATTTTTATTTTTAGATACTAGTTGGAAGTAGCCTTGGTGGATGGCTTATGCTTCACGCCGCAGTTGCACGGCCAGAAAAAGTCATGGCTCTTATTGGTGTAGCTACAGCTGCAGATGGTTTAGTGACACAGTTTAATCACCTTTCTGTTGAGGTAAGTCACAGGTCACTTTGGCAACCTCAGGATATATACCTCCTATCATTCTCCTGCTTCCTGTTTCTTTGAATATTTGTTCATGTGTCATCTACCCTCTGACTGACTATGTTGGCCCATCTTTTGTCTTAGTTGCCTTTTTGTACACAATATCTTTCCTAACTTTAACTGTTTGGCCTCTTGTTTAAGGTTTCCTTTTCTTTGTAGTCTCTTCAAATCATTCTGCCAAATATTTCAGTCACTTTAATGAAATCACACTTTGAAATTTCTTTTTTTAGCAACATTTTCTTTTTTAATCACATTTATTTCTTTGGATTATACATGGTGATTTCTTTTTGTACCTCTCATTCTTACTTTCTGCCATATGGGCAACAGTACTTACTATTCTTATGACCATGGTAGACAAGGCTAATCAACTGTGAAACCATAGTTGTCCCTCAACATCTGCAAGGTTCACTTGTTCCAGGACCTCCTTCGGATACCAAAATTCGCTGATGCTTAAGTCCCTGATATAAAATGGTTCAGTATTTGTGTATAACCTCCTCTATAATTTAAATAATCTTTAGATCACTTATAATACCTAATACAATGTAAATGCTTTGTAAATAGTCATTATACTGTATTGTTTGGAGAAAAATGACAAGGAAAAAAGTCTGCACGTGGTCACTACAGACACAGTTTTTTCTCTCAAATATTTTTGATCCATGGTTGGTTGAATTCATGGGTATGGAACCCCTAGATATGGAGGGCTGACTGTCCTTTTTTACCTGAAAGTAGCCTCAGATCCTCTTAGCAGAGCTGTCCAGACAGACATTATTGGTCAATCAGTTAGCACACAGATGAAATTTGCCATTCCTGGCTTAGATACTTGGTTGGCATTCTTTTTTTACTCCTAATTCTCGTTTTTTTAAAAGGAAATGTGCTTTTCGTTATTACCATATACTTCAGCAAATCATAGTAGAAATGAAGTTTCTGAAGTTACTGGGAAGATAATTTATTATACTCTGTTATTGGACATATAAGCACTTCAGTTTTCTGCAAGGATAAGGGAATGATGAGTAATAGCTGTATATTTTGTGTATTTTTTGTTTGTTTTGCAGTTGAGTTCTCTTGGGACTTTTTTTTCCATAGGGGTCTAAATTTCACCTGTAGGGCTAAGACCCTGGTAGGCCTGAGACAGAAAGTAAGGAAAGAAAAACAGTCTAGGGCAGTAGTTCAAAAAATAGGATGCCCAGGCCAGCAGCACTGGCACCATTTGAGAGCTTGCTAGAAATGCAAATTCTTGAGCCTTACCTTGAATCAGAAACTGAGGCTATAGCCCAGCAATCTGTGTTTTAACAAGCTCCTATAAAGTTTGAGAACCACTGCTCTGGAGAATGGAGGAAAAGAAGGAGGAAGAGGGAAAAAAAATTTGTTAATAAAAAGGAAAATAAACTATATGTAGTGCTGAATAGTAGAATGTCATTGACTTTTACCTCAAGTTCTACATTGATAACCTGTTCCATATATCATCTGTTCTAAATAAGTTCATTCTTAGTTCATGTTATTCTTAGCTCCATAAGAAATAGCATTGTCTGTGTGCGTAGTCAGACTCCTCATTATTTCCTATCAGGGATAAAATTACAAAGCTGGTCCTTCTTTGCATTTACCTCTTATATCTGATTTTTTTTTTACTTGTTCATTTCTCAATATCCTCTTGCTTTTCCTACCATTGCCTTTTTGTGCATCAAAACTTTGACCACTTGCTTCATCCTCTTAACTCATTAATATAGTGCTGCTCGTGGGAGAAGTTATCTCAAGGACATGACAGATTGAAGGGGAGTTGGGTTTTTTTGTTTTGGTTTTGGTTTTTTGATTATATTTTTTGGTTACTGGTAAATGACAACATCTGTCTACATTTCTTTTTTCATGTGAGTATCCACATCACCCAGAGTGAGGGTAAGATAGATACTACCTAAGTGACTGAGACGATTTATAGTCTACAAATCAGGGTATATTTTTACTAATCCTTAATCAGATGAACAGTTGTTAACAGAAGTATGCTGAGCCCTTGTCAACTTAAAAAGCAAGTATAAGAAAAGAACAAGACCACTGTCTCTTCTTCACATAAACAGCTAGCCCTAACAATGTCAAGGGAGCAGAAATGGAGATTTTTTACTATCCTTTATAACCCTGAGGATATTAAACACAGCATTTCTCATTGTCTAGGGACTTGACCTCCCTTTTAACAGACTAATTATTATCTCCTTCTTTGGACACTAGAGGGCGTAAAACATGATGCACAGCTATTTGGAATCTAAGCTTCTGAACCATGTTGCTTTGATACAGTTCTTGGTGGAAAATTGTGTATACCGCACATTTTCTTTGATAATGCTGTTTTTGCTATTTCTGAATTTTTTGAGGGTTTGAGACATAGAACATTTTATAAAGTTAACTGTGTTCTTCAAATTGACCATATTTATTCAATTCAATGGCAGATAACAGAGCTAGTTAGGGCCAGAGATGCTTAAAATGAAAATATAGCATGTCCCAAAATTTTTATAAAATTTTGTAATGAATATTTTGTTAAATAAAAGTACATTTACAATTTCCCATTTCCCCTATGTATGGCCATTTTTGGGACACCCTATATTATTAATTCAATGTCTCAGTAGTAATTAGCATAGCTTCCACCTCAGCTGTGAAACTAAGCTCTTAATTACTGAAATATATACAAGTAACAATCCTGAGTAGCTTGAGGATAACTGAATATCATTTTTGCTTTAAATATTTGGTCATATGTTGTTTTAATACAGAGAACCCCAGATATTAATATAGATTCATACCTTTTATAACTTTTTAGAAGTTCATTAATTTTAAATCATTTGGAGAGAGATATCTGGAAGTATCGCTTTCAGATATTTTCACTGCAATAAATCTTTTTAGAATTTTTAAAAATAGATTAAAATACCTAAATACATACAGATTATATTATACGTATTTTATTTTTTAAATTCTTGTTTTCCTTTTTATATTTGCAATAAATTAACAATTTTAAAAATGGGAAAATTATAGTATTTTTATTAAAACTTAAAAGTTCCACAAAACCAGCCTGAGCAAGAATGAGACCCCGTCTCTACTATAAATAGAAAGAAATTAATTGGCCAACTAATATATATAGAAAAAATCAGCCGGGCATGGTGGCACATACCTGTAGTTCCAGCTATGTGGGAGGCTGAGGCAGTAGGATTGCTAGAGCTCAGGAAATTGAGGTTGCTGTGAGCTAGGCTGACGCCATGGCACTCACTGTAGCCTGGGCAACAAAGTGAGACGCTGTCTCAAAAAAAAACAAAAAAAAAACTTAAAGTTCCAAATATATGTCACTTTCCTCATTTTTAAAAAATTTTTTGATAAGGTAAGGTGTCCATTCCATTTTTTTCCAGTCAGAAATACCCTTCATATAACATGATTGATTGTAAAAGCCTCAGAACTATTCACAGCTTGATTTTTTTTAGTTCAAGTTCTGATAATCTTTCCAAAGAATTTATTATATGTAAATAAACTTTTATGCTAAAAATGTTCATAGAAGTATCTCATGGGAATGGTCATCTAATTATCTTAAATTTATTATAATAGACTATTAGGTAGACTTTGAAACCTTTGCGTAGAATCTTTTAAAACTCAGAAATACATCTACTAAATAAAACAGCATGGAAATCTGTATATTAATGTGTAATAGATATGTATTTTACATATTACATATATAAAAAACAAACAAATAGAAATACACTAGAAGGAAATAAACCAGAATATTAACGTTGGTTATACCCATGAGATAGGATTGTGGATAATTTGTTTCTTTTTATACTCTTTTTGTTGTTATTTTTTCTGTAATGATTATATGTTACTCATTATAAAACATTCTAATTTGTAATTAGAAAAATTAAGACAAATTATAACCTAAAAAGTAGGAATTCTCAAAGAAATGAAAGGATATATAATGTTTTATTTTAAGGGAATAAATGTAGAAATGATATTATTATTCAGTTTTCAGGAATTATGTGGAAGACTTGTCATCCAAAACAAAAAACAAATTTTTTTCTCATTCCTATGACTCTGGAAAGAAAACCTATACTTTTTTTATATTCAGCCTAAAAATTGCTTTAGCGTGTTTATGATCATCCCAGAGTAATCACTCTTATTTTTAATTTTTAGTTCTGTGCTTGATTCTACCCCTTCCTCCCATATCTCATACCCATTTTAGCTACTTCTCTTACATATATGTTTAGTTTTATGATTTTGAAATCTAAGCAATTTTTATTCTAAGATTTGATTTTATATAAATATGACTGATACCTGGACTGATTTGAAGAAATTATTATACTTTTCTCCCCCTTCATTTCCCTTTTCAGTTGAGGTGAAGCAAGACTTGATTTAAGATGGTGTACAGTAAAGTTAGATACATTAAGTTTGAATCCTAGCCATAACAGTTACCAGTTACTAGCTTTAAACTTTGAACATGATATTAACATCTCTAAACCTTAACATCTTTTTATAAAAATGAATAATAACACATAATCAATATAATAATATTATTATCAGGATTTTATGGGATAATATGTATAAAGTACTGTCACAGTACCTTGCACATAGTATTTAATTACTGATAATTATTATTGTTAACACTTTTATCTCTATCCTCTTACTCAAGGACTGCTTTCCTTAGATTATTGAAGAATATTGCATGTGTTAATGCTGCATAAAGTCCTAAATACTTTTATTTTCCTATTTTTTCCAATAGCAAAAAAAGGAAGTAGAGATGAAAGGTGTGTGGTCCATGCCATCAAAATACCATGAAGAAGGAGTTTATAACGTTCAGTACAGTTTCATTAAAGAAGCTGAACACCACTGCTTATTACATAGCCCGATTCCTGTGGACTGCCCTATAAGATTGCTCCATGGCATGAAGGATGACGTTGTACCCTGGCATACGTCCATGCAGGTTGCCGACCGAGTGTTGAGCACAGATGTAGATGTCATTCTCCGAAAACATAGTGATCACCGAATGAAGGAAAAAGCAGACATTCAACTTCTTGTTTACACTATTGATGACTTAATTGACAAGCTTTCAATTGGTTAACTAGTATCACATTTTTAGTTGGTACATAAACTAATGTATCCAGAAGATTAAAAGAGGGATAACAGATGAAAGATCCTTATACATGGGTTTTTCTCTCTTACCTCTATTTTGTAAATATCAGATGAGTATTTATTTAATGATGTATTTGCACAAGTATTGTAAATTGTGTAGAAAGTACCAGCTGCTGTTTAGGAAATTTTCTCCTTCAATCCTTGATTTTTTTTTCATTAAAATATTTATTTTTTTATTCAAGACATGTTTACCTTTCTTATGCTTATGTTAGTTATGCCAGCTCTTAATTGCATTCTCTTCTATTTAGAATTATTAATAAAGCTTGAATTTTTTGTTGTTATAGATGGAAATTTGTAAAATTACTTCTGATTTTCAAATGCAAGTCACAAAATATAGGAAAATATTTATAGAAATAAATGTGAAACAATTGGAGAAATGTCTGAAGCATAATAAAGTTCAAAAACTAAGAATATTACTTTATATATTATATACTGCACATTATATTCAAACTTAAGGTTTTACTTTTTTAAAAGCTCAAAACTTTTTACAGCGATAGGAGATATTTTGGGCTTATATGTTGTATATTTAAAAGGGGAATTTCATCTTAATAGTATTTTTATATTCTGATAGGTAAAATTAAAGAGGAAATTAATCTTTATGTTATCTGTTATTACCTACTTGCAGAAACTTTTTTTTATTAATACTGACGTAAATACAACTAGCTAAGTGATTGCCACCCAAATCAGAGGGCTTTCTGGAGAGTCAGTAAGAAAATATGAAACTCAAGCATAAGGGGTTATTTTTTTAACTAAATGAGTTTGTGCAGTAATCAGCCTTAATATTGAGTTAGTGGTTTTTTTGTGTTTTTTTTTTTGAGACAGAGTCTCGCTTTGTTGCCCAGGCTAGAGTGAGTGCCATGGCGTCAGCCTAGCTCACAGCAACCTCAAATTCCTGGCTCAAGCAATCCTCCTGCCTCAGCCTCCCAAGTAGCTGGGACTACAGGCATTCGCCACCATGCCGGGCTAATTTTTTGTATATATATTAGTTGGCCAATTAATTTCTTTCTATTTATAGTAGAGACGGGGTCTCGCTCTTGCTCAGGCTGGTTTCGAACTCCTGACCTTGAGCAATCCGCCTGCCTTGGCCTCCCAGAGTGCTAGGATTACAGGCATGAGCCACCTCGAGTTAGTGGTTTTTAAGCTATTAATTTTGGCTGTACTTTAGCCTGCTTAGGTTATGTCTGTCAAAGTAGAACTTTTGGTAAATTAACACCATGACGTGTGTGTGTGTGTGTGTGTGTGTGTGTGTGTGTGTGTGTGTGTGTGTGTATAAAATGAGTATGTGTCAAAGACTTATTTCACTCATTAATGAGGAAAGATAGTAAGCCTGGTTCAAAGAATAATTCAAGAAACCATAATTATAGATATTGAAAAAAAAATGTTGGGACAAAATTGTGGAGAAAAAATGTTAATATCGCAGGCCTGGCTACTTAGAGAGACTTGCTTTAGAAGGTTGGCCCTTGGCTGGCTTCTGGTAACTTGGATTTCAGAAGTCTCCCACCTTTCTAAGAACTGATAAAAATACCTCATATGCCTAAACTGTACAAACTGTGGTTTGTGCTGAACACCTACTTTCCTGTGGAAGTCTGGAGTTTTGCTATGTGCCAGGCAAAGACCAGCTCCCAGTAAAAATCCTGGGCACTCAATCTAACAAGATTCCCTGGTAGGCAACATTTCATGTGTGCTATTAAAACTCATTGCTGGGAGAATTAAGCCCATCCTGTGTGACTCCACTGGGAGAGTATTCTTGGAAGCTTGGCTTTAGTTACCCCTAACTTTACCCCATGTGCGTTTTTCCTTTGCTGATTTTGCTTTGTATCCTTTTATAATAAATCATAGACTATGCGATGAGTCCTCCTAGCAAATCTTCAAACCTGGGGGTGGTCTTGGGGGTCCCCTGATAACTGATAAGCGTCCTATACCAGCAGTCCCCAACCTTTTTGGCACCAAGGACTGGTTTCATTTTTTCCACAGATGGAGGCAGGGTGGTGGAAAGCTATGGCCTAGTCTCTAACTGGTCCACGGCCTGGGGGTTGGGGACTGCAGTCCTAATCCTTGGGTTATTTTTTTATACTAGGCAAAGATCACTTACAAATCAAAACGTTCATCTGTATGTGCCACAGTGCCTGGTGCTGCAATGGGTTGATAGAGGGTGACACTGGCTATCTAAGGACCTATTTTGCCCACAGACATTGCTAGGCATGAGGCTTGTTGGAAGATGAGAAATGGCCCCTGCCCATGAGAGTTTTCTAAGGTTAAACATAATAAAATATAATAAATGTGATTAGAAATTCATAACATGTATGTAGGGGCAGTATAATGTGGTGGCTTAGGGCAGAGACTGGAGCTTGTGTTTGAATCCTGGCTCACCATTTACTTGCTCTGTGACTTTGAGCAATCTAATATTCCTGAGCCTCAGTTTCCTCATCTGTAAAATGACAAAAACCTACATAATAGGTGTAAGAATTAAGCACAGCACATTTAGAACAATGACAGAGGTTGTACCTTTTTACTTTGTTTAAAGTTATATACAGAGCATTGCCCAGTGAAAAACTGATGGGCACAATCCATGGTGGAATAGCAAGGAAAGTGGAGGCAAGGAAGTGGGTAGGGCTTCCAAAGCCAACCTGGATTTGACCTTAACCTCAAGATTCCAAATCTTGAGGTTAAGGAACATTTTATAGTGGTGTTTCACATGTTCAACAGTTTACAAAAACAATAAAAATAAAGATAGGAAAAGCTGTTTTAACATTTAATCTAGCCTTCCAAAGATTAATTTACAAATTCCAGTGAGTTTGAATCCATGAGATTTCATGTATTCTAGTGCACTGTTAATTACATTAGTGTTTTTTCTGTTTTCCCCCAAAGCTCTTTTTGTTTTTATTTTATGAAATCACTCCATGCCATGTATTCAGTGACATGGAAAATGACTGAATAGCCAGCAGCCCCTGAGTGCCTCATCCTCTGGAACTCCTGCATTATTTTAAAAGTGACATAACGCCTCTAAAAGTCTCAGCATGTGCAACAGAAAGGGATAAGGCAAATAGTAATGGAAATGAAGACTGAGTGAGGCCATATAATGTATTTTGCTTTTGCTGCATCTGTTGAAATTTGAGGCATTTACAGACACAAATCTAAATAGTTTACCATTCTTGGAGCAGCCAATAGAAAGGTCTGTGTGGATGAGGGAAAGAAAAGAACTCTGGGAAAAGCTTTATAAAGCATGAAGATAAAGGTCTGAGAAAACATTACTTGCCACGTGACTATTTCCAGGACAGACGTCAAAGTGAATATGTCAAATGTTCATTAAATTTGGAACACCTAAAAAAAAATCTAAAGAGCTCTTATTTTCTTGAGGACAGGAGAAGGTGGGTGGTATTTAAACATACCTTTTTAAAATCCCCTTTAAATACAGATCTCAAGGAACTTCTTAGTTTAGAAATAACTGTGTAGCATGTGTAACTTGGTTTGATGAAAAAATGTGATACTTTGGTATATTTAGAGAATATACTAGAAAAATGCACATGATTTTTTTAAACAAATGTATCTTTTGGGGAAAATATCCTTTCCTATTTTGTCTTCCTCTTTTGCTGAGCTTTCAGGTTTTGCTGGTAAACTTTCTTCTACTGAAAAGGCAGCTGAAAATTTCAGTTTCTCTCTGAAGCCTTTCCTGACTTATACCCATCTCTTTTTCCAGGAAGTTTTTTGCTAAGTCCTCTGTGCTTTCTCATGAACAGCACTCTGTCCATGCCTTTTTGATACAACTTACTACTTTGAAATTCTCAGTTGATAGGCTAGCTTCCCTCTCCAAGATTATTGAGGTCATGAGCTTTGTTTTGACATGGTTTATCCTCAGACATCTCTGACGTACTACATCAACTCCTTTCTTGGCTTCACCTCTTTGCCCATCTCATTATGATACTATTCCCTTGAGTTCTGGCCTTGGCAGTCTTCTCAGGCTGTTCACTTACTCATCTCGAGCAACATCACACATGTTCATGGTTTTAACTACCACCTGCATGCAGACAATTCAAGTACATTCCTACAGTCTGGATGTCTCTCTTGAGCTCCAGACCCATAAAACCAACTGCCTAATAAACTGGGATGTATCATTGGCCTCCCAAATGCAGTGAATCCAAACCTTTTTATGTTTTCCCTTTTATGTACCTTCCCACCTACGAGTCCTCATACAATAAATGCTGCCATCAATACTTCTATTATTCAAGCCAAAACTTGTGAGTCATTCTGACTGTCTCCCTTTTCTTCACCCAATTCAGACTAATGGTCCTCTTTCCCTATGAGAAAGCTCAAACACTTTTGCATGATATATAAGTCCATGCAAGACTGGCAAATATTTAACAGCTGATTTTAGGGGTTAGGAAGAGGCCCTGATTTGTAGCATTTGCAAACATTCATGACATAAATTCTCCTGTTGTAGCTAGCTTCAAACTACCACCATGACATCTCTGAATATGAAGCTGGGAAGAAATGCCCAGTAGCATACCTTTTACATACTGTTTACGCCATACAGAGATAATAAAAGCAAATATCCTCAAGAACATAGGTAATAGTAAAGTATAGCAAAATAAATTAGGAAGTGATTTGTCTTGAGTATTTAATCTTCATAATATAATTTATAAGTAAGTTAATATAATTTAATTGCTAATGGCTAATTTTAATAACTACTCTGAAAATTTCTGAAAATTAAACCATGAGCACTTGCAAGCACACCACTTTATGATTTGGAGCCTGCCTGACATTTCAGCATCATTTTTCTTTCTATATGTCCCTTTCCTTTAATCTCTATGCTTTATAATAGAAGCTTTTTACCTTCTTAAATAAGCTGCCTTTGCCACAACATTCGCTATCCCTTTTGCCTCACCCTGTCCACACTGGCAAACAACTATTCATCTTTTAAGACTTAAAGTCTAAAGTCATCTTATTTATAGACCTTTCCCCTAATTCCCTAACACCTTCCTCTAAGTATAATTGTACCAATCAGTACTTTGTGCATAATTTTAGCATGACATTTGCCTGGTATTTATTGTTTGCAAGTTTAACTTAGCTACTAAACCAAGTTGCCATTTCTCATTCATTTTTCTATCTCATATGCAAATATAGGCCCTTTAAAAAGTCCAAAAAATTAACTATAATATCAATACTAGCAAGCACTCAGTAAATGAAGGGTTGAGTTGATTTCCACTGTCTCCCTGCACCCCCCTGCCACCCTCCAGGAGATCTAGTGTTGGATTTTTGGACACTTCTAACCTGTGTCTTGCTGTGGCTTCTCTTTGCCACTGTATCCTCTCTAGAAGTATAGGCTCAATCATTAGCTTAAAGCACAACAGCTACTCTGTTACAACAGGAGGGAATCTTTGGGTATAAAAGATCTGCAAAACATAGTCTCAGAAAAAAAAAAAAAAAGGAAGGCAAATGTATATCTTTAAATTTGTTTTCCAGCTTTATATTTCAAACCAACATCTTCCTTAGAGCAATTCCAGCCACAGGCACAGTGACATGTTTCTGTTTGGGTTTCTGTTCTCTTGGGCTCAGGTGAAACTGACCTTATTGTTGCCACCCAAGATGCAACTAGAGATTTCCATAATTCTGCTGTCAATTTTCTGCTCTAAACGCTTCCCCTGAGCTCTGAGTCTCTGAAGACATTTCTTCTGTCTTCAGAGCTGCTTCAACTGACAATTCCAGGCAGCATCAAGACCTGCATTAGTCAGCCTCTCCACTGGACCCTTTCTAAACCTGCTGCCCTCCTAAAACCTCCTGGTTCTCTCTCTTTCACAGAGTTCCCTCTCCCAGGCCTTCAACTACTGACCACTAAGTCTTTTCTCAAGCAAACCACCCACATATCTCTTAATTTTCAGTACCCCAGGCCCCAGCTGGCAGGAGATTTTTCTTAAAACATGAATTATTTGAGAAGTCATTTCCTGCATAGCTTCTAATCAATGTACCACGGGGACAAAAATCACCATCCCATGTACTAGAATTGGTTTATCTAATGTGCTTGAGTCAATTAATCAATCTGTTCTAGAGGCAAGAGTTATATTTTACTTCTCTCTGGTCCGGTCTTTGACACAGTTAAGCACTAAGTAAACATTTGTTGAATGAAGAAACTAACCAAAGAACAAGTAGTTGGGTGTTTTTTCTTATGAAAAGTACCCAGAGATTTACACAACACCAATGAGACTCAGTCTTAACTCCCGAGGGGCTTACACTCTAGGGGGACAAACTGCCAAGCCCTTTTCCTGTTAGAAAAATTTCAGGCCAATTTAGATCTGGTGATTTCTCTTGAGGTCTTGTTTGCTCCTGTCAAATATTCCATTACTACTGACAGTATGTGAGTTGTGCCTTCATGGTCCTTAATTAAAACAAACACATGAAGTCTTTACACTCTATGAAAACCTTTCACTCTAAGAGTTCTTAGTACATTGAATTTTGTTTAATTTGTAAAAGTTTCTCTTATAGTGTCTTTTGGTTAAAAACAGCATTAGAAAGGTTTATCTGTTGAATAAGTCAAACTGAGGCACAGTAGTTCCCCACCAAGATAGAAGATTCTGGATGAAGCTGGGCTGGCAGCTGAACAAGTAATGAGTGCAGCTCTCAATTGTACTGGGGCGGGGGAAAGTGGTTTGGCTACTCCCGACAGATGGACAGATGGCAGAACAGACCCCTCCTCCCTTCATCCCCTCGGGCAGCTGTATGCTGCCCTTGTAACAGGGGCTGTCTCCCCGGAGGAAGGAAAGCATTGTGCAGCTGAGAAAGCAGCTCCCGGTGGGAGGGAGGCAGGGGGATTGACTGACACAGGAGAGGGCTGGCTTTTTGGAGGGCTCTTAGCAGCGGCCCTGGTTTGACCCTCCCCAGCCATGAGAAAATCAAATCCCTGTGCCATTCTTCTAGGCACACTGTAGCAGCGGCCGCTGAACGCCAGGGTAGCCTTCCTCCCCGCCGCTTAATTACCTGCTCTTTCCAATCTCAGGGTCCCTGCCCTTGGGAAGTGCTACTACAGAGCTGGGGAGAAGAAAACGGCCACCAGCATCCTCCGTGCCGCCTGGGGGTTCGGGCTGGATGGTGAGTCAGTGTACATCTCCGCGTCTCATTGATAGGCTGCGCCCGGAGCGGGTTCCAGCCCCGGGACCGGCCCGGGCTTTCTTCTGGAGTCGCTGGTGCGTGGCTGCGCTTCCTTCCCCGTTTGTAGGTGAACCCCCATTGGCTTCATTGGCTCCTTGATTTAAACCACGCCCGGCTCTCAGCCCGCTCTGCCGCTGCCGGGCCAGGCCGCCCAGCCCCATCACAGCCCCGCGTGCAGGGAGCCGGGCTGCTGCTGCTATTGTGTGGATGCCGCGCGCGTCATCTCTTCTTCCCAGAGATGGCTAACAGGGGCCCGAGCTACGGCTTAAGCCGGGAGGTGCAGGAGAAGATCGAGCAGAAGTATGACGCGGACCTGGAGAACAAGCTGGTGGACTGGATCGTCCTGCAGTGCGCCGAGGACATAGAGCACCCGCCCCCCGGCAGGGCCCATTTTCAGAAATGGTTGATGGACGGGACGGTAAGGCCGGCAGCGATCTGGGGTGCTGGGGTGGTGGGCAGGGACACCCTCCAGGGCCCCTTCTTTTAACGTGAGGAGCTGCTGTTGCCAAGCTCTGTGTCTCACCGGGAGGGGATGGGAATGCCTTTATTTCTTCTGGGTTGGAAGATTGGGGCTCCCTGCACGATTCCCTAGCTAGCTTAGAGGATTCTCCACCCATCACGGCATCCCTTTGAGCTGTCTGCAAATTCTAGGCCCTTTTGACTTTTCCAGGGGGAAGAGAGATAAGTATTTCCTTGTGCTGTCCCCAGCCGCCTGGGCGCAGCAGCTCTTCTGGGCCATTTCTTTCCCCAGGGAATCGGCTGGTTACACAGTAAAACAAAGGAAGGCGCAGGGGGGCTGGCCACCTTCCCATTCTTCCTGGAGCCGCGCACCCTGGAGATGCTCAACGTCTGTTTGTTGAGTGGATGTGTTCTCATGAAACTGAAGGGCGTCGCCATTTGATAACTGCTTTTGGGGCTAGATGCTCGTGTGTTTGAGGATTCGAGGACCACAGACAGGGTCTGCTGATTCAAAGAAGCCTATGTTTGCCCGCAGCCTGTGATTTACTGTTACATAACTGCCACCCCACGCTGTGCTGTGTTGCCCAAGACTTGGGTTATAGGTGTCTGGAAAGAGGGTGCCCAGCTCACTTTTACACATCATTAACACATACGGAATGAATTATTGAAGCCTGATTTCCTTTTGATAGAAAGATAATACTAGGCTCGATCATTTCAGCTACCCACCGCCCCACCACCACCACCACTCCCAGGAGCCACTAACTCATTCCTCCATTGAAAGCCTGGAATCATATCCTCATCACCTTGCGTCATTCCCTCTCTGTAAACATTCTTTCCCTCACCCAGAAAAAGGAAGGGAGGAACAAGGAGGGAATGGGGTTCCTGGACTGCAGGACTCTCTGTGGCTAGGAGCAGCCCTGGGAATGGGGTTGTCTGGGTCTTTGGGGTTCAGTGTGAGACCCTGGCCACCCAGCCCTGATCCCACACCTTCCTGGGGCTCATGACCTGGGCCTGCCCAAACCCTGCATGCTGTGCCCTGCTGGGGGAGGAGGGGGCAGGGTTCACTGCTCATTTGTGACCTGTAAATACAAAGGGAATATTGATTCTGTCCCTCCTCCCCCTACAGGTCCTGTGCAAACTGATAAACAGTTTATACCCACCCGGACAAGAGCCCATTCCCAAGATCTCAGAGTCAAAGATGGCTTTTAAGCAGATGGAACAGATCTCCCAGTTCCTGAAAGCTGCGGAGATCTACGGCGTCAGGACCACTGACATTTTTCAGACGGTGGATCTCTGGGAAGGTAAACAGCCCTCCTGCCTTCAGGATTGTTCTCCTCCCCCCTCCTCTTTGCCCTATCTCTTTGTGAAAACGGCTCCCAGTGTTCTTCCCGGAGCCCTGTGTGGCAGGCGGGCGGTCTCGGCTGTCATCCTGGGGGCACTGCTAGCCTCCCCATTTGTGATGTTCTGTTAACATGTTCTCTTCTAAGGGAATACACACCCTGAGGACACAGCAGGGACCTCAGCAAAGTAATATGTAAACAGAAGCTTCAACTGAGAGGAGCTAAAATGGTTACATGGATGCCTTTTATTCCTGTTACCCCTCCAATAACAAATCATCATAGCTAGTAGAGGAGAAGCGAGGCAGGGGGTGAGTGTTCATCTGACTCAACTGCAGCGAGGCTTATAGACAGAGACGTCTGGTGCTATGTTGTCAGTCAATGGGAGAAATAAATAGCTCTGCAACCTTTTCTTAAACAACTGTCTGGGAGCTTAGGTACTATACCTTCCAGATATGTATTCAGCTCAGAGAGCATGACAAATGATTTATTTTTTTCAGATTTGTGAATTGACTTGGTGAGGAAATCTTCCAAAGGTATAAAAGTCAAATCACATTTCAGGACACATTTAATAATCACCATTACTGGGGAAAAATGATGCGAATGGAGACCCAGTTAGAGGATTAGGGACATATGGTCACAGTGTCCTTTTTAGTGAAAATGTGCTTCCCCACCATGCACCTGTCTTCCTTCTCAACTAGGCCTGCCTGAGGCACCGAGAGGTGGACTAGTCCAAGCAGGACTGCCAGATTGACTCTACTGTCACATGTTTACTGTCACTGGGCTGTCATCAGTGCCCAACCAATAAGATCCCCATGGCAGTGACCCAAATGGTGACAGTGAGAATGTGGTAACTTTCTTCTGATCCAGAGACATGATATTTTAAGGGGTATCCAGATGATGGTTGAAATAGATTTCTAGTACCATTCTGCTACTCATTATACTACAATTTATGAAGAAACAGTTACCTCCTTAATCTTCACAATTGCCTCCTTAATCCTCTGTGTTATGCAAAGAGCTGGCATTTCATGTTTCCCTCCTACATGAGTTCTTAAAATCCTAAGATGCCAATGAGTGAGTTTACCTTTGTGGTTTGCCATTACTTAGAAACTTAGATACCCAAAACTTCAGGCCAGGCCATTGAACTTCACAGACAGTGGCCTCCAAATTCCCATGTAGTGTCACAGGTGAAACTTGATCTCTGCTTCCTAGACCAAAACTCTAATGATTTCACCCAGCTAATGAAGAATAGCTACTGCTTATTGACGTTTTCCTATACACCAGGCATTGTACAAGTGCTTTATTCATATTGCCAATCAATTCTCCTAACAATCCTATGAGGTAAGTGTTTTTAATTTTTCCATTTCACATATGATGAAACTGAAGCTTGCCCGTGGTTACTTGCGTCCATGAGATAACTAGCACTTAGCAGAGCCGGGACTCAAACCTGGGCTCTCTGATGCCAAACAATAACTAGTTTGCCAGCCCAGTCTTTGGCCAGGAGCCTTAGTTTTCTTCACCTATTCAGTGAGTGTGCTGTTGAGTCATAAAGGTGACTAGCTGATGAGGATGAAGGGAGGAAGTGGAGGAGGAGGAGGACGGAGGGCTGTGTGGGACACAGGACAAGGGAGTCAGTGTGAATGGAAGGGACTCTGGTGAGGCCCCTCAAGTGCAGGAAGTAGGTGGGAGAGGAGGAAGCCAGGAGGTCTGTGGGAGCTGAGGATCCCGAGGGAACTTCCCTGTCTTTTTGCTATGAGGATGCTTTACTTGTCTTTCCTCCTTTTCACAAAAACCACAGAGGTGAACTTCACTCCTCGGAGGTCCTCACAGCAAGGGGGGAGGGGAGTATAGGGAGCAGTGGTCCCTGGTGGACAGAGCAGGTGGAGGTCTATACCACCTGCCCAGCCCTGTGTGTTAGGCCCCTCCTAAGGAAGAGGGAGGATAGGAGGGATGGGTGTGACTGGAGTAGCCTGAGATAGGGCAGTGGACAGACAGGTCAGCTCCAGGGCAGAATGATGCTCCTGGAAAAGAGGAACGAGACAAACACTGAGAGTCCCACCCCAGGGCAGAAGGGTGGGGCTTTAAAGAAAACAAGGAAGAAGACCCACTCCTAGGGTGCTGTGACTGACAGGTAGCAGGAAGAACTCTAGGTAGGTCGTGCAATAAGTACGGATGAGCAGGAGAGCTGTCAACAGGGAAGCAGAGGCTTAGGGGTTACCAAATGGCCCTTAAAGGCTCCAGGACCTGGTGGCCCCTTCTATAGAATGGTAGCTGCGGACTGAGGTCCAGGGAGACTCATTAGGAGTTGGAAGGGACACTTGATATTCCCCAGGGTCACTGTCTGAAGCTCAGGCCAGAGCTGGTTACCATACAGTGGAGCAGGAGCTGGAAGAGCGGGTTGCTCTGAGCAGAGAAGCGGGGATGGGGAGGGGCAGGCTGGTGGTACCACAGCGTGGACTGAGCAAACAAGGCTCGGTGCTTCCTGCAGGAGCTGGTTGTTGCTCGTGTTTTGGGATGAGTAAGAGGGAATCAAAGGGACGCTGCAGGGCAGGGTTGGCCTGTGTTTGTGTGTCTGTGTGCATGTGAGGGTGCACGTGTCTGTGCACACAGCTATTGGACTAACCATTTGCTTGGCTCAGTCACAAATTCTCCCTCCTATTCTCCAGCCTGACTGTGGTGTCAGTGCTGTCCCCAGGTATCAGCTTCCTCACATTAACTCCGGATTCCCTGCACTGTGGTTGTGGTGGCTGTGGCTGCTGGCTCCAGCCCTCCTTGCCTAGGAGCTTTTCTTCCTCCTCTGCGGGTATTTTAGGTCCAGCAGCTCTCAGTCCCCATCTCCCCTGCTCAGCATCTCCTCCCGAGTGGGGCTCTGCTAGCTCCCGGCTGCCTTTATGCTGCAGAGCAGCAAAGCTACAGGAGCCCAGGCGGGCCAGTGCCTCCTCATTTGGGCTTCAATTATTTCTGTAGGCTGGGGCTCCAGATGTACCCACTATTCTTAAACCCCTTCCAGGTGAAATGTTTGGAATGGACTTGGGGGCAAACAGAATACAGGATTCAGGGCTTTAAAAAGGAACCCAAAGCTGAATCGTCAAGAAAACAACCCCATCACTGGGACATTATAGACAAAGCTACTGAAGTTCCCCTTAAGGGGTGACTGGGGTGACCAGTTCCTTTCAGTGACGAAGAAGTGAGAGGAATGGAAAGGGCCTGGGGAGGTCTTTCTCTTGGATGAGAGAAGGTGAATGGCCTGGCTCGTTACTTTTGGATTCACCATGGTTACCCTGGAACAAGCAGGGCTGGGCCATCTCAGCTATCTATGACTCAGAGGGGAATACACTATAGGCAAGAAGACTTCAGCAAGCGGGGAAGAGGGGAAGAGGAGGAGCAAGAAAGGGAGGGCTATGCGAAAGAGAGAGAACACATGAGAGCAAGCGAGTGCACTAGTCTAGCATCTGGACAGAAAGGCTGCAATGCAAGCTTATCCTAGAAGGTATAAAACAAAAGAAAAAACCCCGAAGCAAAAAATCAAACGCCTAAGTCAAAACGGGGCCCCAACAACTAACAAATAACCTCCGGAAACCCCAAATTTCCCAACCAAAAAAAGGGGGGAAAGAGAACCAATTCAACGGGGTGAAAAGGAAAAGAAAAGAAAAAAATGAACAAAAATGTTTAGCATAGTGCCTGGTAATAACAGAATAAAATAAATGTTGCCAATGTAGAACTTATTATTGTCATTGGCCTGTCCTTTCTAAGACTAACAGAAAATGAGAGTGGAAGGAGCAAGGCTGGAGAGGCACACAGTCTGTCTTGGAACAAATGGACTTAATGGCCACACACCGGAGCTGACAGGGTTGCCTGGATGCCCTGTGCCCTCCCTGCCAGCTGTGGAGTCTTCAACTCATCAGCTTTTCTCTAATAGGAAGGGGCTGGCTTTAGGGGCCACTTTTTTTTACTTTTTTCAACTTTGTGGTCATTACTCTCTTGATGTCTTTCCCCACACTATATTGCTTTGCCAATTCCAGACCCAGACAACTCTGGTACAGTGGAAAGAGCATGAGTTTTGGAGTCAGGTAGATGGGTCAAAACCTTTCTTTAGCTACATACTAGCTGTGTGGGGTTGTTTAAGTTGCTCAGCTTCTCAGAGCCTCAGTTCCCTTCTTGGTGAACGGTTCTAATGCCTCCCTTGCAGGAGTCAGGTAAGAGTTAAATGTGTAAAAGAGCTAGCACAGTGCCTGGCTCCTGGACACCTAATAAATGTTGCCTTCTTTTCCCCTACTAATAGCCCATCAGCAACTGATGTTTTTGGATCATTTGTATAAACCACTTGGCAAGTGTTAAACATGCAGAATTCTAGAATGTCAGAGCAGGCAAGATTCAGAAATCAATGAAAATGATTACTCTTCTCAGTAATCCTATTAATGACGATCCTGGACACATGGTTTCTCCATGCCTGTTCCCTTCTCCTGATTCCTGGGAGTTAGGATGGTGCAGTTTACATTGGAGATGGGATGCCTGGAGGTCCAAATGTATTCCCTGGGGAGGCGTCACTATGTGTGTCATTCCTCAACAGCAAGAGCAAAGAAACATTTCACCCAGTTTGAGAGCTATTTTGGGATATTGTAAGGTGCCTGTAGTGACTTGAGACATCCCGGATACCTGCTGCTTGAAGCCTCCTTTTCTATCAGAGCAGCCTTCACTACATTTACCCCAAGTGGCTGCTGACAATTGTATTCAGTGGGTTTTTCCTTTAGCAGTGGCTTTCAAGTTCCTGCATGCCAGGAACTTGAATCACCTTCAGAATTGCCTGGTAGTCCTGTTAAAACACAGAATGCTGAGCCCAAATCACAGAGTTTCTGAGGCATTAAATCTGAAGTGAGGCCCAAGAATTTCTATTTCTTATCAATTCACAGGCCATGTTGCTTCTGCTGGTCTGGGAACCCCACTTTGAGAACCACTGCCCTACAGAATTTTATTTTGTTTTGTTTTTATTCAAGACAGAAAAGCAAGCAACAAAAATTCGTAAAAACAACAGAGCAAACCCAAGCTACCCTCTGACATTTCTCCCTCATCAGATGAGACAGAGAAAGGTACCATGCTACCAGCTCCTTTTCTTTTTTTAAGACTATTTTTTTCAAGAAGTTTTAGGGTCATAGCAAAGTTGAGAGGAAGGTACAGAGATTTCCCTTGTGCCCTCTGCCCCCCACGCCCGCATAGCCTCCCTCATTATCAACATGCCCTACCACAGGGATATATGTGTTGCAATTGATCAACCTGCATTGACACATCATCACCCCAAATCCATCATTTACATTAGGGTTCACTCACTGTACATTCTATGAATTTGAACAAATGTACAATGACACGTGTCCACTATTGTAGTATCACACAGAGTAGTTTCACTGCTCTCAAAATCCTCTCAAAATCCTCCTATTCATCCTTCCTCACTCTCAACCCCTGGCAACCACTGATCTTTTATTCTTTCTATAGTTTTTCGCCTTTTCCAGAATGTCATAAAGTTGGAACCATACAATGTGTATGATTTTTAGATTGCACCAACTCTTTTTAAAACTTCAAGTCTAATATTAGCTTCTTCCCATAATAGAGGGTTAGAAGAGTCCAGGTAGTCTGATTGCAGTTCTGAGCTGTTAGTGTAAATTGAGCTGTGTCACTTTCCTTCTTACGGTCCGTCAATGGTCCATCCTTAGATCACCACTAGGACTCAGTCTCATTTCTGCTATCCCTGCATCTAGAAAATTCCCAACACCTAGTCAGTCCTTCTTTTAGGACCATTTTTATTTTTCATTTTCTTGGAAGAATGGCTGTAGCAGTGGTTTTCAACCTGACTTGAAGAGCTCCAAGTGGTTTTCGGGGAGCAAAGAAATCCAAGCTGCCGGGTCTCTGGGCTGACTCTCAACTTGGATCAGAGCCCTTCTAATTTTTGGTTTAACTTTCTGACTTTGTGGAAGATATCTCTGAAGGAAGGAGTTACTGCCTAACAAACAAATATTGTTTAGTACTTACCACATGCCAGACTTTGAAACGTTTTTAAAAGTTGGAAACCAAAGCTTTAGAGTAGCGCCTACTGTCTGGCTACATCAGAATCATCTTAGGAGACTGCTCCAGAATCTGAATATTTAAGATTCTCAGGTAATCTTGATGATCAGTTTAGTTTGGAAGTCACCAGGTGAAACTCATGTTTCCCAAAATTGTCTGATGGTATAAATCGCCTGATATAAATTATTAAAAATATGGACTCCCAGGACTTGCTGAATCAGTCTCTTAGGAGAATGCCCTCCAAACTCACATTTTTAAAGAGGTGTCCTGCACTCAACTCCCATAAATAATCCAAGAAGCTTGGGAAGCCCTGCTCTGGAGCAGGCTGGATATGGCCATTTTTAATACACTATTTTTTAGGCTTCATCAATAGGCAGATGTTACACCTGGTTGTGATACAGCAGTTTAGCTGTTGTTATATGATCCTGGTGCACTTCACAGACCTTCCTTAAACCCATTGCTCCTTTATCCATTGAACTTTTGAGCCACAGTTACAGTAATCAGCTTCCATGAGTGGCCTTTGTCCCTTCCATATGCCCCTTCCACCTGACAGTACTTGATCTGGGTTTCTGAACCGGCAAAGCAAGAGAGGGGAGGGTGATAAAAGGCCCTCTGTCCGTATGGTGGCCCCAAGAACACTAGTGTTCTTCACAAGGAACCTCAATCAGGAAACACACCAGACGTGACAAGAAAACAAGCTAGACAAGAACTGGTTACATAAGGTCTGGTCATAACATTCATTATTTAGAATCTTGACAGTAATTAACTTGGTCAGCACACTGATGGGGAGGCCCCAACTGCTTTTCTTTGCTTTAATCTTATTTGGATGAAGACATAGAAAAATTATTCCAGACAAAACACTCCGAGACATATGGCCTTTTGGAGTTGGTGCCCTTGTTCCCAGTGGGCCCCAAACCTGCGCCCCGGGTTTGTCGCCCCAGTGCATTCCCTGTGGCCTGGCACTGAAGCAGCCACTCCGACTCCTTCCACCAGCCCCGAGGAGACGCTTCCCCTCCCAGCCTGCAGTGAGGCTCCTCCGAGATGGCAGAGTGGCATAGTGGACTGTTCACGGGCTTTCATCCTGGCACGCCTGGGCTGGAGCTGGGCTTGGGTTTCCTTGTTAGTTGACTCTGGACATGTTGATTAACCTCCTTGAATTAGTTTTTCCATCCATACATAGGGAGAAATGATCCCAATTCCATGGGGCTGACATCACATGTAATAAAGTATCTAGCCTATAATTTATGTTACATCTCTTGCTTTGGGATACTTTCTTAAAGAAAAAATTTCCAATTTGTTCCTGTCAAATAAAGCTCCTAGTGGCTTCTGCCTCAATTGTGCACTCACGTCCTTTTCCACTCTCCTGGACGAGGGTGGGGTTGTATTGATAGTTCTGGGTCCCTGGACATCTTACCCTTGCCTGTAACTTAGTTCTCTCTGTCCTTTCTGGGCTCATGTGGCAACATATACATTAGCTAGCTGCTTGGGAAGCAGACTGGTTCTATGGTTTAACAAAGCTTGTTCCTTCACCTAGTGCTCCTTGGGCAGTATCTGTGGCTGAGCTGCTGGGTGTCAGGCTCTACATTTTCCCGGATCCTGGACATATCAGACCAGCTCTTTCCAACCACCGGAAACAGACTTCCTCTGCGCTCTTTGTTCAGAGCAGAGATGAGTGATATACCCTAACCTACGCCTTCATGTGCTTAATCATTGCTCTCAGCTCTCTTTACTGGCTCACTGCTTCAGAGAAAACCTTCTCCCTCTCTTCCCATAATGAGTCTTCAGGGTATCATCACTACACTTCTATGTTTTAAAAAAGTGTCCTGTTAAACAGTGACAATTACAGAAATGCTTTCATCTGTGGGAGAGAGGAGTCATTCCAACAAGCATCTCTGGGTTTCCTCTCTCTTAATCTCAGTATTCCTGAGGGAATAGCCCTCCCCTTCCATCTGCTACCCAAAGACTCCATTCTTCACCAGGCCAGCTGTTCCTTGAGTCTGGGGCATTCTCCACTGAGAGCATCCTGTATCCATCAATCAACCCCACAGGCCTCGGACCCAGGCGATCACCACTCTGTGGTTGATGTGGAAGGTGGGGGCAGAGGAGAGGGGCGAGGGAAGGATCTGCTCGCCCCGCCCTCTCTCTCTATGCTTTGAATAAATGGATATCCTGAACTGGACTTCCTCTGAAGGCCTTAATTGTTTACTTTATTACAGTTCATACTCCATTCTCACTTTCCATCTGCGTTTCCCCTGTAATTCTGTATTCCCCAGTGACAGAGCCACAGCAGCCAGGCCGGAGAAACTGCAGATGGTTTACCAGGTCTAGAGAGAGCCTTTAATATTTGCCCTTAGCTTTCACAGATCCGTCAAGCTGAGTGCTGCCTTCCTTTTTAACCCTGTGGCTTGTAGCATTTGTACTCCACGCTGATGCCTTTGATCTGGTTCTAAATTGCAGGCTACCCACACAGTAGCATCTTTCTCAGTCCAGGACATGCCAACCAATGGAAAGAGGAAAGGAGAAAGGATGGGAGGGGTGGGCTGACTTGCAGGGCCCAGTTGTGTTCCCTGTGGGTTAAGGGTCACTGGGCTTTTCAGGTAACAATGCCCTCCCATCCTGCTGTGCCGGGGCCACACCAAGCATCTCTCTCTGCCTTGCCCTCCTCGCTCTCACACACAAGCCAGTTAATTTATCGTCTCCATTTAGCTCCTTTCAAGCAGCACAAAATAAGGGGCCTGTCACTTGTGTCACATTGAGTGCCTTCTGTGTCAATTTGCTGTTTTTCATTTGCCAGGCCTCTGGCCAAAGAGCCAAGTGAATATGCAATTTGATGCACATGGATGATTTTAGACCCTTTTAACCCAGATAAAGCAAAAAAGAGAAGCCACCTGGGGTTTGGCACAGAATTATTCCAACCCACCAACTTCTCTCTGGTTTCCTTTTCTCTCCGCAGTCCTCAGGACAGTCCTTTCCTGCAGACCCCTAGGCCAGCAAATCCACATGACCTCCCTTTACTACAGATTGTAGAGCCCACCAAGGCAAAGTCCTCTACCTATCTATATCTGAGCTGCCAAGTGTTTGGAATATTTTATTCATACAGCAACTATGAATGGATTAGAAGCTGGGTATCCGGTATGTAGCATATAGGGCATTATTTACTAGGTTATCTTTCATTCCTTCATTCCAGAGAAGTTTGGGGATGTTGTCCTAGGGCTATTTTGGCAGGTGTTTGATAGCACCTCCCCTTAAGCATGGTCACCGGCAGCCTTCCATCAGAATTTCCCTCCTGGGTGTCCAGCTGTCTTCTCCCAGAACTCCTTGGCTCTGGCATGCACTTGGCTCCAATCTCTTTGTTGGCTTCCAGGGAAGGACATGGCAGCCGTGCAGAGGACCCTGATGGCTCTAGGCAGTGTTGCAGTCACCAAGGACGATGGTTGTTATCGGGGAGAGCCATCCTGGTTTCACAGGTAAAAGTCCCTTCCGTTTCTCCTGCGCCAGAAGATGATTTTAACCAGAGGGATGGTTTGAAGCCTTGGAGCTCCACAGAGGCTATTGAAGTACAGAGTCCCTCCTGGCCTCACAACTGAGTCCCCCAAAACAAGGAAAAACTGATGCTACCGTTTAGGTCAGCATCCCTCCCAGGGCAGAAATGGTTGGGCGTTTCCTACTAGATACATGGATCCTCCAGCTCTGCCTAGGTTCCATTTCTCCTATGGCTCAGTAGGATTGGATGGCCTTTCTGGGAGGTGGCTTGATATCTGAACTTGGTTTTATTATGGCCCAAGTGCAGCTCTGAATCTTCTCCCTCACTTCCCCCTCCCTCCTCTCCTCCTCCTATCCTCCTCCCTCTCCTCCTTCCTTCCTTCCTTCCTTCCTTCCTTCCTTCCTTCCTTCCTTCCTTCCTTCCTTTTCATCTTTCTTTTTCTGTTTGCCCTTAATGAAGGGTAAATACATCCTGTTTGCCTGGCACAGTGCTGGTTAATACCTGTTTTCCCAGTGTATTTATTTATAGCACCCTCTTTCAATCTCAAAAGGATCCTGGTCTGGATGATAAATTATATGGTCATCTCAGTAAAGGGCTTTTTCCTAAAGTGATTTTTTTTTTTTTGCAAGGTATGAGGGGGAGGCAGGAAGCTTAAACTAGATATCTTAGTGGTAGATGAAGAGAAAAGAACACTGTATAACAGATGATTAATTATTCATTTCCCCAATCCCCTTTTTCTTCTCTTGGTTTTAGAGTTAGCTTATTAGCAACCTACCATATTCTATAATATGCAAAACCAAAATTATTTTCTATCTGGTTCTTTACCAAAGTTTGCTGACCACTAATCTAGAGGAGGCAATTTTCCCTCATTAACTCCTAGGTCCCTCAGCTCTAAAATGGAACATTAATCCTTGGCCCTATACAGGGAAGGGTGGAATGGGATTAATGACATGCTTTGTAAGTAGAGCTGATTTTATTTTTCACAAGGATTAGGGTAACTGTGAGAGAAAGGACGATAAGAAGCAAACTGAGATGGCCTAAATTGGTGGGGGAAGAGGGAAAGTGGGGAGGAAAGCTGAGAGTTCCCCAGAGAGGTAGCCATTGGTATGTTCTCTTTGCTGGAAATTCGGGAACACATCTTGGTTTCTAATGGATAAAAAGCTCATGCATCATGGTAGGGCCATGGCTCAAGGTAGGGATGGTTCTATTTGGTGACTGCCCCCCATCCTCCACCCCAGTAGACCCTGTCTAACTGCATATTTTGAGAAGCGTTGGAAAACTGTCATAACGACATCATTCCATCTCACCCCCCATCCAGGAAAGCCCAGCAGAATCGGAGAGGATTTTCCGAGGAGCAGCTTCGCCAGGGACAGAGCGTGATAGGCCTGCAGATGGGCAGCAACAAGGGCGCCTCCCAGGCAGGCATGACCGGGTATGGGACGCCCAGGCAGATCATGTGAGACACCGCATCCCTCCCCCGCAAGAGAGGACAAGTGTTCCACACCATGGTGTCTATGAAAAAGAAATAGTTAGTCACCTCTGACCTTCTCTTTCTCAAAGCCTCCTGTCCCTGGTTTTTGCAAGTGCTGCATTTCTGCTGAGAATCCACGTTGCCTACGCTGCCACCTTCTGTTCATTTAGAACTATGCAAAGACTCCGCTTTCCTCTTCCTGAGCTCCTTTTGCCCTAAAGTCTCCGTTTGTTTATTTATTTATTTATTTGCCAAAAATCTCCCTCCTTAACTTATAGAATGCACCTAATAAACAAATTAGTATTGTGTCTTAAAGTGTAAAGTTCATTCTTTGTCTTACGGACATTGCAGGCCAGGCTGGTTTCTCTCTCATTCAAAGGCCAGCAGGATGAAATTAAGCTTAAACTGTAGTTGTAGAAATACAGGTTAACTATGACGAAGCTCTTGGAAGATTATAATGCTTACCTTGGCATTGCAGTAGAAGGTTTAGGAATAGTTTTGCCCTCGCTGAGAGCCTAAAGCTATGAGTTCAAGAACAAGGTCATTGAGCCCCAAATATTATTTTGAGTATGTATTTTGTGCTTATTATGCTAGACCTATAGAGGGTATAGGAATGAACAAGAGAAAGCATCAGTTCTTGAGGACCTCTTGTATAGGTACTCAGAAATAGCTGATGTGTGGACAAATGGGTGGATAGATGGTCCAATAATTGAGTAGTTTTCACTTCTTTGCATATTTCTCCTGGAAGCCAGACCCTGGGTCTGATGCTGACATTTATACAGTTTTTTTCATTAGCCAAGAGTCATAGGCAATGAAGCATGTTCTCCTAAAGTCACAAAAAGGGTCCAAACCCTTCAAACTCTAGAATATTGCCTGAGATTGAGGTCTGCCTAAGATAGATAGGTTTTTAAGATTTCTTTTCATGGATAGAAACATTAATAGGGCAAATAGCCTGAGAACTATCAATTCATCATATTCTTTCCTACCAGTAGAAATAAGGAAAAAAAGTGATACATCTAGTAAGAAAAGAAATAAAAGCTTGTATTCACAGAATGAATCATTAATTAACAAGAAAAGGTAAAATAAATGAAACTATATTGAAGGAGGACAAATTCTGAATACCCATTATTCAGAGTTTAGAATAGAATAGACAACCCTGTGTCTCTTCACTAACACACCTACTGTGCCATTCAAACCACTGGCTCAGGGGCCGATTGAGTAGGATTGTTCTGGGTCTCTGGTGCCCAATTTTTCTCTATGTGATGTTAATGTGCTGTAAATTGGAGAAATGGGAATTTTCATGTCAAAACAACTCTTTGTCAACATGCACACCCAACAAATGAAAGATAATTGCATATTTTTAAACATTACTCCTTTCTTCCATATATGATTAAGTCAAATAAGCCATTGTGACATAATCCATAATAGATGGGTCTCTGGTGCAATGCTCCTTGGAAAGCACACAATGATTCCAGATGTTGGTTTGTACCTGTTTTATTATCTTGCTACTGTTTCATTAATAACACAGATCTTAGAAATGTTTAGCATACTTAATTTATTATCACTCTAGCTTCAAGGTATTTGTGCAATGGGCCAGCATGATAATTTTCCCTTTTTCAAAATTTCAAAATGACATTTTCTCTTGATAAAACTTTATAAAATATTCAAACAATTCAGAGAATGTGAATAACCCACTTTAATTCCGTGCTCCAGGATTATCACTCTCCACAATTAGTGCATTTTATTCTGGCATATTAAAATGCATATGTAATCAGCATAACATGTTTAGGATATCTTCATCTTTATGATCCATTGGTGGTAAACTAGTTCTCTCAGCTACAACCTATCCACCATTAAAGCTTCATAGAAGAGGAGAGGGTAAATATCTTCTCAGGAAACAGGAAGTATGATTCATGTGTGTATCCAAACAAGATCAGAAGAGAAATATTCTCCTTTCTACAAGAAAGTTTTTCTACATGGAAATGACTGAATGAATAATTTTTCACTGAAAATCCATTGAATGGATGTATCATCTTTCATTGAATTAATCCTTTATTGTTGGATTTTAGAATGTTTTCAAATTTCCTCATTATAATGAATGCTATAAGAAACATCCTTGTAGATATATCTTTGCAATAATTACCTTAGGATAATTTCCTAAACGCTAAATAACCATTTCTTATTAGTATTGTCAAATTAACATCCACACTACCTATGAATTGACAGCCTCACAGCCTTACTCCAATGTATATGTGGCCATTTCTCTAAACTCACATTAGCATTATAATTTTTTTAAATGTGAATATTTTGAAAGACACCATCTGCCCATTAGGATGTTAGTGTGACTTGGTGTCCTTCCTGGGCAGCTGCAAAGGGACTTTATGATGGCTGGATATTTTGCCATAAATCCTAGCATTTTTCGTTTCTGCCACAGAGCACATTAAATCTGTGAGCAATTCATGCTTATTAATAATGAGGAAGTAGACATGGTTTCTAATGACAGAAGGGTTAGCTGGTAAAAATTATTGAAAAATATGGCACCAGAACTGAAATTATTATTTCCAGAATTCAAATTGAATGTCTTAGGCAAAAGAACTAAACAAAACATGGTTAATTGATTTATCATTGGGAAAAATCAAAGATCTAATATGGGTATGAGCCTATTATATATTCTCAAAATAAATATGTCAAATTTTATAGCCCTGAGCTGAGAAAGTAAAACTATTTGGAAGGACAAGGATAAATCTCACTATGGTCCAAATGAGTTTAGTGCAAATACTGTCCTACTGACCTTTATGTTATTGAAATAGATATTGAATGGCCTTCTGTAGGGTAAAGTTAAAGATCTATGTGGTTTCACATTTTTGGATCAATAATTATTTGGGAAAACATCACATCAGTCTTATGATGGGATGAGCTCAGCTCACAGAGATTGCAAAATGAAAAATGAAAAACTCTGCTTGAGAAGAAATCCCATTTTGGAACAAACTAAAAAGAAAAATAATGACCTACATATATTTCACTCAAGAGATATTGTCTTAGTCCATTTGTGCTGCTGTAACAAAATACCATAGACTGGGGATCTTATAAATAATAAAAATTTATTTCTCACAGTTCTGGAGGCTGAGAAGTCTGAGATCAAGGAAGCAGCAGACTTGGGGGCTGGTAAAGGCTTACTCTGTCTTTCCAAGGTGGTACCTTGTTGCTGCCCCCTCCAGCGGCGATGAACTGAGCACTGTGTCCTCACGTGACAGAAGAAGTGGAAGCCCTAATCAGCTCCCTGCAGCCTTTTTTGTAAAAGCATTAATCCCATTCACGAGGGTACAGCCTTTATGGACTAATCACTTCCCAAAGGCCCCACCTCTTAATACCATTACCTTGGGGTTTAAGTTCCAACATATGAATTTTGGAGGGACACATGTATTCAAACCACAACAGATATTTATTTAGCACATACTAAGTGTCAAGGACTCTATATAATCCATCTCCTTTAATGCTTATACCAACCCTGCAAGATGAATATTTATACAGTTTTCCAGATAAGGAAAGTGAGGATTAGAGAGATTAAAGGATTGTTAGGGTCCCACAGTTAGTAAGAGGGAGAATTGGGATTTGAACCATGAACATTATGATCCCAAAGCCTTATAAATTCCACTATGCAATACTGCCTTCTACATCCTAGATGCAATGCCAGGCTCTGGGGGATACATAGTGATTAGCACCTAATTTCTTCCCAGTAGGAATGCACAGTGACGAGCTCACCTGTTTGTAATTCAGGAAAGCACAGATATGTGCGGTTCTCTGGACCCAGCTCAAAAGATGCATTTAATTCTTTCCTGAGTTCAGAGCACCCTTGTATATACAAATAACCAATATTCAAAGTACCTTGTTCTGCATTTGCAAGTTTAGCATAAGATTCTTGATCAGAATTAATCTCGCAAAGCTATGCAGATATTATGTAAATATGTTTTTCTTTGGAATCTTTTAATTAGGGCCAGGATTAGTTAGGGTAAGATGAGTGAGGCATTCTCTTTGAACACCAAATATAATTTTAAGAAGCAAACCTATCTGTAATATTCCCCTCTGTAGTAAAAGGAATAAGGATGGTAAAATTACATCTTTGACAATGTTGTATTCATTACTTACTTCATAGCAATTCATAGACGTTACTAACTAATATTTAATTAAAACACCAGCCAAATTTACTGGGCACCTGCTCTATGTCATGCACCATGCTACCCTCAGGGTATTGTAAAGAAAAGAGTCTCCGTCGGTTCAGGTAGTTGATCATAAAAAGAGTCGGGAAGCAAAACCCCCAACTATGCAGTTGTGCCTCATGATTTTGGATTACTGTGTAAAACAGTGACTCTCATAGTCTGATACCAGCCCTCTGGACAGATTCCATCCTCCACTGGTTTGCTAAAACACTGAGGCATTTTATCAGTGAGTCTGTAGAGTCTATATCTCTGAGCAGGGAATTTGGCAGCTTGGCTAACTGTGGGCGGGCGCTATCAAGGACTTGTAGTGAAATTTAGCTTCTGAAAGAAGTGAAAAAATACCATTTAAGGTAAAACCCTTTCCAGTACATTGGAGGAAATTGATACACTGAATGACCACCTAGCAGAGACATCCACTCATACGCCCTTCATGCTTGAAGAGAAAGTGAGAGGATGCTGGCACAGCCCTCAGGAAGTCAGAGGCGCCTAGCCTGTTGGGGAAGCTGTGAAATTCCACTGGAGGATCCTACACCCTGTTGCTAGGCCCATGCATTTAACCAACTGTATTTTAGAATTCTCAAATGAGATCAATAAAGGTGTGACAGCCAGGAGACCCTCTGGCAATTAAACACCTATCTCAGACACCCCGAGGTTTTAGGTACGCCTACTCAGATAGACATGCCAGTGGAAATGAATAAAAAATAATTTAGTAGCTAATGTTACACAAACCACACATAGACATTGTATATATTGGCTGGAACAAAACTGAACCTATGGTTGCAAATTGAAAAAAAATACCGACTGTTCCAGCACTATATAACTTCTCATTAGAGTAGGAAATGTTGAAAAGTCAAAACCATTTTTAATAGAAAAGGTCTAATTCAATTCTGAAGTAATTCTATTTGGTGGGGAGGGGGTGGGATTTCTGTTTTACGACATCACTACTACTTTTATTGGGATTTTAGCTATGCTCCCAAGCAGCTGAGCTTTTGATTGAAATTATCACAACATATGCTCAGGCATCTCTCATTGCCATTATTAAATTGTATCAAGGCCATTGGTGTCTTTCATTGGGGATGAGCAAACAATGGAATAGTA